GGGGAAGGGCGGGAGCCGAGAGGCAGCTGCCTCTGGGCCCATGCGTGCGCAGAGGCGGAGCGCGCGGCGGAGAGGTGGGCGCGCTTGTGCTTCAACTCGATAGATGCCCGGCAGGCCATGACGCCGCGGGGCGGCGCGCACGCTTGTCGTGCCTGTAGCTGTGAGTCGATAGGCGCCCGGCAGGCCATGACGTCGCGAGGCGGCGCGCGGGGAGGCCGGCTGCGTGCAAACTGCAAAACGCCAGCGGAGCCCGAGAGGCGGCCGCGCGGCTGGTGATCGATGGCAGTGGTGACGAAGCGGATGCCATTCATTGCCCAACAATTGCGGCCTAGCTATGGCGTTACAATTGCGGCGGCCTGCAACGACGTGCGCACGGTTACGCGCGCGCGATGACGCTGCAGGTGACTCCTTCCTGGACACTACGGACGCGCAGGCCCACAGATTGGCCGGGAAACTCTCGAAGACACTCGCCGGAGGTCGACAGGTCCGAGCTGAAAAGTTTCGCGAGCCGGGAGCGCTAGAAATGTGCCTGCTTGCGTCGCGCTCTTTCTGCCCGCTGTGGCTAGACCGCAGGAGACAGCGCCGGCCAGCTGTAGACAGTAGCCTCTTCGAGTTTGGCGCTCCGCGTTATCTGAGCGGAGAGACATCGAGACGAAGCATTCCGGTTCCGAAAGGGGCAACGCGGTGAAGAATGGCAGAAAATAATGGCGAAAATGGTCACCCGACGGCGATTTCGCAAGTCTCCCTTGACGAAAATTTCGCAAATCGACATCGGCGGCGACAGCGACATGGACAGCGACATGGACCAGCCGCAGAAGCTCGTAAACCGAGAGTGTCGCAGGGACGTGGTGCTGGGAGCACCATATTTTCGTGCTTTTTGTTTGGTTTTTTTCTGGTTTGGGGTCTTTGGATCATCTTCGAGGTTTTTGCTGGTTCTGCCCTATGTCTCGGGCTGTTTTGTCTCTGTCGTGTGATGGCTGGGCAATGTCGTGCCATTTGCTCCGCCAGCAGGGTAGGCCGCTGCCTGCGGATGCCACCGGGGCGGCTCGGCTCTTCTTCTTTCTCGTTGTTGTGCTTGTAGTTGTATCGCGGCGGGCTTCGTTCTTGTCTATCGTAGGCTCCAGCGTCGTGGGCAGTCGCGCTTCCTGGTGTGTCTCTTGTCGGTTCTTTTTTCTGCTCGTTTTGTTTTCGTTTTCGTTCTTGTTGTTGTTGGGTGGTGTGCAAGCGCCAAGGGGGTGACTGTGGTTATTGCTTATTGTGTTTCTTGCTTAGTCGCTCTCGGTCTCGGCTTGCGTTGTCTTTTTTCGGTCGTGTCAGTCTTAGCCGGCTGCGTTTCAGCTTGCGCCTAGTCGTTGCCGCTACCTAGGAAATCAGCCCACACCCACCTCACCAGTCGGCATTAATTTCAGATCAGTTCTTGCATCAGCTTACACCTAATCGGCTTAGCAACAGGCTGGGAATGGTCATGCGAGTACTCGCCGCTTGTTGAGGCCAGTCGAGCAACAACGAAGAGCAGGGGCGAGGGGCTATCAGTCACAAACGAGCGAGGCCGCTGCATGGCTCGCCTGGCTTGGTTTCTCTTGTTGAGGCGCCTGCGGTGCCGGTCGATGATGGAGGACGCGCCCCATGGAACTTTGAGCATATCCATGGACGACTTCACGCAGGAAGCGGCTCGCACAGCAGGGCGCGTGAGGTTCGTGGTTCGCCCAGGAGCCACCTTCAACCGCCAGCCGACAAATGCGGGCGCATCCGGATCCTCAGCTGGTGGCGCCGCAGTCGCGAGCGCTGAGCAACCTACAGGCGCAGCCGCAGTCTTGCTCAACACCGTCAGCGAAGAGGTGCCAAGACAGCAAGAACTGGGCCGACTAGGTGGCAACAGAGTGGAGACGTTTCTGGTTGCAGACGCCGAGCAAGGTGCTCGCGCGCCGCCAGCGTTGCGGGAGCTCTTTGAGCCAAGGCCGGACGGTGCTGCCCCCGACGAGTATGAAGGCACGCGCGAGGTGCTCGGAAGCGCTCTCGCGACCTGGGTCCCCTACGTGTTTGCCTGCTTCTTGCCGTTAGTTCGGCAGCGGCTTTACGGATGCCAGGACCTGCGGACGGCTCTTCGGAGAGCAATAGGGAGACGGACCTTTGCAGGAGGGAGAGGAAGCTATGGAAAAGGCTGACATGAAGTCGGAAGACCGCCGTGATTGCCTGCAAGGCTTCAGCAAGGCAAGCCCTTGCTGCTGTCGTTAGCTTAGGCGTTGACTTATAATCAGCGAGGCCCCCACTTCTAAAATCGAGACGTTCGGCCTGAGCTCGATCAAGTCTGGCGTTTACTTGAATTGGGTCAGTGGCTGGCTTCTGTTTCGGCCCGATTCGCAGCCTGATACTCACCCAAGACGCTTGCGCAGAACATTAAGGAAAGGCAAAGAGTATACATCATGGAACTACTTAAGCTACTCAGAGTAGGCGCCTTTTCTACGCTTGCACTTGCTGGCCATTGCTTCCTTTCGTTTTCTCAGCTAGCCGCAAGCTGCTGCGTTTGTTGTGTACGGGTAGAGGATGCCTGCTCCTGGTAGGGTTTATTTTGTTTTGCCACCTGTAAGCATTAGAGTTGCTAGCGCTGGCGTTGAGTTGTGGAGGTGATAGGCCTGGCAGTGGTGTCTAATATTTTCTAGGTCGTTCCTTCCGTGTTTGAGTTTTATTCATATAAAGGCTCTCTGTCTTGTGATGGGGACCCTTCTACTTTTTTCATCTCTAGCGGAGTAAGATTTTTGACTATCTAAGTTGCGCAAGCTTATAGGAGATTACATCTGTTAGGATGTCCCTCTCCCTCCTCCGTAGTAGTAGTAGTGGCAATCTTCTAAGGGTCGCGGAAATTTACATGCTGGCTGGAATTTGGAGACCATGCCCTACTGCCGACTGATGGGGATGGCTTTAGTCTTTTCCTGGATCAACCGCCACCGGCTCCAGGTGTAAGCGGGCAAAATTTATGCGTGGGTCTAAGTGTAACGCTGAAGATGAGAAGACGCGCAGCAGGCGGGTCAGTCTTTCAGAGGAGCGCACTATAAATATGAGTTGCAAGGCGCGGCTTGTCTGATCTTCTGCCTATGTCTAAATCTACAAATTAGCTTTGGCCTGATCATGATTCTGATGGCTTTTAGCCATCCGCATGCAATTAATTGCACTCAGAATACTAGGCCGCGGCGCTCTGTTCTTGTTTGGCAAGGTGTGGCTGTTTTTGCGGTTCGCCTGTCGCAGCTTGTTGCAGAGTGTGCCCGTCGCTCTGACGTACTGCTGTCCATTACATACTACGCACTCTATAGCTGTGGCGAGTTTTTTGTAGCACCGTAAGCACCTCCGGCCCCGGGCCCTAGTAGTCTCAGCCTTATAGATACTTAACGCTGAGCATATATTTACTATTGTCCTTTTTTGAACAGTTAGGCGCTACTTACTGGGGCTTTCAACATGGGAGCACCCTCCTAGACGGTTCCCCTTTCTTCTTTCTTCTATTCGCCATTATCAATCTCCTCGCCACCTTTCTTTCGTGCTCGTTCTTGGTTGCTGATGGAGGAGGTGGGGGCTTGTTCGATGATGACGAAGCACATTATGAGGTCGGAACTCAAGGCGGAGGGCTTGATGGGAAGCCGGCAGGTTCTGGCGGCACGCAAGGCACGGATAATGTTGCTACGAGGCAAGTTCTTGGATTAATGACCCAGGTCCAGCAGAGCAAGCCGCGGCTTGCTGCTCGTCATGCATCTCGAAAATATCGCGAGCAGGAATCGACGAAAACTGGCGGCGCTTACATCGAGCAGAGAAAAGACAAGTATCTTCCTCATGTCCGTAACGTGTTTGATTGGGCACACGGCGACGCGCGCAGAGTGATAAAGTTATGTCATTTCTTTAGCTTTTTTGCTCGTAGTCGTAGTGATGCACTTTTTTGGCATCGTTTGGCCCCTCGGCCTCGGCTTCATCAATTAACTTCAAGCAGCACCACTGTGAAATCGAGCGTGCGACCATTTCGGGAGGTTTGTTGTTGTCGCTCAGAATTAAGATAGCCCGGAGCCACTTCGGGCTTGATGAAGTAGCGGAGCCTCCTGCTTCTTTAGTCATCTTTAACACCTTGCCACGAGTCGCGTGCTGCCGTTCGAGTGCAGAACTTTGGATGCTGGAAAAGCGAAATGTGCTCCATTGCCTAGACATAGACATAGAAGCGATTGATGTACTTACTCCCTCCTGGTCCAGGCTGTGGCTCTCGTTCTTTTTTACGCAGGGGCTGGACAAGTGCGGCCGCTCTAGTGTTGGCACTGCTCTACGTCTAACAATTATTGGCCCTCGCTCAGAGCGCCCACTTTCTCATCCTATTGCGGCAGCGGCTAGACCTTTTTCATCTATTTCCTTATAGTTATGTCATCATCTTGCCTCTAACCGTTCTTGTTCGTCTTCTCGTTTACCTGATCAGGGATAGCGCCCTGGCTATGTTGTACTAAAGGACGAAGCTTAGTTATTTGAGTTTGGCTTCGGTCTGCGTTAGTGTCTGGATTCTTTGATGGTAGTCGTTGTTCTCTTGCTGAAATAAGAGCGACGAAGTGCAGTAGTTGCAGTAGAATCCTCGACCTACGTAGTCATATGAAGCCTTTCGTCTCTGACTAATGACTTGACTCCGTGGAGCCGTAGGGCAGTAATACAGTTAGAAGGTCTTAAGCTTTGCGTGGATTGGATTACTTGCTTAGCCTTTTGGGTGGTGCACGGTTGCAGGCTACTTGGGCACGTCTAGACTTTTTGTCGTTGGTTTTTAGGGCCATAGACTGGCTGAGAAGCAAGCGCAGCCTCTTGGTCCTTGTGTGTATGTTGAAGAGAAACCATCCTACTCACGACTGACTCTCATTGGCAGACGCCTCTAATTTTCCTTGAAGCGATACGATGGCGACAAGGACTTGGCGAAGATGGCGCTCCTGAAATAATTGAAGCGCGTTGCTGTGGAGATTGACCGCCCCGACGCTGAAGCCATTAGTCTGGCGGGCAAGATTGGAGGCGTTTCCAGTTGGTTGGTGCATCTAGGGCGAGAGCGCTGACGCATCTGATAAGTTATGAGTGGCCCGCTTTGTCGTTGAGGGTGCGACCTACGGCAGCGTGAAGATGCTAGAACTCTAAACAGTAAGCGTGGCGGCTATGTATTTTCAGTGAGTCCGTCCGTGGCTTGGTGTTCTCGCTCTGCGTCTACATTTACTTTCACTGTGCTCGTGAAAGACATTCGCTGATCTTTCTAACATGAAGCAACCGGATGGCTGGGCGTGGTGCGCGTTGGTTTGCGGAAGTTTGGAGGCGAAGCGACTTGCGTGAACCAGCGGAAGCCGGACAGGGGCAGGGGGTGGGCTCGCTCGAATGTTAACAAAGACGAATCTGCGTTGGACAGCTGTGCCACTACAGCAAAGGGGTTGAGAGTCAGTCCTTATCACGAGAACAGTTTGAACTTTATCACAAGAAAAGTTTGAACTTTATCACAAGAGCAATGCGATCACAAGAAGGCACTTTATCGCATGGAACTGAGTCAATTCACCCCAGGAACAGTATGGACATCATTGGCGAGTGCTGTTGTTACTGATCATCGTGCGCCTCTTACTCTTTCGATGAAGTGGATTCGAGTAGAGAGGCTAAATGGCCTCAAAAGTGACGCCTTAACTAAGAGGTGGCGCGACATGACAAGGGGCATGGCTATGCGTGTAGCGATCTGCTCTGGTAGCCTCTTGCGTGAGATCGGCGGCTGAAGTTCCTCGCTTCGCAAGCACATCACTGCAAAAATGTTGAGTATCTGGATAGCTATCTGCGCAGGAACTTTTAGAGCTTTAGAATGCCTTGCAGCGTCTTCTGCTGCGCCTTATCGGCGTGCGCTCGGGTTAGATTCTATGGCTGGAAGAACACAGAAGCGAAGCGGGCAAGTATTAGGTCGCGCCATACTCGCTCTAATGTATTTGGGCTGCTTCTCTGTTCATGCTGCGACGCTCCTCCTCCGCCTCGCTTTATCTTGGCTGGTGTCTTGGGCGTCGTTACTTGCTTACGCTCACCTGCAAGGCGGCGCGGCTTTCTGCTTCGCGGGTGGTCGACCTCTGGCATTTCGTTTCAGCCAAGACGGAGGGTCGCTGTGGCCATTCTTTCTATGACGCCTAGGGGCTCTGCTGTGGGTCTCTTTTGCTTGAGCGGCCTTGTGCTTATGTCTAGAGCAAACTCCTGCTCGAGGCTGAGGCGGTCCCGATCTCTCCAAGCTGTCGCCGACTGAGGGTTTTGCCTCTCGCTCTCTGAGTTTTTTATCGCTGGACTTTCTCTCGTAAGTCCTAGCAGGTACTCACTTAGCCGGGTATGCTGCCGCGCCATGTGGTGCTGGTCTCTCGTCCGCTGGTAGAAGGCATGCGTCGAAGGATCTTCGATCGTGTTCGACATTCATCTTCATGAGAGCGGAAGTTTCTCCCTTGAAAACATGGGAAAAAGAGGCGTCGCGTGTAGTCCTGTCCAAAATTGGACAGTATAAGAAGCTCGGTTCTCTTTTTCTGTAGTTCTCCCTTGAAAACATGGGAAAAAGGGGCGTCGCGTGTACTAGTCCTGTCCAAAATTGGACAGCGTAAGAAGCTCGGTTCTCTTTTTCTGTAAAAGTTGAAACTTTTGGAAGCTCGCAATCGTGTCGAATCCGCATGAGATTCCGCGTTTTGCCTTGGTAGTGTTGATAGTGAAAATCTCCCTTTTTTGATCAAGAGAAATCGCAGGGCTTCAGTGCTAGAGTCGTAGTCTCAAGGTAGCTAATTGTAAATTTTCCACCTCAATCCCCATGGGTGTGCCCCGGTTTTCAAGGGGACAGCGACAGGTGACAGCGACACTAACGAGGAACCTACATTCATGGGTTCATGGGTTCATGGGTTCATGGGTTCATGGGTTCATGGGTTCATGGGTTCGTGGGTTCATGGGTTTGGGGTTTGTTTGTTTTTGTGTCGGAGGTTTTGGGTTCGGGTGTTGGAGGTTTTGGGTTTGGGTGTTGGAGGTTGAGGTTTCCGAAGGGATGTGTTTGCAAAGTTTTATTGCTCTTAATATTGATTATATTGATATTGATGCTGACACGAGGACTAGAAAACTTTAAGTACTTCTTAACATCTGTCGTGCGGTGGATCTCATTAACAAGTATTTCCACGAATGACACCTTATCCTCAGGTTTCTAGACCTGGTATTCCGCAGTATGGAGATCAACACTTTTTTGTTGACGGATTTCGTGCACTTAGGGAACTTTCGGTCTGTTGCCGATGATCTGAGTGCGTGCCAAGAAGGGATCGCGCGACAACTAGCAGAGATGCGAGGTGTGGTGAACAAACGCACTGGTCGCCGACCCGTTCTATCGACCTACCGTGGAGATCTCTTCGCGGTGAAGAGGGAAGCGATGGCACACATTACCGGTCTCAAGCTTGTTACGTCTAACAAAAATTTGCTCCTAAATCAGTTTCGTGTGCAGACGTTCGTAACCATTTTTATCCTGCTCCTTTATCATGTCCCATCAAACATATTTAGATTTTTGCTAGTGATGCAGCTGGTGCTAGTGTATATGCACCACTGTTCATAATGATCAGCTGTTCTTACGGATCATTTCCCTACAACTTCTAACCCGCGTTCCGAGCTTTGCGCACCAGAGGGACTAGGGCCAGTTTGGCCACTCTTGTTCGGAAAGCCATTTCTCCTTCCGACACACGAGGACGATGCTAGTATTCCAACATTTTTGCGCACGCTCGATGAAAACAGTACTGCGACACTGCCGAAAAAGTTCTCAAACTATCTGACCTACGTTTTCGAAAACAACACAAAACTAGCGGTGATTAAGAGTAAGTGAGAAGGTGGCGGCGCGAGGAAAGGGAATCGTTCCAACATGGTTCAAGCGTGAACATGTTACCACTTTAACAACACATCGTAGCATCCTTTGTCATCGACAATTCCGGCCCGATATACAGTCTAGTCCTAGAATACCACACACACACACGAGAGAATTTGTTAATGCTGAATCTGAATACACTTGGGAATGTAGCCAAATATTAAGCACTGAGAGTAATATTCGACGTGGATGTTCATGCTCTTCTATTTAGAAGGCACAGGGACAGGGTGGCTGAACGGCCTCAATAACGTCAGGTAAGACGTAGTACGAGGTAACATGACATTTGACATTTCATGTATCTACTAGTTCTTCCTTGAACGAACGCATAGCGAGGGACCATGATTAGCGAGCGCCTCTTGTAAAGCGCTAGTCGAAAAAACCTCGCTGTGATGTGTGAGCGGACAGTGTTCTACCAAAAATGACAATCGGTGATTCAGTTGTAGCGATGACGAGCGTTGTAAGATTTCTACCCGGGAGTGAGGCAGAGGAACGAGTCGAACAAAAGGGTGTACAGTTCCACGACCTACGCTCTTTCATTTTTTCTTCTTTCCTTCTGGGTGCCACCGAGAGCGTTTACTCACGCAGCGAGTGCCGTGACTCGTGTTTCTAACAAAGTATTATACTGTGGCAAAAGTCCACGTGTTCATTTTGTGCGACATTTCATCTCCACTGATCTTAACTTTCTACAACTAGGAGTCTTTCTAGATCATACGATTGGATTGCGATTTCTATTGCAAAAAGTAAAGATTATGGCAGACCTCGCGATTGTGCCTTTTCAAGAGTCGTTCTCCGCGCTTCCCAGGCTTTCGCTCTCGCGGTTGCACGAGGATTTCGCACATTGAGTATCGAGTAGTGCCAATGTTTCAGCAGGGTGCGCCATCACCCCGGCTAACGCCATCATCTATCTCGATAGACGAGTTGGTCAAAAAGTAGAACTCCAGCTTTCGATAATTCAGCCAGATATTTTCCAGAGCATTTCTCCTATGCATAATCACATTTTCCGCACCTATGAAACCATTATAGACGAGGCACAGGCGATCACAGTCAATGGCAACTTTCTCTATTTCTTCTCTATAAATCCGGCCTTCGTAAGTCTATATTAAACGAGCACGAGAACAGACGAGCGTAGTCAAAATATTGTTGATTATATACATAGTAATACACTAACACTTCGCGCACGTGCAGCTGCAGACTCGAAATTGGTAAAAAAATCAGAACTGCATTGCTATGTCCATCATATCCGCAGATCACCCTGCTCCTTTTTTATTTGCCTTGCTATTAGATTTCTTAGATCGTCCTTCCTGGCTGCATCCCCACGTTGCTTGCTTAGGTTAGATACGCAAGTATTCAGACAGTACAATCTACAAATGCAACGAGATCGATGTCGTTCATGAAATTACATGATTAGTTGTTTTTGCTCCTGCTCTTGAAAGATGAGCTTGATATAATTAGTCCTAGTAGGTTTAGTGTGAGGCATAGAAGTTAGTTTTCTTCAACGTGCAAGTTCATTTCTTGGTGTCAACGACATAGTCCCAGTTATTAGTCCTAGACTGTGCTTGAGACAAAGATAGAAGATAGTAGTCTTTCATCCCAGTCCCACACAAGAAGACGTGTATACACACGTACACGGTCCGCTGAAAATCTAGTCCTAGTAGTTTGATCAGTTGTTCTGAGACCGTCTCGAATTGGACCGTCTCTGAATAGAGCGTGTTTAAATTTCAACTAGATTAGTAAAAGGTCAGCAATTTGTGCGACTTGTGCTCCTCTTTTGATTGCAGAAAGCTACGTTTCGTTCAATTGAAAGTCATTCGTCTCACTAAATTGACCCTTGTTGTTCTTTGAGTAGCTAGACCTAGACGTTCGCTGTTTGTCTAGACCTGGTAGATTTTTTTCTTCTATCGAAATGTCGGGTTCTACAAAGAAGACAACGGAGAACGAGGCGGCCGTTGCTCGAATGGAGGAAGCGCTCGCTGCTTTTGGCCAAGGAAAATTCGTATTAGTTATGGACTCTCCGGATCGCGAAAATGAATGTGATCTCATCGTAGCGGCAGAGTATTGCACGGTGGAACAGGTATTGGCTTTTGTCTAGTACTACAGCTTAACATCAGGGTGGATGTGAACAACAAGCGTAACAATTTCAAATCACAACGACATTCATGTTGTTGCGCAACTAACGTTGTCCACCAACATTACAAAAATCACAGATGGCGTTTATGATTCGCAAGAGTACAGGAATCATATGCGTAACGACTGGCAAGGAAAGATTGGAAAGTTTTGGGTTACATCCTGCAACGGGTCGAAACACGGATCCGAATGGAACCAATTTCTACGTTTCCACTGACTATCTGATTGGAACTACCACAGGAGTTTCGGCGGCGGTAAAAGTTTTTCATTTAATTGTTTTCTGGACTCCACAGTGTTTATGTTATACGTGCAGACTTTGTTTGAGAATTGTTTACTCAGGGGTTGTTGCATTGAACATCTAGCACCAATACCAAACTCAAACTCTGCATGCCGAACAGACATACTCACTATTCTAAATATACTATAGCACCCTCATCCTGTTGCTGATCATCCTCTGTTTGTAAATCCACCTCTCAGGACCGTGTCGCGACCCTTCGCGCTTTCTGCGATGTGAAGAACAGCAAAGCTGAGGACTTCTCGAAGCCAGGCCATATGTTTCCGCTCTGTGCGAAGGATGATGGTGTCTATGTGCGTGGTGGACACACTGAGGCAACCTTCGACTTCTGTCGTCTGGCACCCGGCGTCCGCCATCCAGTTGGGGCATTGGCTGAGCTAATGCACGATAATGGCGAAATGTATCGAGCAGAAGACTCACGGAAGTTTTTATGACTGATCTCTGGTCGAACAACCTAGAAGTGTTAGAGTTAGTTATATCGTGTTCGTCATCATGTATAGAAAGTGCATGATGAAGCAAACAAATTACAAAGTTTCCTGTCGTCGTCTCAGTGGAATTTCGTTACGAGATGCAAGTTCTGGCAATTGTATTTTCCTGAGCAACTGTTCTGCTTCTGTTGTCCCTTGTTTTTGTATTTTTCTCTACCCAGCCGACTCTCTCTAAGGTCTGCTCTCGAGTACAATATGCCAATGGTCTACGTTGACGATATCGTTCGGTACCGCAGACACAAGGACGAACTGCAGAGATTGGCAGAATCGTCGCGGAAGCATTTGGGCGTACCACAACGCCAAATCAGTGAAGAAACGTCGAAAAGTCCGATGGCAGTGCCGAGAGGACCAGTCGCGTTTCCTAGTCGACAGGTATCTGTAGGGGTGAACGATCCTGGCGAACCAGTCTGCGCCCCTGCACCGTCTTCGCTACAGGAAGAACAAGGGAGGAAGAAAGTGCCGATTTCACCGATCCTGGCCCCAGGACCGTTTGCTCAAATAAGAAAAGAGGGGCGGCTGGAAGTGGTATACAACGACAATTTATTGTAGTTTTGATGTCGCTACCGTGATACTCCTTCTCGCCATTTCTACTTTCTTGTCATGGTCGTTCATGCACTCTCCATCTTACTTCATGGAATGTATCCATTGCGCAAAACCGCGGATTGAATTTGGCACCCTAAAAATCAAGTTTTCCACATTCATATGCACTCCAGGCTGAAGACGCGTCTGCCTCGTTAAGCTTTCGAGGGATTGAAAGCGGTGCTGTACGAATGATTGTGAAACCGAGTCCAACAGGTGCAGAGACTATACTTTTAGTAACAGGCGACGTCTCGAATGCGACCCGTGTGCCTGTTCGCGTCCATTCTGAATGCTTCACTGGAGACACCCTAGGTTCGAAGATGTGCGACTGCGGTGAACAGCTAGCGGCGTTTAAAAAGGTATTTCTTTTCGTTTTGTTTGAATGCTAGTTGGTGGAAAGTGAGATCGAAGAAAAAGTCTTAACAAGAGGAACTAGATGAAATTTATGTCTGATGAGAAATAGCCGTAGCCCAAATGAATCCGCGTGCCGTTGCAAGTACTTACTTCCAGTTCCAATCTTTCCTCGCCAACGCCAGGTCATGGATTCCCGAAAGCTTGGAGTTTTAGTATACCTCAAAGGCCATGAAGGTCGTGGGATCGGCTTGTACCATAAGATTCGAGCTTATGAGTTGCAGACCAGTGAGGGGCTCGATACAGTGGAGGCCAATGAGCGCCTTGGCTTCGAGAACGACTACCGCGACTTCGACACGGCAATCAGCGCACTAAGGGATTTAGACTTGAAGTCCATCACCCTGTACACCAACAATCCAGACAAGGAGAGGCTTATGCGGGAAGAGCTGGGGATTGACGTGGCAGTGAATTCCTTGCCGACCAGTCCAAACCGACACAATTTCAGATACTTGGAGACCAAAAAGCACCAGCTGAGGCACCGTACAATTATGCAGACCTTTGATTTGGATAAGGAGATCGAACAATCAAACACTTCAAGAACAAGGAATCAAACCGAAGGACTTTCCTCCAGTACAAATCTTGTAGGAGGGGGCTCATCTAGTACAAATCTTGAAGGAGCAGGTGGAGCGCAACAAGTAGTACAGGAATCGTCAGCAACGCCGACGCCAAGAACAAGGGAGCTTTTTTCGCCAGGCACGACAGGCGAGACCTCGATAGAACAGAATAGACCTGATAATAGAGGTGCGCATCAAAGCAGAGGAGGAAGTGCAGCTATTACTTCGGTGTCGCTGCATTTTAGTAATGGCACGCATGCAGAACTGCCAATTACATTTACCTCTGGGGGCGAAGCTGCAAGAAGTAGTAGCAGCAGTAGTCCACCTATCCTTCCACCTGTAGGTCCTTCTGGGGGTGTTACTCTTACATCAGCCTCAACTCATCTCAACGAAGATAGCAACTTCATAAGTGGTCGTGGCGCCACTTCTCCCGTTGATATGGTTGCGTTCAATCATGCACTGGACCCTGATGCGAGGACGCGGTCTCTCCAAGAATTAAATCCTCGAAACAAGCCGCGTTCTGTCGTAATCATCTCCACAAAGTGGAACGCAGCGTTGCTGCAACCTATAGTGGACTCTGCTCGCGAGTATCTGACAGCTAAGGGCGTGCCAACACAGTGGCATCTGTGTGCGGGTCACATGGACTTGCTCATTGGGGCAAAGACACTCTTAGCGCGCAGAAGGCCTAGACCAAGAGCGCTGATCGTTCTGGGCATGATGGTGCCGAACGAGAGGAAGAGTGGTATGAGAATTTAAAATTTTTGATCTTTGAAAGAAATAAGTTACCTTGAATTCTTGAGCAGGCTGCTCTTCTTGAAGCAACTTCAAACTTTCGAACTTCCCCCATCTCGCACACCAGATGTCCCGATCTTGGAAGCTGATAGAAGTGCTATTGTGAATTCTTTATTGAATTTGACGCTGAGCAACGATGTGCCGATAATCCAGGGAATCATGTGGTGCGACTCAGAGGAGCACGCTCGTGCCAAAGCTCGCGCCGGCAACAATCCCGGGCGTGCATATGCCCAGTCCGCGTTGTACATGGACAGCATGCTGGAAACAACCGAGATCGAAGATGAGGACGCCTTCGGATTTGGATCGTCTGCAGAAATGGAAGCAACAGAAGCGCAAGATGGAGCTAATATAAATGCGAATAATACTGTTTCTGGTGGCACCACAACTGCAACTTCTTCTGCGGTTGTGCCTGCGAAAAATGCAACCCCTCCTACTGTGCAACTTTTCTCTAATGTGGTAAACGTTGCAATTAAGACAGGCGATGCTGCTGCATCGCCGACAGAGGAGAAAAATAGTGTAGCAGAAGTCGTGGGGAGAGTTTAAAGTGGTGTGAATTACGCGTTTTCTGAAATTTGTTGTGCCGATAATTGGGGTAGCAACACGCAATTATCTTTCCACGACGACACGGAGGCCAAGGCCATATAATCATCTGCAATCAAATCAATGATCAAAGTAGTGACCTCCACGCTGTCATATTGTTGTACCATAACCATAAGCGGACAGAAGAAAAGGTATTTTCCTCATTGTGTAAAGCTAGTTATTTACTTATACCTTGGTTTGTTATTGTTTCATCTTCATAGAAGGGAGCTACTGCAAATTTTCCATAAAAGCCTCGGACTTGCACTAACATATTACGCGCAGCACAAGTAGAACTAGGGGGGGTCTCTCTCTGGCTCGCGTCCGATGACTGCAGTCCTACTTGATTTTAGCTATACTTTTTCACTTGGTTGTTCTTCATTTCACATTGACAGTGAAACTGTGGCTGTTCTTGTAACATGAATGTTGGAAGTACTAGTGATGACCGACGACCACTATGCTCCTAGTTTATCGGTCAACTACAGAAATCTAATGAAAACATTTTCCGTCATCCGGAATTGCAATGTACTTACGCCTACTTTGGTGCTCTGTTGACTTGTCTCAACATGTACTTAATGCTACTAGGGCATGTGTTACAGTTTAACTTTCATGTGTATGTGTACACCACCCATACTTTACGGTTTTGAAAAATTTAAAGATCATACTCCGCTTTGTGATCGGGGAAAAGACCACCACATTTGACATGGTGTTGAGTAAATAGAAGATGAAACTGAGATCCAACAGGCACAGAAGATCTTCAGTGTATTAACAGTGAGACATTGAAATTGATGTTCATCTGGCACGAGCTCCAAAAATCAGCAAGAATTATTCGTAAGTAGTTGCGATAAGAGAAAGATCATGTCGAGCGAGTAGAGTTGTTCGCAGAAGTGGTAGCATGTGAAATATGTAGAAAAATAGAAACAAGCAGTTCACTTCGCAACCCATTAAATCCTCCCATTTTCTTTTCCTTCGACCACCAGTCTTTTTAGTAGCGCAGTCTTAATTTCAGCCTGATTATATTCATCTTTGTGTGGTATTGTTTTGTGCAGTCAATTGTTTTTCGCGGCTTGTCACTTGTTAGTTATCCTGTAGGTAAGCTGTTTAGACGACCTTTCATTTTTTCGAGACATTACTTTTTCTTTGTTTCTATCTCAGTGGGATACATAGATAGCAAAAAAACATGGCAGAAGTAGAGGAGTCTGGTGTCGTGGCAGGCCAGGAGCCGGCTGCGTCATCATCCGCACCAGCGACACCCGTTAAAGAGCCTCCTTCATTGCTATCGTTTCCTTTTGTGCCGCACACAGAAATGCCGGAAATGAAGACGGCGAAGAAGATGACGTACTCTCTCTACTTTCAATAGTTATGGGAATAGAGTTGTGCCTCAGTGAGCACAAATTGAACAGCTGCAAACCACCACCTTTAGTCTAGGTAAAATCATCATCATCAGGAGAGAAGTCGTGGCGTAGAACGATCTGATAGTAGTAGTCCTTCGAAACCACAATCAGGAATGATATTTCTATTTCTTGTATGCCTTGATGTTGATGACTTTATCTTGCGTCTATAACAGGTATTGCCCAGAATGCGGCTTACCGCCAGATTTCGTCGAGTATGGTGGTAAATGGGAGCAAAGTAAGCTATGGGTTCTCGCAAATTTTCCGCAATATTATCCGGAATTGGCAGGTATGATTAAAATTTTTTACATTTACTACCTATAATTCCCACTAATTTGTTGTGTTTCGTTGTGCTTCCAATCGATAATCGGCCGTTCATCTGCCAGTATTATAAATTTCTCCGCACACCTATGTACAGGTCTCTCATTGGACGATATGAAAGAGGAAGCGGCAAAAAAGAAGGCAGAAAACGCAGAGAAGGAGAAAACAAAGGAGCTTCCAGGAGGAAAGAAAAAACGCAGTGCTAGTCCAAAGGTACTATGATTGCTTATAGTACGACTTAATGAATCTCTATGTGCTGCCCATGAGCCTGATTGCAACTACAGCATGTACGGTGTTTTTCCTGACAACAAACTAGAACAACTATGCCCTCTAGACAAGAATTTTGACTTTTACTATGATCGATCATATTCACTTTCACTTGTCCTCGTTCAGGTTGTAATCAAAGTAGCGAAGAGACAGGGTCGCAAGATGATAACGACAGTAACCGGCCTGGACGGATTCGATGTTAAGCTGGATGCAGCAGCGAAGCTCTTCAAAAAGAAATTCGCCTGTGGTAGTGCGGCAGTAAAGGGCGGCCCAGGAGCGCCTGATAGCGTTGAAATTCAGGGTGACCCAGGACAAGATGAAATTATTGCACTCTTGAAAAAAGAATTTCCCGAAGTACCCTCAAAAAAAGTTGAGTTTATTCACGCATAGTTGAGTTCATTAATGCATGACGATTATAATACATGCTTAGCCCCGCGAAGAACTCCGGTTCACCACGACATCTACCCTCCCGAATACCTCTTTGACTTCCATGTATGAAATCACAAATTTAATGGTTAAGAAAGCTTTTGAGGGCCTCCATGAGCTCATCCCATGGTGGTGGGGGGCATCTGATTGTTAAACGCAATTAAAAAGTCGCGGCGTAACGCCTCTACTGCAACCAATCAAGGCAGCGAATGCAGGAGGTTGTTCATTTTTGTTTTTCTGACCACGGAGGAAAAGAACTTCCTGCTATCCTGATCCTTCTTGCGAGAGCTCACTTTGTCGTAATCGAATACGCAACTTCAAGATACAGATTATTAGTCAGCAGCATGCGTGTTTCTCTGGCGTAATCCTGTAACGCCAACAGAATCAGCGAGCGAAGGAACAGTCCATGACATAGAATTTAAACAGTATTCGTAGAATTGTTGCAACTTTTTCTGGATCGGTGCATCAACATCGTACAATGTATGATTTGGTCTGGTGCATGTCGTAATACGAATCAATTACCTACTCGTATTGGTTATAATGAATAACAACTTCATATCATCGTTTCATGACTTTTGAACATCATTTATGCTCCTGACAAATATGGCCGCTCATGTCGTCGTAGCGAAGACGCGATAGTTGCTCTCATTGTGGATCTGCATGCCTTGATTTCGTTATCTCCTCGGTGGAATAGGCAGGAAGGACGAGCATCGCGATGGTGGACCCCGGAGATGCTCATCTCAAGGCGGAAATCGTGCTTTGGGCAATCACTTTCGTCTCTGCTGTGACTATCACCGCAGTGGGAGACCGCTGCCGTGGCCTTCTTCGATTTGTAATCGGCGGTGCGTGTTTCTTTGCGATCTGTGAACGGCTCATCCCAAGACCGGAGTTCCCGCTAGTATCTTCACATCAAAGTTTGTCTTTGCAGGAAACGTTTGAATATGAGGAACTCACCTCCTCAGCCTCGGCTGCGGTCGCAACTCGAGCGAACACAACGACCCATGTTGGCGAGCAGAATCCTATACCTGCAGTGTCAGACTTTCTCCTGTTGTCTGCGCCGACAAGTATTTTCGACTTTCCCGAAGAACCTCGTTATGACGCACAGCGCGTAGTTCTTTTCGGGACCCCTGAAGATGACGGAACAAACTTGGACTTTGCGAGGCGGGCATTTTACTCCTACAGATTGACCTTTTGGCTGCGATTCTCGATAATTACCACTGCGGCCGTTGGCTTCGCGGCTTTAAGTTCTCTCTCGCGTAGAGCATGCATGATCACAGTGGGTGGCGCTCTTGGTTTGTACGTTGTTGCGCCGTGGCTCGCAGTTGCAGCTGGTCGCATACTGGCACTAGACTCTCCTGAGGGCGCTTCCGGAATTCGGACTATTACAGGGAATATAGTCACTAGAGGAGCTCACCGTCCTGAGCAGTCGTCGTCCGCACAAGGTGAAAGCGAATCATTTGTACTGGTGCTAGCAATACGCAACCAACTTTTGAAGCTACAACCGTCTCTATCAACAACTACAACAGCTGCTGCATCTTCCCTGTTTCATAACTTCGAAGCTACATATTTTCTCCGACACGCAGCGCTTGTCTGGCTGCCATGTCTTCTTGTCGGCCTCGTGTTTGCCCTGCTGATACCTCGTGCGGCCTTCTGTACACTCATTCCGATTGGAGTCTCGTCTGCCGGAGCCGAAGGACTTGTGAACCTACTCATTAGTCTTGTGCAATTGTTATGGCTCACGATAATTCATCCACAAAGGATGTACTAACATCTTCCAATAATGTCCTTTTTACGAAAGAACCAGGTCCTCGAGGGAACAATAGATTTGCCTAGGTGGAAATGGATTATTGTGAGTTCTAAAATTTTATGGCAAAGATGCTGATCGTAACCGTCCACTCTGGTTTATTTCTTACCGGCTGCTACCAAATCGTACTCCGACACTATTGCGGCCGATACTGAGCTTCTCCCCGAGCGGCAGTAATTCCAGTACACCGATGGCCTCTGATGTACTCACAGTCGCCTTCTGGCAAAAGGTCTGGTCTGCCTGTGGATTGGCGACAAGGAGGCTGTTTCACGTAAACCAGCACTTGCGGCTCTTGGCTTTAGGCGCTTCCGGTCTCTCGCATCTGGAAAGGCGCAGTAATGCTAGAGTGGTTTTTGCGGATCCCGACCCGTTACAGGATAGGTTGTATATTCGAAACTTGGCTGTGCATGTGGAAAATTCTGGAGCTGACTCTGGAGATGTGGGTGCAACATCTTTTCCAAGTTTTTTTCATACGGTTCCCGGTCAAATACTCATAGCAGCACCACAAGGAGTTAGACCGTTGCAAAATATTGTGGATGCTCGGACACGCTTCCAGCATCTCCGTAGAGGGCAGGACGCTGGTCAGCTAAGCGACGTCGATCGATTCCTCTGGCAGGACTCGGCTGACGAGCGCTTAGCACCGTTGAAACTAAGTTGGAAAGCTGACTTTTCTCCTTCTGTGTTTGTGTATTGTTTGTATGGAATCGTGTTCTTGTCGCTGCTGCTGACGTCATCTGCGTTGCAGTGGTCGCGAGCCTTACAGGATGAAGAGGATGAGGAGGACAACGAAAACTCAACATTATCTCTGGAGGACGCTGCCCGAAAAGGAAAAAGAGGAGGAGTCTGTTCTCGTCGCCGATCTTGGGGCCGCCATCGAAGGGGTTATTCGCGAAGGCGCTCCAGCAACTCTTGTTAAGGATTAACTGCGTAAAAAGGAACCAAATCATAATCAATCTTTCTGTGGGTGTGATATGATAAAAGATACAACTACTTCTACTTCCGGTTGTAGTGACTAATCTATCTTCAGTGTTAATCTTATGGCGCGGATGTTTCGACATTCAATAGATGATACAAGAAACCAAGTAACTGAAAATAAATGGCGGGAAAATATTTGTGCTACGCGAGCTCCGGCGACTGCTAATTTCTCGGTAACACGACAGAGGACGGTGCAGGCTCACGCACGCAGAATGAGAGTGTAATCGAGATCGATACCGGGAATAGTTCGCCGCAGGATAGCACCGACTTGGAGTCTCTCTCCCCCGGAGAGAGGGATCTTGAATTCGAAATGGATCTTGACTGCGGACGAGGTCGTTTGCCTCGGACCAGTGTAGTTTTGTCAAAATCTCACAGCAAGCGGAACAAGAACGAAGGAGGAACTTCGAATGGTGCGAGAGGAAATTCTAAGGTGTCCGACCTTCGGAATCGTTCAACCACATCATCCTCCAAAAGAAAAAAGGAAGAAAGACGAGTGCGATCGACTAGAAATAGTCCAAAGCACGATAAGACTGCGTATAGGGATAATAGTTCCTCGGCTGATGATAAGGTCCTCAACCCTGGAGATGACAACACTATGTCAAAAAAAGGAAGACACCTGAGGCGGGATCACGAAAGAAGGAACGACAGCACGAATCGACGACACAAATTGGCAAGCGAAGCGTCTTTTAGAAGAGATGAAAATACCTTGCGCAGCCATAATCAGCAACTGGAAGACCAAGAAGGCTCACGTGGGCGACGTCGTTCTGAGTTTGATTTTGCAGAATTGCGTGAGGCCTGCCGAAGGCCAATAAGGCATTAGCTGTATTCAAAATTTTAATTTGGATTTGCATTCACAATCGCATCTTTTGTCCCCTATCCATGAAGTAGGTAAGGAAGTATCACGAACTGAGTTATACTATCGTCGTCAATTTATGATTCACTACTACAACTACTATCATAAAGGAATCGATTTTTGAGGTATTATCTATGCTGATTACTGGCTACTATGAAAAACCCGATCGGATTAACACATTTCTATGTCCTATGTATTGGATCCGTCAGCAAATTGATAGCACAAAACAATCGAACATAGCTGTATGTAGAAACGCTACCTTCTATGAACACGGCAATCTGAAGTAACGAACTAGCGGATACCTTCATATTGATTTCATGTGTGGCAAGCCGATTCTCTTTGTATTCTAAGCATAATTATATATAAATATTGACGCACTCATCATACAGGCTAAAAGTAAAATCATTCATGGAATTTTTCAAGCCCTATTGTCATAGGTAGTAGAAAGATTATCTTTACAAGCGAATTTCCGTTTCAATCCTTATGTCATGTCCATCCATCATCATAAGTTTTCGTAAATTGATTATATCTTTTACTTTCCTGATAATGCTGGTATGAACGTGGTAGTTGTTGTCATAAAGTATACTTCCAATCATCGCAGACTAGCCAAAATATCTACAGCGCGTTCAAAGATGAATTAGTTACCACTAGCTAAGAAAAACAGGAAAAGGCAGTTCATTGTTGTACAGAATGCTCATCAAAGAATGTGAACTTGTTTCGAGTAGGCCTCAACAAAGCTGGGATCTTTGATGGCTCCTTTGCCTACTGTTGTTCTTCAGAGGCTATTGGCTTATAGCTCTCTCCGATAGTTGTAGTTGTTGGCCGTTGGCATACGCATACGGTCCTATGCTCCCGCAGTATATAACTGTTTAATTGCTCGGTATAAATATTGAAGTGATTAAAAGGGAGGCAGCGTATAGTTCTATGGAAAAAAAAGATTGAGAATCAAATTGAAACCTCCTCTCACTTCGGCGTCGCGACTTGTTGTTGCTCTCTCTGCTGCTCACAAATGGATTTATTGATCTCTGCGCTATCAACATGAGCAGGCAAGGTGTGCCCTATTTTTTCACATGCCTAGGAAAGCGAGCATTGGCCCAGGGCCAACAGGGCTCTCATGTTTGTGGTCGCAGTCTCCGGCAAACGAACAAAAGGGATCGGAATCCTTATGGATGCCTAGAAATCTCAAAAAATTCTACAACCGGATAAGGATCATCAGCTTCTACAACCGGATAAAAAATAAAAATAACATCAGCAATGCGAATTATATTACCTACAGGGAGACCCCAACTGATTGATTGATTGATTGGGTCTGTTTTAGTTCCTCCGTTATCCAGCACCGCCGCTCGTTAGCCGGCCGCATACAGTTGATTGCTTACCTTCCTTCTTCATTAGTCAAGAACATGTTCGTGAAAAATTCGCGAAAAATGACAGACGGCTTCGGCAAGAGGGTTCCTGCGTTAAAACGATAGGACTTAACTAATGACCGAGTCCGATATCTTTGTCATTGAAAAACCAGACTCGGCGCCATTGACACGACAGGGCCTCCAGGCGAGGAGTTCATTCATTCATAATAAATATATGTAGTACAATTAGGAACGACTTCTAGGGTTCATTAGAGCGCTTATTAACTACTTAATTCGAAGTTCTTCGTCTTTTGCAAAGCTTGCATTGATTTCTCTTGATTATAGATTGGTGGAGTACGACCAGCTGCATAGAAAAGATGCGTGTGACTATTCGTTATGATGGCGAGAATGCCTTGGTCATTCGCGTCACGCTGCCAGAGAGCAAGACGAAGGAGATGACTGCTAGGAAACTGGTCCAACTGTTCGCCAAGCAGTACGACAAAAAGTTCGCAACGGAGTTAGCAGTGGCAGAGCACTACCTCAAGGTAGTCGGCGGTGGCAGCCTTCGCGATGAGCAATTATTGGCCGATCACCTGCCGGCCGAGGGCGGGGAGGTAAATATACTTCCAAATGACAAGTCAACCGCGTCTTCAGCAGGAGGAGCCGCGACTTCTTTTTCAGCAGGCCATGCCGCTGCCGCGAATGGAAATTCAACGATGCCAGCAGCCTCTGACGTAAAATCTAGCGCAGATCCAGCTAGCACTAAGTTGAGAATAAGCGCAGCAGTTGCGGGGCCCACAGCAGGAGCATCATCTTCGACCTTGACAGCGGCGGAACAGGAACGAAAAGCTGCCCAGGAAGCAGGGAAATTGCGTTGCAAAAATTTTGGCTGCAACAAATATTTCTTAGAAAGCGAAAATCATGATGGCGCTTGCAGACATCACAAATCTGCTCCGATATTTCATGAGACGGCGAAGTGGTGGTCTTGCTGCCCAAATACCAAGGCCTACGACTGGGACGAGTTCCAGAAGGTACTAAAGAATAGATACTTCTGTAGTTGGAAAAAAGAAAATTCAATGTGGTTTTCGTAGGAAGCATGCAGAATTTCAGAAATTTTGCAGAATCTGGATTACTGAAGCAAGGGTATATTAGAATCGTACTACTACTTACTCTCTATGCATAAGCAGCCACCTTTTCACAAAACAATCTAACGTTATCGCTATCTACCCTGATTTCATCTTCTTAAGATACCGGGATGTCAATGGGGACGACACTCCAACGTAGCAGCGAAAAAGCAAGTGCTTGGTGGTGTTGATTTGCGAGAAGCGAATGCACCTCAGAGAATAGATGATGGTCCGATGGAGCCCAGGAAAAAGGTACAATGCTAGTATTTTCTTACTCGGACTTCTTCTGCAACCTACAGCCTCGTCTTCATTTTCATTCTTGGAGGATATTAAAACTTTGATATTTTTCAAAATGATGTGTCTACGCACGCCGACGATGACCCTAGTACTACAAGTTCTACGAGCAACATTTTTCCGCTCTTTGTCTTATTTTTTGTATTTTCCTTTCATGTATTTTCTATCTGTTGACACGAATCAGCTCGACCTTTTGCGCAAGGGAATGTCGGTATGTGGGGTGGCCGAGGATATTTTTGACAAGGCATGGGGCCGATGTATGGTGAAATGTGGCGGTTCGCTTGATGCTGTTGTGGATCGAATGGCACAAGCTTGCGAACAGGCTCTAGTCAGCGTACAAAGCGACGATGTGAACGGAATGGATTGATAAAGGCTTTTAGACGATTAGACGATGATGTTGTTCATAAACTTTATGTCCGAAGTTGTCCGCAGCACCTGACTTTTTTTTTCAAGCACCTTGGGCACGCCTGTTAGTTTTGCCTTCGATCCTCTTGAAACTGAATTGTCAACAGCCTCTTGCTTCACTACCTACTCCGACTTCCACTATATATAATTTACCAGCGACTGCAGTATAAGAGGATATCCCAACACCTTGGAAATGCAATAAGAATATATTCCATTACTTCTACCTAAAATATAAACGGATCCTAAAATAAACGTGGCCACTAAGATTTATTTAGATATTTGGAATACTTGACTTTTTTTCGGTCTTTTGCTTTCTAGTTAGGTGTGCTCCACCGATATACTCCATTACTTCTACCTATAACCCGGTCTTCTCTTAGATGAATATCCATGACCAGCCCCAGCGCCAGGAAGAAACTCCTCACTCGTATGCCTTTGAAGACGTGCTTTCAGTAAATTTGCGCAATTTCACCAGCGACATTGTTCGCTCGCGCATGATTGTCACGACATGTTAAGCAGCTTCATATTTCCTACATTCTTATTTTCAACAAGAATGAAGAAAGCTCGCGGATAGACACTTTATTCCTACGGCGCGCGTGATTGTCAATCGGAGACTCACTTGGTGTTCTATGTATTCAGAGAATCGATTCTTGTTGGTGACCGAAAACAGCACGCACGTGGTCGGATCCCAGTTATATATTTATAATGTTCACTCTAATTTCATCCAGTGATGATCCTATTCGAGAATAAGTACGCGAAGACACACAAGTTCTAACATTATCTACTAATATCTATGATTCATGACCTTTATCATTTAAGATCTACTGCCAAGCGTAGGCGTAGTTTCGTTCTAAGTATTTGAAACAATCTGTCAGTAGATGTCGTTCATGTTATTCTGGTTCTGGCGCCTCTATATCTAAGGTCCGTACTGGTCGCGTCAGCGTTGGCGGTTTCACAATTATGTGATTTCTGTGGTGCGCGTGCGTCTCTCTTCGATCTAGATCAGCGCCATGCAAATTATTACGAACTTTTAGATCAGAAAACTAGAAGACTTTCGAAAATATTAATATCCTCTTTAATAGCATGCTAATAGTCAAGCAATCAAGCGAGAGAGAGAGAGAAAGAGCCATAGCAGAACCTAATTTTTGGACTTTGAAGGTCATCATGTACTTAATATGACAGATTGACATTTTTCTAACTATGATTTTTTTGATTCAACGAATTCTGAAACAAATCTACAAGGTTTTTGGTTATTTCGAAATAATACCACAAGTTTTGGGTTGCTGATTCACTGAGTCGTTGAGGTAGCCTCAGCCGGGTCTTAGCGACGAGTGATAGCATTAGCGTTGGCACGGGACGCAACATCTTCGAGAATATTCTTGGGTACGTGTTAGCATCACGAACTGTGAGAGCGACACGGCTCAGGTTCTTTTTTGGCGGTAGCCAACAGCAGCGAGTGATCTTGCTGTCCTTGTGATCCTGCTTTCTCATCAACAAGTGCCTGTTCATAGGATTCAAACACGACGGAAACCAACGAAATGATAGGTGCACTTGGGAATGGCGACAGCGCCAGGCGCAGCAGTAGTGATGTCCTCCAGGGAATTGCTAACAGTTTGCACGATATGGCGCCACCGGTTTCGCTCGCAGAGTTGCCCTTTTTCGCGATTTTATTTGCGGTTGGTAATATAGATTTCTACTTAATCTCAAGTTTGCGACCATGACAAAGATTCCATCATTTTCATTTGCCTCAGAACACCAAAACGCACACAACTTTTTCTTCTAGTTTCATCGGTTCTGACTGAAGTGAGGCAATATGTACTCTCCGTAGTCAATTTTTCCGCTCATGTTCTTGATGCACATTCACTTCAGGCGTTTTCCTGTCGTTCTTCGGCCACAAACTGAAGAAGACGGTGCTCTTTGTGGCGGGTGCATTGCTTCCAGTGTTCCTTCTCACTGTGGATTTCGAGGCAACTAAAGAGGTGAAAATAATTATATGGCCCTGTTGTGTCAGTCCGCAAACAATAATGTCGATGTTCGAATGAAAGCTAGAAGTAAAAATTCGTCTTCGTCTGCTGTTTACATGAGTTATCAAAAATCAGCAAAAACTCTTCTTGACCTCCTCTCGGGTTTCAAGTTCTAAGATTTCTGGTCGGGGTGCTCGGAGTATGCGCAGGTATCTTCTTTGTAAAGTTTCCGAAATGCGGTCTCGGCGGTATCGGAGCTGTGTGGGGTGCCGCAATGGGTCGAATGCTTTTTTTCTTTCTTGGAAACGTGCTGAAAGAAGATGTCTTCACTCCGAACAGAGAAGGTATAACATTATGACCTTAGAGCAGTACTTAGCGCATTTTTATCATGAGGAGCAGGTCCAGTTCGATGGCTCATCTTCTCTTGTCATGCGCATTCTAACGTCATAATGTCCTCAACAACGATCACGATATCAGTCATCAACGCAGTGTCGATTATCGTTTGCTCGATCCTCGGCGGAGCCCTGCTCGCAGGATGCTTCAGCAAGATGTATTGCGTAGTTATCCCTTTCGTCGGTGGGGTGCTGGGTGCGGATTCGCTAGGTACTTACTGACAGACTGGCAAACTTTTACTTCCAAACACCCGTGAATTCAAATTTCAAAGAAATACATCGAGTCTTATAAATATATATTCTTTTTAGTAACTAAGTTGATGTCAGCTTATGCTCTCGAAATTTCACTGCAGCGCACGTGGTGATTTTGGGAGTGCACAAGTGGGTGCGAGAATGGCGTCCGTTCTTTCCGCTTGATACGCCTCTGCTAATCACTGTAGAGGGCATTACCAGCGATCGTAACCAAGTGAGACATTATGATCTTGCAACAAAAATATGGATATTTATTTATTGAAGTAGATGACTGATGAACACTCACTCCATGACGTGTTTTGTTCCTGCTCGTCTTTCAAACAAGATATTCCAGCTATGTATAAATTCGAGTTTAGCTTTTCCGGATGCTGGTTAATCCAGGAATTTCTCGGTATGCCACGAACGTAATTGAACGTCTTCATGTCTGTAAGCCATCTCTCCTCCCAGGATGCAGGTGTCTACTTCGATTAAGTAGTCAGGGCTGGTGTAGATCTATGTTTATGTATGAAAATGAAAATTAATTCTGATTTTCAAAAATCTCTAACAATGCTACGTGGATAACATGGCTAGGACTGCCGAACGGGCCGTCGACGAGATTTTCACCAATTTTGCGTCTGTGCTGGGCGGAGAGATGCCACCTGAAAGCAGCGACCTAAGGCGTACTTACTTAGTGACACAGGAGCAGGATACTTGTTGTTATTTGTTCGAATGCGTGCTAGGCCAAAGTAGAACATATTGATATTCTTTTTCTTATTACCATCACTAGACAGCTTCAGTAGTTGAATAATAGCGATAAACATAAAAATCATCCTCGTCTTCATCTTCTCCTGCATCATTCTTTTTGTCCACCTACCACACGACAAAGTTCTTCATGAACCCATCGATTTTCTCTGCACAGATTTGTTGAGATACCGATTCCCGTGGGGAATCTGGATTGTTTTCTTCTTGTTGTGCTTCATCGTCGGTGTCAAGCTGCAAATTGACGAGTATCAGCGTGAAAAAAAGGAGAACAAGAAGCTTCAGGAACTTTCGGATGACGAACGTCTTGTCGCCCATTCGCATCCACCCGGTTATCGACGCCCAAACAGGATCGAGCGAGGACGCTATCTTGTCTGAGGAAAAGCGCTATATGTTTTGAGGGAGAAGGAGCCGAGCGCTCGGTGTTTTGGGGTATCGTGCGTTGATGCGGTAACAGAAAAACATCGGAGGCCTGTTTTCATGCCATTGGACCTTGCTTTCTTGCACGCGGCCGCGCTCGTGGACGAAGTAACGGTTGGTGCTACGGAGTCGTCTCTCACCCCACCACAATCTTACATGTACTAGGAACGAGTGGCCGGTGGACGTAAGCGGCAAAGGACCACTTACACTCTTACATGATGGTCATCCAATTTCACCAGGAAAAACTAATGCTAGTGGAAATGTTCGCATGTTCTACTCCTAATCCGATACTAACAAAATGAATTTAGATAGACATACGATCTTACTTTGCAATTTTGATTTCATTGCTTTCGTTCTCGTATCTATCTTACGTCGCCATCCATACGGGTATTAAGTGTCGCAATACTAAACAAAAACAACATTTTAAATCATGAGAGTAAAGCCCTAACGCATCAAAAGGATAAGATTATCATACGAGCAGGACTAGAAGTAAAACAAAGGACTATAAAAATAAATCAGTAGATGCTCACTTCTTACTACTCATAGAAGGTGCAATACCAATACATCACGTCAAACACATCGACACTTAAAGTACTCTTAATACGAGGTAGAAGAAAACGACATCAGCATCTGGTGGCGGCCACGAACCTGGTGCAGTCTAGAACTACATTAATTTTCATTAGAACAGACATATTCCATGAATCCTTCAACCATAACCATGAATCCGTCATCAGTCTAATCAATGTACAATCAAAACAAGCGTTTGCGTTCTTGAATACAACAAGCTTTGCTTGTCAGCCAGATCGCTCGTCAGTGACACTACTTGGGAACTTTGTTGACACAACTTTAGCTTTCTTGCATGCGTATGATGTAATTGGCAACGAGAACGACATCCTCAACCTCAAGCCTAGGGGACCCGGTTTGCCAAAAACAATTCCTGTGGATCACATATTTCGGAAAGAAATTACTTATCCAGGAAAGATAACCCAGCTTCAAACACAAGACATTCTTGTTTTACGATGAACGCGCTGGCTTCGCCTTCGCGCACAGTACGGTCCTGCCTCTACTACCATGTCGACCATGAATGCGAAACTCGGGGGTTCTATGGTCGTTTTTGAGGTTCATAGTACTGTAACACGCGCAACAGGAAAGACTGTCAGCAAGGAAAGGAAGTTCGGTCTCGACTGCATGATGTGGTTGTCTGAATTACTACAGGTGATGTACTTACTATGTGCAATTATTTAATTACAACACGATCATGGTATTCCTTTGCCACATCGGTCTAGTAGTGATGTCGATATGTTGATGCCGTTTGCATTCGATTTCGAGGTGCATCATTGTTGGCCGTCCTACCTATTATCTCCATTAATCGGTCGTGTCTTCAGGCGAATTCGGCGAGAATGAGTTCGGAGTTGTCGTCATTGAGGATACCGAGAATTCAGCACTTATCCTGATTGTACAGCTCCACCCTCCTTACCTGCCTCGCTCTCCCACTGTCATTCGGAGTTTACAAATAATGGCTACAGGATTTGCATTCGTGCATTTGAATGTTGTGTCGATACTCAGGTCTCACGATGAGTAGATTCATCCTTGACTTATTCCTTCGCCTTCCAACATCATTGCTTTTTCCTTAGATTAAAAATCGACAGTTTGGAAAGAGGAAGTAAAATACGCCAGCACCAGGATGCCATCGAAGACGGAAATGATGAAGAAGAAGAAGAAGAAGAGCACTGCAGTGACCCTCGCTAAGGGAGCCAAAACCTCCAAGAAAGTGGTCTCCGTCCGACATCTGCGCTCGCCTCTGAACAGTCTGGAAAAGAAGTCGACAGCAAAAGCCGAGACAAAGGGAGCTCAGAAGAAAGCCATGATTCCTGGATCCTCAAAGACTAAGAAGATGAAGATGAAAAAAATGCTAGTGAAGAAAAGCAATGATAAAAAGGCGGCCGCTTCTTCTACTTCTACCACGAATAGTAAGGCAGGAAAGAAAAAGCTCCTCGAGAAGTCCGCGCTCGCCAAGAATTTGGCCATGAAGAAGATGGCAAGGATGAAACGTGCTCCAAAGCTGGTTGTGGTTCCGGATGATATGGAGAAAGAAACGGGGATCGTGTTGGCCGATGGCGGGGTAGTAGTGCCGTCCGCGTCAATGGTAAACGGAAAGCTGGTAACGACCGACGGAGCCTCATCGGGTTAAGGCAACTATTTGGCTTCCGATTTCGATAGATACTTAGCTTCAATTGCGATAGAAACAACATGATTCGTAGCTCTAGCCAGTCCTCAGTTGGAAGCAAATGTGGGGACCCAAGTCCGTAGTCGTGTGAATGACAGCATTGGTAAGTGAAGCCGACAAATGCCCTGCTCTAATGTAGCAAGTTACGCGAGTACGCGACGGAAATTATTAGTACGCAACACGAAACTCTGTGGAAGTACAAGCGATCGATTAAGGACCCAATCAAGCGCCTGGCCCTTGCGGCAGACGAAGGAACGGTGAAGAAGCAGGTAGTTAATTTTATTGAGAGCAGTGACTTGGAAAACACTAATCCTCGTGTGTAGTAAAAACCGGCAGAACAAAAATCAAAGTACTTAGACTGCGAGTCTTACACATAGCACGTGCTAACTATTTCATGATTAAAGTTAAGCTCCGGGACTTTAGATATATTATTAAGTCTCTTGATCTCTAAGTAGCCAGCATTTGCTTTTCTTGATAACTGATAAGTGTAAGAACAGGTCAACGCCTAGACCACTAAGCCAACTGCGCAGTTGGCTTAGTGGTTTAGGCGTTGACCTGTACACTTATCTATCAATCAAACTACCGGGGTGGGTTCGGCCGCCTTTGTTGTGATCTCTGTCGCTAGGCACCCCCTGCCGTGGCTAGGTGGGTCACCGCCATTTTTGCGGCCGGTGTCACTAGGCTGCCTGGATCCTATGGGTCTGCGCCATTCTCGCGATCTCAGTGGCTTAGGCGTTGCAGACCTGTACACTTATCAATAACTTGCATTCTTAGATCGTTCGTGTTTCGCCGATCACTTGTAGTGAGCCCGGGGTGACGTGGATATCCCGTGGGGACCGGATCAGCCAAAAAATCTGGTGCGCCGCTTATCGCGATGCGCAGGGGCGCAAGCGCAACAAGTGGTTCAATTGCAAGCACTACGTGAATCTGGCAGACACAGCAGAGAAGCGCGAGGAGTTGGCAAGGGGACGCGCCATGGCTGTGGCTGTTAATTGGCTTCGAGAGCACAAAAAGCAGATGGCTGAACTAGGCATGCAGCAGCAGAAAAAATCCGGAGACGTCCGACAGTCCGGCGTTCTGGGCGTGCGCTGGCAGCACACCTCATGGGGTCCGGCAGAGAAACGAAACCGCATCGGCTGGACTGCATCGATTTCGGCGCACCAATTTTATGGTTGCTGCAGTCCTCACCTTTTCTCATGATATAATTGCTCGATCAGGAATTGTGATCGTGATTAAGTATCTTCTTGCACTCGCTTAGACACACATCAAGACATCCTTAATCACAAAGCTGCTTGCTTCATGTGTTGTACCTAATCAAATCTGCCTGGTGGTCTTTTTTGAGCCGAAAATTCTAAGAAAGCACGGGTAGATTGTCGAATGGTCGCGCCGCGCGGCCTGTAACGCGCACTTTCACGCTGAATATTCAAGAATGGCCAGACGAAGAAGAGCGCGAAGCCGAACTAGAGCGGTTGCGACAAAAAGCGATTGCTCAGCGCCAGAAGTGGGAGAGGGAGGTCTTCTTATGCAGAACAGCTCAATATACCTGCTCGAAGTCCAATTCTCTAGTATTAGAGCTAGAAGAAATCCATCTTCAGCGGCATCTTCCGTCTTTTTTCCCTTGAGAAACGGGACCAAGATGCCTGTGAGGATGGATTTCCTCTAGCCTTTATAGTACTACAACTCCTATCTACGAATATTATTACGCAAGACCTCGTCGTAACCCTGATTACTTCTTTAAGAAGCAAAATAAGACTTAGCAAAATAAGTAATTAAATTTTGTCATCTAATGCATGCATATGAGGAGGCACAGTTCCCGCAATTTCAGGCGAAGCGACGTGAAAAACTGGATGCCAGTGCGCACATGGTTCTCCAGGATGCCGGTCCGACGAGTGGCGCCGCAATTGGCAAAGGTAGCAACGACTTGCTTCAGGTGGTTGCGGCCTCGAGCTCATCTTCTTCTAGATCGTCGCCATCGACTGGTAAAAAATTTGTGGGGATGAAGAAGATGGCAATGAAAAAGAAAACTAGCAAAGTCAACAACAAGGGAACTTCCAGCAGTAGCTCAACGAGCAAGGCAAGCAAAGCGTCGTCTTCGACTTCTACAGTCGCCAGAACAGGAGTAACGAAAACGGTGAAGAAGAAGATGGGGACCAAGCTGGAGCCGAAACTGAAGAAAATAGTGGCCGCAAATCGTCAAATGCGTTTGAGGGCCGCAACTAAGAAGAACAAAGGCGCACTTGGCGGAGATCTCGAGGACGATTTGTTGGCTGATGACTAATCCGTATGGTGCAGGGAAGAAGAGTGGCTGATAAATACTCACTGCACTCATTAAATATGTTATGAGCAACTCGAAACATTTCTTGAAATAGAAACTCATTCTTCACCTCGACAGTGGTTGTGATTCGTAAGTTTCATAGCCATGAAACAAATGGAATGCCTAGAAATTGAAATACGCTATGCAAATATTTAATCATGAACAAGGCTCCTATATCTATTTACATAATGAGTGAAATTGAACTAACCACAAGGGAAACTTCTGGCATACACCACGACCCAACGGTGTGATTATCGCACAGTACTGACTTTTAAGAATTCCTCAAACAGGACGATATTCATCGGTAGGCATTGTCACAACCACACCTGCTTGAAGAAAAGCCACTGAATGTAACGACCTACTTAACGTCCTCCTATGTAGACCGCTCGATGACAGCAAGGTTGACATTATTTTCTAGAAAATTGGGATTTGCCGAGATTCGTCAAGTAGCTCCTATCTACGTTGTTGTATGAATAACTTCATCCTCCAGATAGTTGTGTGTCCTCCATTCTTCAAATTTCTTAGTAGCAACAACCCGACCATTGATTCATGCACAGAGATTTGCAGTATATTTCTTTGTGGTCTCGTATATCTGGACTGGTTGCGGACTGTGGGAAAAGTGTCCACAGAAGTTTCAAGTTGAGAGAGGAGAGAGAGTCTTACGCAAGAGTACCTACACGTCTGCATGCTCTCCAAGATATGAGAGTTTCTCGAGTGAATGGAGCGAATGACGACCCTTTCCATCGGTTGCCTGAATATCGGCGGGTCCCACTGACGTCCGATGCACGTCGTGGAAAGAGTCAACGTAATGCGGATTACGCCCAGGGTGGAGTTGTAGTAGACGACAGAGGGAAAAGAACCGTCAGAATACTTTCGGTGTACGGAGTGTCCGCGCCCGGTTTGCTCAAAATGTCGCTCAGAAACAGACTATCCACAGGAATAGGCCATCTCGTTGTAGCGTTCTCTGTGTTTACTGCTGCGATACGAGTTTCAAGCCCTGGGGGCGACAGTCCTGTGCCGAGCGTTGTGCTACCGATCGTAAGTCGAGGTGGCAGCGTCGTTGTGCCGTCAAGAGCGCGAGCGACGACGACTGGAAGGAGTCTTAGTTCGAGCGCTGGCGATACCCTTCGGCCAGCCACAACGAGTGGTCCACGCGCGACCGCCGGTGTTTCGAGGAACCTCAGCGAGTCAACCATTAGTGGAGTTCGTAGTCCGATTCAGGTCGCACTCGTAGCTCGTGGAACTGAAAGCCCCGTCGAAGGACGTAGTCCTCAGTCGGTTGTTTCGAGGAGTCCTGTTGTTCAAAGTACACCCAATGGAGGTCCTGGAAGTACTGCGCGTCGCGCCTCCCCGTCTGACCTTCCAGCGCCAGACCAGAGCAGCAGTAACCGCTTTGCCAGTTGCCCTCCGCATAACGTGGTTACACGAGGACCTGGCGGACACGAGCACTTCATGGAGCTCTATCGTTATGATCGAAAAACGACTTGATAGTGCACCTCTTCCCGACTGTTACATGTTGTGCTACTCAGAAATATCAATATGTATCTCTGTTGACGACAACAACCACAAACGGCACTTCCTTGATGACCTTCAGAGGAGCACATAGTTAAAGTCGGTAGAAAGAGATGCACTTCTTTGGACAGCTCGAATGTAGACAGCAGGTCTTAAATTTACCGCCCAACAGCGTGTCCGGTGGACCGCTACTCACTCCGCAGCAGCGCGGTGCTGGAGTCATTCGAATCGTACGGCCTCTGAATCCGCAGGCACAAGGCATACCTGCTAGCATTGTCGGGGCCGCAACACCAGTATTTGCAGGAGGATCTCAGATTAGTCGTGCACCAAGCAGGCCTACGTTGGGCGAGGGGAGCTTCGTAAATTATCGTCCGATTCTTTCACCCTCACAGGCACGTCTGCCTGTCGGAAACCTGACGCGAGGGCATGAAACTGAAGATGACGTACAAGCAGACGAACCGGCGCCGCCTCCGTCCTCGCCCCGAAGAGCAGAAAGCATCGTACGCGAAGAAGAAGAGAAGGGTCAGATGCAACGAAGATCCGCAGGGCTTCTCCGAGGTCTACCTTGTGACGAGGTCGAAGAGGCGCGTCGTAGCTTGGGCTTGGAGCCGTGTCCGCGAAATAACGAACGCAGAACTACGAGAGCTTTGTCAGATGGGATCAGCGACGAAGAAGGCAGAGCCTCATATGGCAATCATGGTATAATTGCAGATCATCATGACGATGAGGACAATCGTTTTCAAGAATCGAGAGGGAACGCAGAGCACACAATGAGTAGCTCCTCGTCAGAACATATGGCAAACGTCCCTGGGCCATCTAGTACCCTGCTGGTGGAGCCAGCAAGCGGACGCACCGAGAGGGAGAGCATAGAAGGAGAGGGGGATCCACCATCGCAGGATGAGCAACAGCACGAACAGCGTCATTCGACCGGGCCCACACTTTTCTCACCGGGGAGACCAGAGGTCGAGCTGAGCCGCAGCCATATTGTCTTAGATCTGCGGCGCGATTCTGCTAGGCAAGAGGAGGAGTCACCATTACGAGTTACGGCTTCTGAGATTCGCGACGAATTGATCGCAGCACTTCGAGCACCGCAAAGCTTTCTAGAAAATGTTCCTCCTTCTAGTACTCCCCCGTCGTTACATGCGTCGTTCAATCCGAGCACACCACTCGACGTTGTAAGCCCAGAACATGCAGGCAGTTGGAATACTGTGGAGGCAGCGACGCCATTGCGTCACCGTAACGAGTTGAGGCAGCTGTCTCCAAGTCGCATCCCACAAATTGCCGGATCTGTCTTCCAACCAGGCGGGTCCGCGTCCCAGTTGGGCGGTTCAGCGTCTCAACTGGGTGGCTCAGCGTCTCGACTAGGTGGCTCAGCGACTCAAGTAGGCGCCTCCACGTCTCAACTACGTGATTCCAGACGTCAGCTAGCATCCGTAGCGGCCTCTGCGTGGATGGCGCAGTCCCCGGCATTTGTAGTGCCTCCTCCGAACGAAAGCATAAGTGATATGGTGGGCCCGTCTACAAATCCGAGTCGCGAAGTCACTTTGGATGATGCACTTGCCACTCCTCAACTTCAGGGTCAGGACGGACCTAGTCAGTTGCCGTCTAGCGGCACTAATGCCTTGGGATTACCATTTCCTGGGCTTCCGATTACTGGCGAGGTTGGCAGAGCGGCTCTTCGAAGTAGCTCAACGCCCCAAGATGTACCACTGCCGTCGTGGGCAGACATACATGGTGAGGTTGCGACTTTGCGAAGATGGCTTGCCACGTTTCAGGCAGAAAACGACCGCTCGCGAGAAGCAACAGAACGGTGGGACGCTCTGCTCCGGACGCGACGCGCCGCACTTCAGCAGCAGCGCGACGCGGATGAACAAGCCAATCAAGATGGCGTGCCAACTGCCGTCCAGCAGCCCCGAATCGGCGGGACGCCAGCTGTAGAGGCGAATGCTGCAGCACCTTCAAGCCCGCGAGGGCGCAGAAGCGAAACCACCGCAGCAAACCGAGGACGCGACGACCACAGAGAGGACCCGAGTAGTCCTGAGCACACAAGATTCCCCAACTTGCGGGAAGAGGACCAGCAGCGGCATCACCGCGAATCGGTGATCTCTGCTGCGACAGTAGTCGAGCTTGTCCGAGACTTCAACAGTGGCATGGACCGCATTTATCGCCTTCTTGGGCCGATCCCTTTATTTCCAAACCGATTGCCGCCTCTGCGTATTATGGAAGTGCTCACAGCCGTTCGGTACTCCGCTGTAGGCTTTGACCGCGATCGGGTGTTGTTAAGGTTGAAAACGGTTTTGGACCTGCTCGAGCATGCACTGTGGACGACGACGTTGACGCGAGACAGTCGAATAACATTCCTCCGAGAAATGGAGGGACAAGGCGAGCGACTGCGGCGCTTGTACCAAGCCATTGAGGATGCGCGAGAGCTTTCGCCAATCACAGAGGTGGCGTCGAGCGCGATAAGTACGACGCGAAACACGGAGAACGGCCTGAGCAGCAGCATTACGTCCTTACTTGGAGGAGCCAACGCTGGAGGTCCGGGCTCCGGCTCTGGGAGAGTCCCGTCGACAGCCGTGGCGGCACCTACACGACCAGAGTTTCCGGCTCTACTGCACTCATCGGCGCAGCAGCAATCGCGGACAGGTGCGCCTCCGTCAGCCGCGGACACGTCTGCTGATCCTCACGCGAGTCTAGCGTATATGGTCCGGAGGCGTGAACATGAGATACGCACTTCGGTCGGCAACGCAAACGCCACTTCGGACCGGTTTGGGGCCGTTCGGGGGACCGAGTCCACCGCACCGCTGCTCAGCAGCCGAGGCGAACTGCCTGCGCACGTCGAAGAGCGACCTGATCATCGTGCAAACCCTTTTTCCTTTCGCTCCCTTTTTCAATCGGCCATCGGGGAACCGTCGACGTGGACTCGCGTTAGGACGGAACAACTAGCTGACCGTCGCGCAGGAAACGCTTCTGGTGGTACGGTGCTGCGGCCTCCCTCACTGGCCGCGGCAGCGGCTGCGGTGGCCTTGGGCGGGGTGCCCAACGTAGGTATGCCGAATCGGTTCGCGGGTTCGGAGTCACTCTCGTTTAACAGCGCCACGGGCCAGCTGCAAGGTAGAGACTACAACGAAATAGCCGCATCGTTGGCGGCGCAGCGGGAAGCCGTCGCGAGACTTGTTGCGCGGAATGAACGGCCTTTGGGGAGCACGAACCAGGAGGCGCCAAATCCACTAGTACCTCCAGAGACAATACCTTCTGGGAATATGATTGCAGCAACGCTTGCCGGTGGAGCGCAATACACAACGGGTATATCCGAGGATGCTTTTGATACAATACTAAACGGTCTGCAGGGTGCACTACGTGGCAATCAGGCTGCAGCTGGACCTCCTCAGCAAGGACCTGCGGAACAGAATCAAGAACTTCACTTGTCTCGAGCGCAAATGCATTCGATTCTACAGCGCCATGGACGACGATCGCGAGACGCGGATGAGTCTGCACCCTCCCAGGGAAATCAGCCAACGCGGTCACCACTCTCTGCGAGGCGTGCGCGTGCGTCTGCTACCTCATCTGGTACCAGGTCTAGCGCACAACAACTAGCAGGCCAGTTTCCGGCTGCACAGTTCTATCCCACAACAGGTGACGCTATCGATCGAGCTGGCCGCGGACGAAGGACATCGCTTCTCGAACGAGCTCGCGTTGCCGCTGTTGGCGCATTTGTCATCCCAGCGAGAAACTGCTTCGCGGGTGTCGGCAAACTCCTGTCGGGAAGTCGCGGCATTGCAGACAGCCTCAACTCAGCATTGTCCGACGCCACAGGTAGGGGTGCGACAGCAGACACCACTGAGGACTTAGTTGACGACGTTCCGAGAGATTTTCTTTGTCCAATAACACTACAGCTGATGGAGGAACCAGTTTGTGCAGGAAACGAGCGACATTTACGGTAGGTTTGTAATTTTTTTTGTCGCAGAGAGATGATTAGACAAATTGGAGGTTAGGCATAGTAGTTTGTTAGACAAATAAACACATTTACACCCCTTTGCCTTTCGCTGTGCGATGTGGACTACCTTGACGGGTACCAGACCATCCTATCTTACAGTCTTCCATCTAGTGGATTTCTTGAATTCGAGGGATAGGAATGCATGTCAATGTAATCAACCACCAAGTAGGGAAATTAGAGTCATTTTGAAAAACTTTTTGTTTTTCTTCTAGCTCTAAAAAATAGCTATGAATTGCCTGCACTTCGAGAGCATCTGCGTGTGAATGGCCGCTGTTCGTACCTAACACGTCGCGGATTTCGGCTTAGGGGCAAACCGCCCATTCCTGGGACTAACAGTTACGGAAAAGGTCTTAGTAAGTAAGCACATCCCGAAGGGACTTCAACTTCCAGTCAAACGATTACGATCCGTCTCAGTACCTACCTACAGTAGATTTCAAGGAATTCGAATTACGAAGAAATTCTGGCAGACTGATTCTTGGCCATGCCAACTCTTCTAAAACAATGAAGTCGTATACGATTCGCGAGTATCCGAGTATGCGACTGAAGTTGAGTGTCTGCGCTTTTGCCTGCCCCCCAGGATCCTGGACTATTTTCGTGACTCACGATATCTGGCTTCTAGACCCGAGGTGATCCGTCCTAATTTCGAGCTTCGCCGTCGAATCCAAACCTGTAAGCGGCGAAACCCTAACCTTGGAGCGTGATCGGGATCTCTCTGCGGCTGAGGCTATTTAAGAACAAGTAGATCATGAAAGGACTTAGTAGAACTAGCAGCGGGCGTACTAGTACTACTACGCAGTCAAGAACAAGACGGGACTGAATATCGAATAGCCATATCAAAAGGTTTTTAGAGATTGCACTGACAGATTGAACTAACAAAGTAAATGAAATTCTCGTTTCATTCGTGTAGTTACCGTGTCGCCTATTTGTCTGATTATAGCGTACGTCTACGATTGCACCACTCCCTTCACATCAAAACATATATCTACATAGAATAGAGTAGTTTATAGACGGTGGGAAGGTGGGCACGGTGGGCGACGCTGGGCCGCTGGGCGGCCACGCTTGGCACGGTGGGCGGACCCGTGGCACACATGGGGGGCACGCTGGGCGCGTATAGCGTTGCCCCGCTGCTTCCGCCAATGTCCAAGCCCGCAGTCGAGGGCGGCGCGGCGCTGTGCTCTTTTGCGGAGTGGCCACGTTCTCGCTGCTTGCGGTGCTTCGCTGCTGTATGCAGTGCCGCGTGGGTGTGTAGAGTGCGGCGCAGCGCGCGTTGTGCCTCACTGCTCTGCTGCAATGTGCGGCCAGTGCTGCTGAGGGATATTCCCAGGCGGGCCAGTAGGTGGGCGCCCCGATTCGTATGCAGCTTGCTCTAGATCTAGGGCGCACGCGCTTACTCTGCCGGGTGGCTTCAGAAATGGGCGCCCCGATTTTTGACCCCAAGTCTCGCGTTGGGCGCACGGTGGGCGACATCTTCCGCAGAAGACCCACTTTTGGGCCGCCCAGCGGCCCAGCGTGACAAGCGTGCCCACCGGTGCAATCCTGGGGAGGGAGTAAACTTTCCTAATAGAAGTATCCTAATTTTGTGTACTTGCATGAACAAATGACAACACCGCACAAACTTTGTCAAAGACATACTAGTTTTTATCTGATCATCCTCATCGAAGGAGAAAGAATGCTTAGACCAGATGCTGCGTGTATTCGGGTCAGTCAGTACTAGTTGTAGAGCACGTCCACAGAAATAGTCTCTGGTCCCGATATATCAGATCGCCGTACATGTTTAGGAAAATAAAGCCAGTAGCAGAGCTAGTCCATTGTTGACTTTCGTCGCTATAGATAAGATAGAAGTGAATTCTTAGTGGTCCTAGGAAATATTAGTAGCCGCGTTCAGATTCTTCGCGCACGGTATTTCGTTTGTTGTTTGCGAATAGCAAAACAATTCTTTTCATTTGTGCACAAATTGAAAATACAATTTTGATAATATTGAAACATAACATTTTATTTTGATGCCTGCTACACGCACACGATGAAAAAATTGGCTCATAAGTATAAACATAGCATTCTGACGACATATATTTTGTTTTAGAGAGGAGGACTAACACGTAGAAGTTGCTCACCCTCACCAGGTCGATAAGATTTTTTCACCAGGTTGATAAGATTTCGTCTTTTCTGGAACCGTGATGTGTCTTCAAATCACACATCCTGATGTTCTGCTTGAGACGCCGTAACTCACGTTTGCTTCGGGCATGTGCTTCTTGTCGGAGCACAAGAAAGGGAGCGGCGCTGCAGCCTGCAGGTGAATGAACGTGAACAGGTTTCCCTCTGCATCACAAATGTCGCCCTCACTCCGCTTCAATAGTGAATGCTGCTACTGATTTCAGTCGCCACGGATCCCTTGCTCTTCTAGCATACTTACTGCTCTGCAAAAAGGATATAATAGATAGGACTAACCCAACACTAGGCGTTGAGAAGGAACTAGGAAAATGGGGAACACGTCAACAAAAGCGGGCGTTGTTGTTTGGGGTAACGCTGATGGTTGCACGGTGGATGAAAAATCTACTACTGGACCACGTCTGATCGAGGCTTTGAGGCATGTACACGTCAAGGTTCTGGTCTGTGGCGGACACCATACATGCGCCCTCTCGGATAACAACGATGTATACACCTGGGGCAGCGGCAGAAGTGGAGAATTGGGTATTGGCTTCCCTTCTCGCAAATAGACCAGGACTTGATCAATACTTCAGTCTGTCGTTCTTGAGAAGAACACTACTTCCTGCTCTATGTAAGTAGTGTTTATCAAGAATGCCTCCGCCTCCCTGCTTACTTTCAACTCGCGCTATGATTTCTGCCATGGTCTACTCGCTCTAAGACTTCAACAGATTCATCATCTTTCACCAGGTCATGGCGATGCGGTGCTGGAGATGCAGTTGCCAAAGAGTATTCGGTCACTTAGTTCAAAGGGAATTCGACAGATAGCATGTGCCGAGCACCATACCGCCGCAGTATCTGACGCGGGTGTTCTCTACACTTGGGGCAGAGGACAGAACGGACGCCTCGGACACGGTTGCAAGTCGGACGAATTCAGTCCCAAAGCGGTGGAGACACTTTTTGGTTACGCCCCTTGACATTACCTGTTATGATTAGACTTTCGCTGTAGATGATGACTATAATTATTCAAATCACGTTCTCGGTGAAGCCAAATAAAGTTGGATTTGTTATAAGTATATAATATCAGGAGTTCTCTTACTGAAACCCTCTCTAACGTGTGCACTTTGTAACGCATGTGAGCTGCGGAGACTTCCATACCGCGTGTGTAGCTGCCGACGTGGAGGATAGCGTCACCGGATTCCACGCAACCACCGGCTCTGCACATGTCGCTGGCGGAGGTAGCAGCAGCGGAGCCGGTGGCAACCCCTCACTTGCAGGCAGCGCTGCGTCTGGCGGGGCCGCGGTGGTGTCAGGTGTTGCGAATGCGGGAGCGGTGAGTAGTCTCGTGTATTCGGGCGCAGCGTCCGTCCCGCAGCCACCGCGGGCAACCTCATCAGCATTGAATAACGCAGGCCGAGCGCCGCAGATGCACGGCTCCGCAACAGGTGTTGGCGGCAACAGTATCCTCGGCGGCAGCACCTCTTCCGCGAACGCGCGAGGGCCAAGCTCCCAACATCAGAGCAATAAAGTGATCTACACATGGGGCTTGGGACTCAGCGGGCGGCTCGGGCATGGCGATGAGGCAGACCGAGCAGTGCCGATGCCAGTTGCCAACCTCGGAGATGGCGTTGTTGAGTGCGGAGGCCATCACTCCGCTTTTGTGACCGCACAACTAGGTCAAATCTACACCTGGGGTGGTGGTGCCTTCGGCAAGCTAGGACATGGAGACAAAGAATCGTGTTTGCAACCTGCGTTGGTGCAGTCTTTCACCTGCAACTACTCTTATGTATGATCATTTCGTTGAATCGCGATGAATTTACAGAGACATTGATTTCTTGAGAGCAGGTAAAAAAGATCATCTCAAAATTGAAATTCAGACTCGATGTAAGAGTAAGCTAGTGTTCACAATCACAGACACACACAGCGTCCGCACATTATCACCTAGAGACTTGTTCTAAGATCAGAACTCAACATCCGACGTAGGCAGGGGACACATGATCCAGTGCGTTCTCGGTTCACAGCATAGTATGTGTCTCTCGAACCGTGGCGAGGTTTTTACATGGGGGCAAGCAGGACGTTTGGGCCACGCTCTGAGCGAGATGGACGAAGTACTACCGCGACAGGTCATGGCGCTCGCGCAAGTATTCGCTGTTCAGGTACTTCTTACTCGACTTATATTATATATAAATATAAATGTGGTGGGAATCATAATATTGCGCTTGCCCGCTAGGGACGGTGGTCTAGAGTCGGTGCGAGCACCCGCCCCCCCTGTGTCCTCTACCAAGGATTTGGAGGGTGGGACACCAAGGGCTGTAGCATCTAAGAGTTAATTTTCTATACCTATTTGAATTAGTTCTTTCTTTTCTCTCGACCGATACTACGAGTGCTGAGAGCGTCATGTCCCACACCTCACGACCTGCTGGTGTACACCTTGCTGCAATATCAGGGACAACGACGGACATCTAATCTAGCCTTCATTTCATCTTGCGCTTGCCTTACAAATGCAGAGGGAATATGTTGCATCTGCACTCTATCGGTGATGACTGAGTTTCGTCCATTATGATGTTCTGGCTGTTTGCACGTCTGAACATGAACCCTTTGTATTTTCATTTCGTCCATAATCAAGAATCAAATTTTGTTTTTGTCTTGCACTGGTACTGCCTAAAGCCAGGTAAGCTGTGGACATTCGCATTGCGCAGTAGTGAGCGATCGTGGCGATGTCTGGGCGTGGGGTACGAGTCGCGCCTATGGTCACACCGACACCAAAATCCCGCCAAACGTGCCGACGCAAGTGCGCGTACTCACAGGGAAAGCCGTGGTCGCTGTCTCGTGCGGAATTTCGCATACCGTGGCGCTTTCCGACCAGAACCTATTCGCAGACAAGCTCATGTTTCGTAACGCGCAGAAGGAGGCGGCGCAGCGTGAGCAACAGCAGTACCTCTCTGGCGAAGATGTTGAGAGTGGCCGTATGAACAGGCCTAATCCAAATTTCCTACGTGGGGGTCGAGGGCAGTCTCTTCCAAGCAGTGCCGCGACACGAAAGGCAGGGTCGTCCGCCCTAGGACCACAACAACACACTTCGGGACTGTACCCACCTGGTGCGGGACTACTTGATCACGGAGGTTATACAGGCGATGTGGATGGCGTTTCTCCGGCTGCTGGTGGCCTAAGTTCTACCACTGGAGTTAGTAGATGGCCGTCCACGCGGCTGCAGAAAAGTAGCAGCCAGACCCAGAGGGATCAGCTTCTGGCGGACCGTGACAATCGCTATTCACGTGATAGATCAGCGAAAGAGTTGAGCGGGACGAAGGCAGGAGATTCGGAGGGTGGAGTAGGCAAGATGAAGGGCGAGGTGGATCTGACACAGCATGTTTTTCTGTCGGATGAACTAAAATCGTACCAAAATTTGGCTTTGCGACTCACAAAACAGTTACAAGATGCTTATTCTAAGATTTTCGATCTGCAAAGCGAGAACTCTTTCCTCAAATCAGAACTGGAAGTCATGCACCATAACTCTAGGCAACCCACATGAAAAAGTAAAAGATTTATATATTCAACACTGTAGTTCCGACTGTACCCCATGTGCAAGTTTTCATCTGATCCTGACATAGCTACTTTGGACTATAATGTCAACATGATCAATCTCTCTTCCTAGAAGAATTTTCTGAAAAAAAACTTCAACATTTTGCTGATTGAGTGGTCTACTCTATACGAAGAGTAAGCGCTAGCCCATTCAGTATTCTGTTGCTCCTGCCAAGGAAACGATGTCGGCATGAGCAAAGATGATGAGAACTCAATCTTCTGTCCTCTAAATCTAATTCTAAAACTTTAGGCTTCATTAAATACGCATGCAAGAGCAAACCACCCAAAAGAGCAAGAAGGCGCCCCAAAGTGAGAAACCGAACATGTTGATCGAGAAGTTAGCACCTATGCGTACTTCTACTTACGCTAGTACAGAATTAGTAGACTCCATTGATGTACTAGTACTCCCCGGCACTGTCACGAGACTAAGAGAATGCAAGTCGACATCTCCAATTCACGTCAAGAAGCCTGCCATCGGTTATGACGAGTCTCCAGCTTCTCCCTTCGGAGTTTCTGGCAGCGACAGCCGCAGGCACGCTGTCATCCGAAACGGTTGTAAGGACTTTGCCTGAACTTCCAGTATGGGCTATATTGTTGTACGTGCGAGCCCTTCCGCAGAATCTAGAGCATTTGTGCACGTATTGTGTGCAGCATGGATTACAGACGCAGTGCTGTAAGCTTCTATTGAATATATGGCCGCACGTCAATAGCGAGAATCAGCGTGGTCTTCTTAATCAACGCGGACATTATGTGCCGGATCGCTACGCTCTCAGCGTTCATTTCGCGACCGCGTTTCGTGCGATCGATTCATCCCACTATGCGGAGAAGCAGAGAATCGGTGCACAACTACTTCATTCTGTGTTTGGACAGCCAGACAGTCTGGGAGTTGCGCTTTCCCTAGCCGCTAGCTTCCCGGATGTGAACCTCGACACTGCGAGGAGACATGATCCACACACGCATGGGGAGTCTTTTTGCCCTCGCGCAGTGGATCAAGCAGGGCATTTGTCCTTGTTACGAAAAGTCGTATTGCCGGAGCTGCTCTTCGGTCGTGATCGGGTGCCGCGAGAACAGCATCGTCATGTGTTTCAACAAGGTGGCAAAAACAATACGGAAAACGATGAGGCCGATTTTCTGGAGGTATGCTTCCTCTATCTCTATCTGCACTACGAGATCCTTGGACCTTCGTACACCGCAGCGCTCCAGAGCCATTGCCGTCTGAGAGACAAACTTAGTCCTGCACCGTCGTCGCGCAGAAAGTCTGCCGCAAACAAGGGCAATCCGACAACTCCTGGCGGTACCTTGGTGGAAGACATTCTGACTTCGAGGGATTCGCGGACCACTCAGCATTTCGAACCGCTCAGAGAGAAGCTGCGTTTACTGCTTTCGGTAATGGAGAGCGCAGAAGAGGGCGCGCCCAGCGGGCAGTCAATTGGTACAGTGCTAGGTGGTGCTCACATAGTGGAGAAATTGCTGCTCGCGTTCCGAGGAGAGCTGTCGACCAACGTAGAAGTTCGCGCTTTGCAGCATCTGGTAGCGCTGATTGTATTTTCCGTAGTAGAGGCCAGCTCTGATCATGTTGGTCCTCCCAAAGAACACAGCGGGACGGAAAGTCTAGCGCCGAAAGCGCAAGAAAACCCTGTCCGGCGAGAAAAGGAGACATCGGGGTTCAATTCATCAAAGAGCGCGCATCGGAATACGAAGAATACTGTGCCAACATCATCATCCTCTAGCTACGACGAGAGCGACGAGGAGGGTACATCGGCATCTCCATTTTCCAACACAAAACATACAAGAAAATAGTGTCTCGCCTATCAAAATAATTCTCACACTGCATAAATGTCGTGTCATGGTACAGACCACTTTCACTTTTCTCGTCTCCGTGATAGATTCCTTTATCCTCGTTTTGAATGATCGATTTATGACACTCGATTGACGACATTTTGTTTTTCATTTGATTTGAACAAGATAGTTTGTCCGCGCCGTCGAATTCTGGTCAGCGGTTTGCGTTCTATCCTGAGCCGCAAGACGGATTTGCGTATTCGGCCTTCACCACGCAGCGCCGCGGACGTCGCCGAGATTTTGTTCTGTCCGAATCAAATCTTGCCGCGTGTTCGCCCGAAGGCTTGCAGATAGCCTACTGCGCGGGCGATTGGAAGGTGCGTAGCGCGATCGTGCGCGCACGTCCCACAATCGTCTCAAGTGTGCCCGTGCGAGCCCTGTGGCCACGTGCTGATATGATCACTGGAGCACGTGTTGGTCATTGTGAGAGAGTCAGTTCCTTCTCGACGACGCGGAGTGGAGAAAATGATGCAGCCTCAGATCAGAGAGAGGACGGACTCAAGGACATCTTTCCCGCTCTAGATGCAACACACGCCTGGTCACCCACACTGCTGTGCATGTTTTTAGTCGTAACGAACCCGAGTCGTCTGGCGTCCCTGGACAAGTTGATTCACTATCCAACTGGACAGCACTCAGAGGATGCCTCCGAAGCGAAGCACACCACGACCGGTGTCTCGCTAGCGAAGGAAGCAACATTCTCTCCAACACGATTATCACCAGAGGACTTCGTATGTCGAGAAGAAGTAGAATTAATGACACTTCTAGGGATAGTCGTTGAACCTTGTACCTCTGGTACTCGTCACGCTAGCATCTCTGTTAGCGGTGGCCAAGGCCACGTGTCAACCGCTGTTGATGGTGCTGCGGGTATTAAAAAGGTCGACACGGAGCAGTCAAGCGCGCTCTTGCAGGAAGCTTCCAGTATCGCAGAGTTCCTAGCCCACTACAATGACTATGTGCTGCTCTGGGACCTGTTTCTGGCAGCTTCGGCAGACGCCGCGTCGTCGACAGCAGAGTCGGACTTTGGTTTTTCTGTCGGGCTGACGTCAGTACAACAGGAAGCCGCTCCAGGTGCCTCCTCACTCGAAGCTCGAAATCAGACGAGGCAGAGTAGGGACGACTCTGATTTAGAGAAAAAGCGCGCAATGGACAGAGACGCTACTGCACTGGCCTTCTTGCTGTTGCTCCGTGTCCTCGAGTCGGCCTTAGCGGTGTGCGAGCGCAGTGAGCTTGAAGACGATACGTGGAGTCGCGCACGCCAGAAATGGGAAAAAAGTTTTCCGCGTGAGCTGCGGCGCATGTTGCGGGCCTCGTTAGGAGCTCCCCAAGAGCTGCAAAGTGGCGAAGGAGTTGGCCAAGCTGAGCATCTTTCTGCAACTGGTGACCCACAACAGCAGCTAGCTCAAAGGCAACTACGCGGACAGCGAGACCTCCAGAGCGGTAATGTTCCTGTGCCTGAAACAAGCGATCCCGGTTCTCTGATGCAGACGATGCGGAGCTTTTTCGTCGAAACTACACTACAGGAAGTAGCAGAATATTCTGCTCGCAGACTGCTTCGAAGCACGATCGAACGCATTCGGGGGCACTTGCGCGATCTGGGAGACCGCGCAAAGATTGATGTCGGAGACCCTTTGGCCCGGAAAACGAGGAAACAGTTACTGAAGGCGCAAACGGCACTCAAAATGCGTCCAAGACCGCATGACGAGAGACTACGCGTGTTTTTACTCCGAATGCAGGAGCAGCAAACACGAGGTCCCTCCTCCACTCGTAGCACGTCGAAACAAGTAGAAAATCGCGAAGAACGACGAGGAACGGTAACTTCTCGCACGTCATTGCTTCTCTTCCTTCTAAGACTGAATCACAGCCTGCAAGAGCACTTCACCGAAGATCCGCGAATATTCGGCCGGGCGGACAACATCGTGCGGTTAAATCATGCTGGCCCGCTCTTGATTGATGTAATGAGCCGCCTCATAGAATGTTCTGGCAGGCGCGTGACCGTCGATGTCGGCCTCCGTCTGACGCGGGGAGCAGAAGAGGAATCGTGCAGTCAAAAAGATATTATCGTAGACCGTATTCGGGTGGCTTTGTCGCGACAGCGGAAGAACTCACGAGGGAGCAGATGGGAGTGGCTTGGCCGCGAGCCCCCACGGCTTCCGCCGTTGCGCGTGCCACGACAGAGCAGTACCGAGGACTACATTGTTGGGACAAGCAACAATGGTAGTGTGGATGTTCACCTCGGCTGTCTAGTGCTCCAAAGGCAGCACCGGCTTCGCATCGACGAGGATGCGCCAGATTTTTTACCGGAACTTACGTTTTTCGTAGATGGGATCCGCGAACTACACGTGCACTCTTTTCCGGTGGGAGGCCATGAAGATGCACAACGGAGTGACGCAGTTAAAGTTCCTCACAACCGGAATAGTCGCGATGCTTCTTCATCCAGCATAGACCAGAACACCCGACGCATGGTTTTCCAGACTTCCCTGCCTGGATCTGCGCTACATTGGGTTCCGTTTTGTGGATTCCAGGGAATGCCGTCTGTTGTGTCACGAAGCGCTCTTGTGCGGTCCGCCCCCTCCTTCGTATACCAAAACCCTGAGGTGGCCGGCAGTCGCGAAATTCATCAAGAATACCTTAGTCTGTTCTCTGGCAAAGTCATCCTCCCCGTCTCCTGATGCTGTGAGTAAGTAAGTTAGTACTTATCCATTATTGTGACTCGTGGTGAGATTTATGCAGGTCGTGCTCTTGCCTACACTTGATATTTATTTGCTTCAGGTGAATGTGCACTAGAAGACATCATGCTTTAGTGTGGTGATGAATACTCAAGGATAACAGTATTGACATTCCTATGTTACCAGCGTGATAGCGAAGGGCCACTTCTACACGTCTTGTGAGAACTTACCGACGACGGTGAGGCCGGCACTCAGGCTATAAAATCGTGGGAGGTCGAAAAACGTGAAAAATAATGAGAACAAAATTGCGATCTACTTCATATGAGGAAATGGCTGGCAGTTTTCGCAGCAGAGAGGACTGATGCAATATCATAAAATGAGAGGTGTACTTCCGATCTGAATTATCAATGAAAAACAATATCTATGCTCTGACAAGCTAACGTGAAAATCACCATGTCCAGTCGTTCGCTTCTCGCACGATGGCGTTGTAGTTCTCCTGTCTCGTTTGCAGTTGAAATCCACGCAGCCCGCTGTATGTTCGAGCTTGCAGAGTCAGCGACATCTTCTTCGCCTACAACAAATGCGAAAACAGTGTCGATCCTTCTAAATTCCGCCAATGAGGGTCTTTGCGGCATCCAATACCCACAGTTTCCACGCGGTGGCTACGCCTCGCCGGTTCCGTTCCGGACACCTAAAACGATCTTAAATTGGTGTCGCGATCCGACAGTACTCGATAATCGCCAAGAAGAGTCTGCTGATGGCAAAGTTGGAGACAAAAACAAGGATGTTGCTTCTAAGTTTGTAATTCCCGAGAATTGTGTTGACGGGAAGACGCACCGACTGGCCGGTGAGGATCTAGGAACCTTTTTGTTGAAGGAGTTTCCGATCTTGAATCATGAGACCGAACATGCGGTGCGGGTTCTACCTGGAACGTCAGTGTGGACACCCAGTTTTGGAGCACTAAAATCAACTTTTCCCGATGGCATAATACACGCGGTCGCCCCTTTTCGTGATTTCGATTACTCGGAGGTCCTGCAAGCCTGTCGTGGCAACGGGTCACACTCATTAACAGAAAGAAACGACGTGGTAGCAACCGTAAGTCTGCTGCGTGGCGCATATGTGCGCGCCCTGCGGCTCGCATACCAGAAGGATGTCGAGAAGAAAGGAGTCGACGTCAAGCACGATGTCCGGATCGTCGGACCTTTTTTAGGCACGGGAGTGCGTGGCTTCGCTCTAGATGAGGGAGCGCGCGTTGCAGCAATAGCGTGCAGCGAGTTCTGCGAGGAAACTCATGAAGCAGAGGGAACTGCAACTAAAGGTACTAGTACAGTAAATACCATACCAACAGAAGGCGGAGCAGGCGACAATTGCAACCCAGGAAGTCGAAGTCCTGGCGCGGTGGTTGATCCTCACGTGGCGTCGATCAAAAATGCAGAGTATCTGCGGCATGAAGAGACTGACAGCGGAGCACTCAACTACGATCGAGATGACTGGTTTTTTCCAGTAAACGTAAGATCTACCTTGAGCCAAAGACACGATGAGCCTGACTTGTTTCGAAAGATTCTAGAATCGAAAACGAAATCCCGGCCAAATGCGCTAGCTAGATCAAAGAGCTCCTCTACTTCGATGAATGAAGGAAGCGAAAACTCGAATAGACTAAGGACAAACAGCACGACTAGTCACTCAAAAATGCAAGAGACCACAGGCTCGTCTAGTGAACAAGGAGTAGCATACACGGATAATAAAAGAAAGCTAACGCTCCTTTTGGTTACCAATGCTGTTGAAACCGAAGAACAAGCGAAAATAGTTCAAGCTTTCGAAGAAACAAGAACAAAGCTGCTAAAACGAGATTTTTAGCATGTTTTTCATTTGCCACCTGGAGGCAGCATGCGCTCACACTTATTATGTTGCGTACGCGGAGTAACGAGTTCTGCTTGTCATAGTATACAAATAAGAGGTGCTGGCTCTTTCTCCTCTTGTGAGATGGCCATGCTCCTAGTATTTGTGAATGTGAATCTGCGTTAGTTTCGTGGTATGACTTACATTTTGTGATTTGATCGATCGGTCGTGACGCTGAGCGTTTGGTCCGCGTCACATCTGTTCTTTGTTCGCTGTAGTCTGGATGACGCTCTGTGCACAGTGATTGGAGTCTCTCTAGGTGTCTCGGCTGCCTGTCGCCACACTTGCCTATTGATTTACTACATATTCTAGTTCCACCTGATGATCCCACGATCTTGCCTGCTGCGTCCGCGATCTCCTCACTGCTTTTCGCTCTTAACCGTTGCACCTGGCAGAATGTACTTCTGTCTATTCTTACAACTGTTGGTACGCGTTCTGAGAATATGTGAGTGATGTCTTGCACGTCATGCCGTCCTTCCCGGATCACTGTTGTATAAATACAGCACTTTTAGCGGCATAGTCGTAGCGTTGAGGTTTCTCATCTAGACCTAGACGTTCTACCACTCTCATCTGTCTTACTGCGTCGCTGCTTCGTGCGTCGGGGTAGTACTTTCTTGCATGTTTTTTGTCTTTTGTCTTTCGTAATTCCAAGCAAGTGAGATATTGATTTCCATGCGAGGTGACGCATTCAAACTGTTCTTAGAGTAGCCATGCAATTTTGACATTCACTCACAAGCTCGTCATCATCAGACTACGCCGTCAAAATTTTGTCAGTTTCTACTTGCAGTATTGAAAAGTACTCTTTGTTGGAAGTAAAAAAGATACACCACCAGAGTACCAAAAATCTAACACCGCAGTATTTTGGTTCCAGCGCCATGTCCTTCTTCTTGCGGTCGTTGCAATCGCGGAAATCGCGTGGCCTGTCTCGAGTACGACATACGTCTGCACAATGTGCCGGGCTACGCACTTGTCTCGTCACGATCCAAATGGTCAGCATGACGTTCACATTATTCGATGCTGGCGTCGCTGCAGCATTCGTGAAAAAGCTTCCATTTATTATGTCTATTACAGATAGCACCTGAAGCTGAACACACGTTTTGCTTTTGTGTCTAGGTCAAACTACGAGTCCCATATAATGATATCCCGATTTCATCGATCTGCATTTTTACAGGCAGCTTGGTATATTATTTACATAAGTACAGCCTGATCTTCTAAGCTGAAGGCGAGCCTCCAGACACTGCAACAGCAGCCAACGAAACTGATCCCGAACCCTAGGAAAATACTTCCACGACTTCAAGCGGATATGAACGATCTTCCTTCCTATCACGAATGGAATCAAAACCAGCCAAAGAAAGAGCTGGATATTCAGCGTCCACAAGCTACCAATACCTCCACGTCGCCAGTAACAGCAGGAGGGTCTCCAGCAGCTCCTTTAGTGTCGTCCGTACCGTTACCAGGAGGACATGGACAAGCACGATCATCAACGAATAAGGGCACAAGGCTTTCGTCGTTCCCCTCACCAGGGACAGCACGAATAGCAACAAGCAGTGACTGGAAGTATCCGCTGCAATCGCAACGAAATAGAAAAATGGGTACCACGGCATCTGGAACGAGTTTTCAGCAACATGTAACACCATCACCACAAAGCACAAGAAGAAGAATAGAGATTCCCCTACTGGGAGGCCGAGGACGATTTTTTGGCTTCTGGCACCAGCTGATGGCGCGAAGTGATGAGCCAAAATTAGATGCCACTGATGTTGCAACTTCGAGTTCTAGCGCAAAATATAACGTGAACATGGACTTCAAGGGCAATAGAGACAAAAGAGTTGTTGAGGACTACGCCCCCCTACCACTGATTTCACAGCCAGACTGGAAAATGGATCGCGCTATTAGTGACTGTTGGGGGCTCGCCGGGCCACTAACTGCTTCCGACATGAACCGCCTGACTACGCGTTTCAATCCATCCTTCCACATGCAGGCCCACTGTCTTGTTACGGCCAACCTCTTCATCTGTGCTGATACATAGTGTCATCCCCAGCCTTGTAGTTGTACATGTATCTGTACCGTGATCAACTGCATAATGACATTACATCAGAACACACTGCCCTCCCTCCTATGTTCTCAGCCTCGAGCTACAGCTGACTCTAAACTTCGTGTCGGAAGTTCGGCAGAGGGTGTAACATTCGTAGACGCTGCGGGACCCAGCCTTCCATTGAGCAGCGGAAGCACATCCAGAGCAGGACAACCAGGAAGCACCCTGCAAAATGAAGTTGCCCACGTCTCGCGATTGCCTCAGCGGGTCTCCAAGACTGAGCAATGTGTTGAAAATTCTGCCATATCATCGATGAAAGGAGCACGCCGTGGATCCTCGTCGCTTGCCGCACCACAGGAGCTGCCTGTTCGCGACGACGCTTTTCCCGCAACCCTGGCTGATGATACGAGATGAAGGATTTAATCACTGTCCTCGTGCCCCCTGGCCCATCCCGATAAATATGAACACCGCTTGTTGATGGACTTTTTGATGGTATTTGAACCCGACGGACCTTACACAACAAAAATGATGAATACTGTACATAGCGCTAATACTGGTGTGATGAGAGTGCAGACGGCGGCTACGGAGACAAAAGACGCTTGTTCCGGTTCTGCGGCATATCACGATGGCTTGGACCAGAAAGCTGCACTAAAACAGTTGGTGCTCTTGGACGAGTGCACTGCCATGGGTATGCTGCGCGAGCACTACTCTTTCGCCGACGATTCCGCTGCTCAGGAGGAACTCATTGCTGCTACTACTCCTGAGAGGATCGAGGAATCAAACGTTGAATGATATTGGACTTTCTACTACACCGAAAGATAATTCACAAGCGCTTTCCCTTTAGCCACTGTTGTTTTGGCCCACCAGGTACCTTTTCCTAACTATATTATGGAGTTCGATTGATTGCTTTACACACCCACACACTTGTTCCGTCATTTTGCTAGTAATGTGCGATCATATTATTCGGTCTCTGGTACTCTGCGTATCTATGACTCATGCACGAAATACTTGCAGGTGCCGTACGTTGGCTTCATGATAACATCTGCGCAAATCAAATGCACGATCGAGCGGTTTGACGCTTTTTTGCCTACTGCATCCGATTGTATCGACGAAAAACGGCGTCTGTGCGCCAGTGTCGAGATCTGAATAGCTAAGTCTATTCACTTTCTAGATTATATAAATATTATTTACATCATACATGATCCATTTTCCGAATCCGAATAAAGAAAAAAAATTTACAAAATGGAGATTTTAGTGTCAGTTTCAGCTCTTACGCTAGCATATTATTGATATTTGCATAAACATGGATTCTTCATGGAAAGTACACATGTTTTCGTCCTTTCTTTGTTTCTTGAGGCAAATGGCATGTAATCATGACTGATCATGTTGATGTGGTACTCGATTACGTTTCTTCATTAGAGTCTCTTTGCATACATTAGTGGGGCTATTCATCAAAAGAAGATAAACAATAACTCGTCCTCTTGGGAATTTCTTTGATGAAAGTTGCTAGTGTAGCACATCTCCGCTTGATGTAAAAGCGAACTGGTTGCCACTTCACTGTGAAAGACTGACAAGGAGATCGTCTGGTAAGATGATGTCTTACCACAAATTTGGTTTTGGATTGACGACCGTACTCGTCTCAAACTCAATGCATTCGCTTTTGGAAAAGGTTATTTGATTTTTTGTGCTTAAAGCATATGCATCGATTTGCGAATCTCCTGACGTCATCATGTCGGTTTCTGTACGTGCGTTGAAAACGTAGCCCGCGATGTCTCCTACGGGAGCTTGTCTGAGAGTGTGAAGAAATTACCGAACTGCAATTGCGCTCATCTTTGTCGGTGAAAGTGAACTTTTGCGAGAAATCAATTCGGGAACATCTTGAAAACCGACGTGCATCTTCTCCTTCTGTCGAAAACAAGAGTGCAACTTGAATTGACACCTATGAATGCTGTCGTAGACTGGGTTCATACTATAATATGGGACAAATTGTAGGAAAATCAAAAATCTATGCTCAAGATGGGACCAAATTTTCGCACTCGGTGTATCAGTCTAAGCCAACCTGATTGCCCCCCTGTTTCACCTCTCATAATAGGTACACCTGTCTTCGAAATATAGACGTAAAAGATACCTATGTACTGAAGTTGTGAATCAAATTGAAATTCGTGAAGTGTGATTAATGGGCGTTAATAAGACTGCGTGTGCCCCACTCGGAAGTCTTAGTTTTGCTTTTATTCATATTTGTGTGTCTCTCTACCTTCGTTACTATCAGCTACACCTCCACGCCCAGTGCCAAGGTGACTTTTCCACCCAACGAATGCGATTGACTTGTGGGTAAGATTTCACCTCCACCTTCCTGAGTAGTTTTTCGTTGATTGAACAAACTAACTAACATTTCAAGTGGTACTTGCACAACCATTCATAGTTGTGTGCCTGAGTCACTGACAGTGTTTTTACTTCGCATCGCATGACCCTGCTACGCCTACGCGAAAGCAGCAAAATTTCATGGCGGAAATGCCTGCAACTCGTCGCGCTCGCTTTCCTGTTGGGTCTTTTCGAGCACGCAGCCTGTCTTAGGGCTACTTAGTTTTATAACACAGAGTTACATTTATAATGTGAGGTTTCCTGGACCTGGTCCTGGTGGTGAGCGCGTACTTCTAGATTTATCTCCGAAGGTAGATGAATTTGTCTCTTGGACCTCTTGAACCTCTGTCACTCTTACAACCGGTTATTTCCTTGTGTAGACGAGGAAGTGAAGGGGACGAAAGCTCAAAAAATCACTTTTCGAATAAACGATGAAAGACTACCGCATCTAATTTTCGACGGAATTCACGTAGCAGAAGGGCCAGCATCTCTGCACATAAACAGGAAGATTAAGGCATCAGATCAATGATGTCATACATGAGAATCATTTTTATCAACTTCAACATTAGTACTTTACTACGAGTCATAATTAGCCCACCACACAAACTGGTATTACGTTTCAGTACGATTCGATATCAGATGACTGAAGGTGAATTCTCTTTGTCCAGCTTAAAAGTAGCTTGCTCACTCAAGTCATCATCATTCTAAGAATGAGGTAAAGAAGAAGTGGATCAACTCTAACTGGCGCACGACGAGACTGATGTGGTGGAGAATGAAATTGATGAGCACCAGAACGCATTCGGGAGCTCTCCGGTGCTCAAACCCAAAGCGTTTCTCGAAGCGGACCTCACACCTCTTAAGAACATTGTTATAAGAAGCATGTGACAACTGGGTACAACTTGAACACTTATGTGACGACTCGGGAAGTAGAGGTACTTTCAAGTTCAACATAAGATAATTGTTCATTTACTTCTTCATTGATCCTCGTCCGCCATAATTACTCTGTGTGTGCTCAAGACTGTTCACAATTTTCTCTGTCGGATGATTCACCTAGTCGGCGGCTCTTCGTCAGAGGTCATCACGACCAGTTAAGATATTGAAAGTGCGTCGAGTATTAGCTCTAAGTCTAAAGCACCTCCAAAACCTCTTGCGATGCTCAAACAGCCCTACATTTGGGGCAGAGTCTTGCCAAAGCCAGTTAGCGCGTATATTATGTTAGTCATTCGGCGTCGGAGCAATCAATATTCATCTGTCGATGCATCTCATCTCGCTCTCCGGTATCGTTTTGCAGCCGCTATTTTGGGTGTGACTAAGTTGTACAATCAAGACGACAGGTATGGAGATGAGGGGACTGAGATGAACATGAATTAAGAAGCGAACAACTCTAAGCACACCGCGGAAGAGGAACATGACGGCCACGGCGCTTTCACTGGACCAGATTCGGCGTATGGTTGGGTAGAATTAAGGCTGGGGCTTTTTTATCCTGTGTGAGGCATCGAGATCGACGAGAGTGAAACGAAACTCTATTTATTATAAATATGGAGAGTTGTTGTAGTACGTCGGGAACTCTATACAGAAAATGAGCCTGTGTCTCGGCTTTGTCGTGATCATTATCAGATTGAATCCTTACGAACGATAGGTGTAGATTTGTGGCCGAATGTACGGTCTTATGCGCCCCCTGTATGTAACTTGTATGACATTAGTTGAACAAGTTAAGTAATTGCTTGAAAGGGCGTTGGCATAGAGTCCGAACGCAAAAAAAGACCTTACGGTCGTCAAGGGTGACGATGTCAGGGACACACTCATGACAAGTTGAGCATATTGAAGAAGGAATAAGAGGAAATAAAAGCATCATGGAGGTCGTGCCATTATTTACTATGCGACGTCGGGATAATGAGAGCCTACCTCTAACAGGTCAGCGCTTTTTCGAACCGCCGCTGATTAAGGCCTCGACGTAGACAATTATTGCTACGATTGTTTGTGTTTTTGAGCTAATCTTCAAAACAACCTGTCAAAGAATAACACGATTTTTTTACCGTTATTGAAATGGATAACACGTTTATCTTGGTATTCATCTAAGTATTGCAAAACAGAAGCATGGCTCCCAGTGCGGACGCCGTCAGCGAGTGGCGAGAAACTCGAGCTGATTGGTCGTACACACTTTTTGTGGCGGGAAGACCTTAGCCCTCCGCCCGTTACAATGTTATTACCCGAAGGAACGAAGCTTCGCCTACTTCTGCCTGACCTTCGTCACGAAACAGTCGAAATTATTCGGTACATGGGCGACACGTCGTCTGCCAAAAGTCTCCTAAGACATGGATGTTGGTTTATTTTCCAAAGATTGTGATATGATCAGAAGATCCCCGAAATCTGTCCGTTCGTAAGTTCATGAACGGACAGATTTCGGGGGTCTTCTGATCATATCACTTTGCAAGGCCTTCCCCTTGACAGTCAGCTCGGGATCAAAGGCGGCATGACATGACATCCCAAGCTCCCAATGAATAACCCGAGGAAGATACTTGGACAACGTTCATTTGAATACGAGCTGGAGTATGCAATGTAATCGGATTACATTTTTTGAGGTTTGAATGAATTCGAATAGCTTTCTTACGCTTTGCAAGCAAGCGCCTTCGGACTTTGAACTCCAGAGGAGACATCTAGTACCCCTTTTCACAAATATCTTGGTTTCTAACAAGCGACTATGAGGTGAAACTACCGAACGGCGAGCGCCTTGTTACTCTTATGGCTAGATACAGACTTTTTCTTGATATACTTATTTATTAATCCTTAACTAAGCACTTCTAAGGGTTGAGTACCTGTCCTTCCTCTATCCATACCTTGTAGATCAAAAAAAAGCTGAAAAAACCAGGAACTACGTCATTCCCGTCTAGCTGATGAAATGGTATCTCTTCAAGATCCAAAACTTTCCTCATCGGCTATATGAAACGCAGCTTATTGTGGAATAGTTAGTTTAGTATTTTAGGATTGATGTGTCACATGCGTCCCGTGGTGAGGAGGTGATGTTTCTCTACTTATCGGGGCTAGGTAGTTCCTATCTTACCATTTCACAAGGCTTGCCCAAATTTATCTTGAGCGACATCTTGAATTCTTTCTCTGAGGAGAAGAACGTTTGCAAAATGAACTTAGGCAAGCTCTACGATACACTAATAGAGAGGGTGGTAGGCCCTCGTGATCTTGATCAACATTCTAATGGGCCTATCAACGACGATACTTACCGCCCGGGATCGGACGCGGATGAGCCGAAGACCGGCAAGGACGAGGGCAGCAGTACCTCATCTTCATGCTGCTCGTAGGGCAGATGTCATTTGTGTCAGCGTTGGGTTGAAAATGGTGGGAGGCACTGTCAGACTGAAAACTACTATGAAGATACTAGGACGAACCGTCGTACGCGTAAAGTTCACTCCTCTACTTCATTGTTGTACCCATCTTCTCCTTGCATCTCTTCAGCGGACACCTCCTCTAATATTTTACGCAATTCTCTTTCACTCAATCCGCATGCGCCTGGCATCCACATGCAATTATTTAGCGCATATGGCGTGACTTTTCTAACGCCAATGTAATATTGGTAGACTTTGTTCAGGTATCTCTTCATTGTTGGACAAAAAGAAATGAAAATGCTTTACCCTTGTTCGTTAATTTGCGAGGACACAATAGTGAAATCGGATGCACTCAAAATTCTCCTCTGGTGTGGGCCATTGCTGGGAAGAGGGACAAGCACTACGGGGAAGAGGGCCAAGCAGCAGAGGAAAGTGGGCTTTTTATTCGATCCTCCACAGGGACAGGATCCTTCGAAGAAGGTGCCAAATTATACTACGGAAACAAAGACGAGAGTAACTAAGGGACACGAAATACTAAAGTAGATGCCGTATCTTCTTCACAAACAACGAACATGATCTGTTTTTAACTAAATATGAATGAGTAAAAAAATGAGATTTGATTTTGTCGTTGTTGACGAGGCAGCTGGTAGCGCATCACATGAAGATCAAAACCATGGCAACAAGAGGCGTCATCAATCTTGCATGATTTACGGGTTCCCGAGAGAACGAAGGAGCACCGAGAGCGGATAGTAATATCATGATGTTGAAGCACTGACGATAGAATGGTCATTCACGGTCTACGGCGACTGAACTTGAAGTCCTCGTGGCCCCGTTCCTATTTCAGTACCGTGTTTCTGGTGCTGTCGTCTTGGGCAACTACTAGTTCACTTGCGGTCGTCGACTTTCAAAGCCTTGCAGATTTTACGAGTTGTCCTGTGATGAAGACATCCCCATGCGCAGTGACATCACCTTGGCGCACTTATCACATCGTCCTCTGATAAGTTGGCCAAGGTGAAGGCCCGCGGGGATGTGCACGCGTTGTCTACTCTAAGGTCTGCGCTCTCGAGTTCCATGCGCCCGAATGGGCACGTCTCTACGAAATTGGACAAACCTTGCACGGAATCGATGCTACCGGCAACAGCAGCATCAGTAGGCAAAGCGCTTTGCGAGAACTGCAACGCGAGGAGCACACGTTGTTGCGTTGGGTACTGACGACGTGGCCACCTCTTCTTGATAAGGCGAACGATTTTTTCCACACTGTCTTCTTTTCTTGCAAGAAACATTTGTAGTTAACAAATAAAAACTGATTTTAATGAATGTTAGATTCTTTTGTAAAGTTGTACATATCACAAATGCTGTGGTCCTTGTCGGGTGGAAAAATGTAGTTCCATGCTCTACTTCTCTGCTGACTAGCGCACGTGTGGACGATTTTACGCATTTGTTCCGACGTGCACCCAGTGATGGCCATAATCCTTGGCTCAGTATCGGGGACGGATGGTGCTACCATGGCTACCTATTCGCCCTTTTCCGGGCATGCGAGATCTCGCGAAGAGATGATATCATCTCTGCAGATCGGATAGTAGATGACCATGACAGAGACCAAGAACTTGTTCTAGCGCGCCTGTTGGGCCTGGACTTCACGTGTTCCGCCAACGATGTTGTCGCGAAGCAAGCACAGAAAAGCAGCGTGCCAAACGAGGAGGCGAAACATGAGAAGTTTTCTCACTTCTATATTAGGAGAAAACATCAAGAAATCAGTTCGATTTCGGCGGCTCTGGTTAAAACCAGTCTGTATGCCTTTTACAACTTCAGTGACATTTACTGGGGCTTTATAGACTTCGGGGAATCAAGCAGATTCAACGTTGGTGTGCATTCCTTCTTGCGAAAGTTTAGTAGGAATGATGCGCATGCTCAAGACACTAGTAGTGCTGCGAGCGAGGTGAATAAAGAATCAAGAACAACGACAGTCTCTTCTGGTTCTGCGCAGAGCAGTTGCGCAAAGGATGGAAGCAGTGCGAACGAGATGCGACTAAGCCATGTATTTTCAAAAGGCAAGGCAACGAGGACGCGATTGGATGAGGGTGGACGACGCTGTCAGACCACGGACACCAAGAAAGATCCCTACGCCTCTGTGCGTCCGTGGTTCCTGCACCTCCCGGCTTGGGGAGACGCAGATGCGCCAGGATATCTCGAGATGAGCGGAGTTGAAGGAGGAGATGAGAGCAACAATGAAGGCACGAGAAAGTACTCCGGCAAACCCCTTGATATTAGATACCCAATTTTCCGTGAATTTGTGCTGGAACAAGCACGCAACACGAGACTATCCTGGTCTAGTCAAACCGAGACCGCGAGCGAGCTCGTTGCTGTGACTATGGGCTCGCATTTCGGCTCCAACATGGAACCTACTTTCATGTTGCAGCACTTGTTGGCGCAATCGCGAAGTGAAGCCACGACCTCTATTTTTAAGGCTGAAGTTGCAAACAGCAATACCACTTGGTATGTATTTAAATATTATGAAGGTACTTAATTAAACTAGTTTTTCGAAGGACAGCGACCATCTTTCATAGTTATGTTGGGCTACTCCGGAACATCTTCATAGCGCTAACACCTCCCTGCGACAGCATGTTTATGGTACAATTTATCCATATCCCGAGGTGGTCTGCACGGCTCACGGCTTCTGCCGACGCAACCTGCTACTTGAGGAAGTGATTTCTATCTTTGTCGCCAATATGTACGATCCGTCCTGGGATCTTACAGAAGTGACGGACGTCTTAGAGCAAGCTTTCGTGGAGGATGACGAACTGCGGCAGCACGGAACAACTAGAGATGTTACGAAATGACTGAAGATGAGGTGTAACAATCACTGGAGGAAAGCACCTGTACATCTACAACCCTACATGTTGACGTTTCCTTGCAAAGTCAGTAAATGGACGGCTTATAAAGGTTCTTGGTACAATCAGTTCAATGATATCTAACTCAAGACCCGCTGTAGACGAGCACGTTGACCGGCACCTTTTCTTGATTTGTTGCCAGCCGATGCCTCTGTGCAGCCTCGTACGATCTCTGACGGATGCGCCGATGCTTGTGTATCAAGCCTTTCCTTTAGCCGGTGCCGCCCCAGTGCAATACAAGCCTTTGATGCTCGCGCAGTTTCGTGAGATGCTTTTGAATCCAAATCGAAATGCCTTTGTGTCATATTCCATTAAGGCTAATATAACGTTCAAATTGATTAACATGAAGATGGCAGATGATATGCTCGTTCTCGTATATCATCCTTTTAAGTTATTTGTACTTTTTCTTCTCCGTTTTTATTTATGTATATGTTATTTTTTGCTGACCTCGCTCTTGTCGGACTGCGTAGAAACAGAACTTGTGGTTGTGCTTGTCGTTGCACGACTTCGTTCCACAATCACCATGAGCGTGATCACGTAGAGACATAACTCTAATCCGGAATTTATGCACTCTCAGTTTGAGCACCAGATCGGGAAAAAGCCTTACTGCATCCGCCCTCATGCTTTGTATGCTACCGGGAATGCGATGCTCAGCAGGGGCACAGAACGAGGCACACTAACAGCGGGAGAGGATAGCGAAGAAATGCTCGCCAGGCAGTTTTTGGCTGAGGAGAGCAATGCAGAAGTTTCCGCTGTTCCCAGTACTATGGCACTGAAGGCATCGTACCTAGATAGGTCTTTGCGGATGAAGCAACAAGCAGGGATCGAGCATGGAGACCCGATTGAACGAACAACAACCAGTCAGCAAGATTCTCTGAGCACCCCTGTCCCAGGTCTCTATCATCCTGATCGTATAGCACCTCGCATTTTCGTGGGAAGACTAGCGGGATGGGCACGAGAGGGCGCACAAGCGATGTTAGTGTTTTTCGAGAGTGCTGGGAAGAACATTTTAGCAAAGCGCTGGAAGGGCCGCGAGAACGTACTTGATGGGGGCGAGGACGAGCGAAATGAGGGAGACGCTATAATTAGTAACACGCATGAGGGCTTGAATCCGGATGAGAGAACGAACGGGAAACAGGGACAGCAGGAAGCCGATGAGCCTTTGCGATTTGTGTTTCTCGGTGTTTCAAATCTTGCTGGTTTCACGCACGTGGATGGTTACCCGACTGTAATTGCGTATCCAGCGCTGCGGCGGTTCACCGCCGCCGTGTATTATCCTTGGGACCTTGGAATGTGCTTCTTTAATGAGCTTTACTCCATTGGAGTGCCCCTGTTTGTCCCTAGCGTCAACTACGCCACTGGGATCATTTGGAAGATGCTACAGCACACGGACTATGGTTGGTGGCAAGCTCGCAAATTGCATTTCGGGGAGGTCCCTGGACGCAGATTGCCCACATTGGCTAAGTACGAAAACATTGTTGTGGCACACGACCAGCCTGTTATTTCTACGTCTTTATATTCTGGAGAGTCGACTTCTCCGGCGACAAGGTCCTTAGGCAGCACACTCGCGCAAGCAGAAGATGCGGAGGCGACAAAATTGTCCAACGATAAGGTCCGGAGAAAAGTGCAACAAATAGAGCCACAACTGCTTCACCCTAGTGCCTCCGGACGTGTCCCTCTGCTAGTTACGCCTAGTGACCAAGACACTTTCGCACTCTGTGAAGGGGACGGCGGCCAGGAAGTGAAACAGGACTTCTGTCACGAGGATAAGCAACACTATCCAGATGATGGTATAATCTGGTCGGATAAGTATTTCGACGAAAAACCAGCAGTGCAGATGGACAGAATTTCCGAAACCTATCCCACAACTAGGTCCCCACAAGATGAAGAGGGAGATGGAATTTCCGAATCTGGGACTACATTCTCTTCAAGCAGGAGGAGGATGACTTCCTTATCTTCAAGCACATCGGAAGCTGCGAACACGACGACGACTCTGGAGGGTCGCTACTTTGTCCCGAATCGGGAAGATAGACAAATCATTGCAAAACGAGTGGCTGCACACCGCAGAAACAAGCGACTGAAGGCGCATCAGCAAAATATCGTAATTGATCTTCGCACAGCTGCGGGTAGCACCAAAGCAACCGTTCCCGCTTCAGGTACCAGCGCAGAAAGAGGCGAAGATGACTATGTATCGACGACTATTCCCGCGTTGGACGTGGATCGTGATCCTGTCGATTCCTTGTGGTGGGATGAAAACACGCCTTTTGAGGACATCGCCTTCTGGTGGAGACACACAGACTTCGCTTTATGGCCCGCCGTCGGACATTTCGAATCGATTCCTGCGCTTATGCACCAAGTCAATACCGCGGACTTCGACCGAATTAGCCTAGAAATGCGAAGGTGGAATGCCAAGACGCTACGCTGGAGCACGCATTTGTATCGAAAATTAGTCAACAATCTCATTCTCACGCCAGCAGAGTCAGAGTCAGCGCAACACCAACTTAAGGAATATGCTAATTGACTCTATGAAAACTTTTCTGTGCATCTCTGTCTTAGCCTTTAAAAGTATGACTGAGAAGTACGCATCGAGTATTCTTAAAAAATGATGCAGAAGCTTAGAAGATGAATTTCTGGTAGATCTAACCACCGGAGTTCCCACGCAAGCACACCTAACGAAGATGACTGGGATCGCCACTGCTACGTGTGAACGTGAAGGAACCTCTTTAGGAGATGCGCTTTATCCGAATAGATGAACTAGACGGGGCGGTTCACTCTTCATCCTGCAAACTGAAGCGAAAAAAAGTCCAAGAAAGACAAAGCTACGACCGTGACTGTTTGCTTTATTTCTTTGACGTCCAAATTCAATGTGGGTCGCTACTCTCCGTCATCTAGTGCTTACGTGTTGGTTCCCAAAGACAAAACCGATTTGGTCAGCTGCTGCATTCAATTTTGCTATTTTGAAATCTGTCATAATTTAGCAAGCAAGTGCAGAACTCAGTTTCAAACTAAGACAAAGCAAATACTAAGTGTAAGTACGTTTCTCTTCTTATCAATTTAGAGATCTCAATATCGACCCAATCGCAGCCGTCGCCAACGGTAAAACCGCAATGCGGTTCGATTGAGCATTGCTATCCTCTTACTTAGCAACAAATTGAAATTTCCAGGTAGACTAACAAGGCACTTAGCTTATTTCTATGATAGACGGGATTGCTTGAGTGAGACGAACAAAAAATTGAAATTCCGACGTACTTTGATAGGTTGGAGAACAACCTAATAGATACTGTGTTGGAAGTGTTGTAACTGGCATACCAGCAGGTGGCGCGCAACATGTAAGATCCAAACTGTTGCTTTTTATGAGATCCGCGATCACTTTATTGGGCCCTCTTATCCTTACCTAAATGTAAATGATCCGGATGATTATAATGTATGATTGTCATCATGTTCTTTTCCCAACCAGAACCTGCATACTTGTGAAGTAGTCAACTACAACTTGTGAGAAAAATCCTCACTTTTTGGAGCCTTGGCGAATAAGTGGAGCAGCGGGATATCCAGGATGATGAGGAGGAGGAGGGACGCGAGGTGCTTCTTGCTGGTTCGGTGAACATATAGCGTTGAGAAAAATGATCGGTTGTTTTATCGTATGTTGGTGACGGAGATGAAAGGAGGCGGTGGAAGAAGGTGGTAGGAGAAGATGAAAGTAGAAAGAAGAAGAAAAAAGTAACACAAGTCTCGAGAAAATGTTTTCCCTTTACCATCTTCAAGATCGACATGCTCATGGTGATCAGCCCTAACTTGACCTGCCACCTGAATTATCAGATTGATCAACAACTATGAAGACCGTGACGGGGACTCATTACATCGTGCTAGTGTCAAGCGCCGCTTATCTTTACGCTGATAGATATTGGTACAGCATTCGCAGCAATACGCTTACCCGTTAATGCATGTAGAGTACATGATTGTTTACCATGATGACTAATTGTCTTCCCAAAAGTAAGCTACAACAGGAAAAAAGAAAACACGCTAAATTCATAGGAGCATTCCAGATCTTTCGAAGTTCCCTCGCTTGTCCAAAAGTCGAAATTGAAACTTGTAGGAGACTACACCCGTGGAACAACAAGTAGAAGCTAACACACATCTTGTTTTACGAATAAGGTTTATTTCTATAATTCAAAGAAATCGGTATTCTATGCTTGAAACAATTTCATTTTGGAAATCTCCTTTGACTAAAGCTCTCCTACAAAACAATCTTCCAAAGCACGCAACAAGCCTCCATGGAATGATAATCTATCACTTCTAAAGTTGATACAACTCATCGAGGAAAGAAACTAAACGTATCTAATAAAGGTACACTGATCAGAAAACGAATGACTTCTACTCTCAAGAAAGAATATCAAGATCATTCACGATCTATAACTTTCCCCTGTTTGTTTAGCATTTGTATCAGTTATAGTACTTAATCGAAAGAAATGTCGCTTCTCCGGAGTGTTGTCATCAACGTGGTTCTTCCACATCTACTCGCGTACGTTTCCGCGGCATCTCTGGGTTCTACGTGGTCTGCGAAAGGAGCGCTAGACTTGGCAACGTTCAAGGCTGCCCTGCAGCAGCTGTCTTCTCCTCAGGAGACGGCAAACAAGAAGGACGAGACCAAAGACTTCAAGGATGTATCCTCGCAGCTAAAGACGGATCTTGAGAGAAGGTCTCCTGCCTTTCTTTAAGGGAAATGCGGATCCAGAACGTGGCCTCACACACGGAAAAGCACGAGCGGAAAACCCCGATCAGAGTTTCGCGAGTGACCTGTTGCCGCGCGAACTGATCGAGACTAAGAATTTGGTTCAGCCTGTTCAGTCAGGACGGGATGCATCGCTCAGGTTCGAAAAGTTTTTACCAGAAGATGGCCAGCAAAAGCATCTACCTACACACGAAGAGGAGAAGACAAAGGAGAAGCGAGTCTACATGACGACGGGTTTTTCTCTTCTCCCGTTTCTCGCTGAGATTTTACCTGAGGACATTATCATAGTCGCGGTTGGGACCCCACGATCCATCGTTTTGTGCAAGCGGCGGTCAATGTGGTCGCCAATCATATAGATGTGAACAAAGATTGGGATCCTAAGTAAGAGAGTGGCGCTTCCCGCATGCGGCGAAAGATTCAACCTCAACGCTAGACATTATCATGTCTGCTTTTGGGCGCCTTCTGCTAAACGAAAAAACGCCAGACGAAAGAAAAAGCGAAGACGTGCACAAGAACATTGTGAAGGAAACCCGGAAGATGAACGTCCTAAAGCTCCGATATCTTAGAGACTGGCTTAAAATCCTTCGGTGTGGCTGGTACGCACGATGGAAAAGCGACAGGACAACCACCTTAAGGCAACGTTATAGATACCACTAGCCATAACAAATACCGTATCTGTATTCCTAACTTCTTGCGTCGATTCTACTAGTATCATCATCTGTGTTATACTCATCATCTACGGGCGCGTCTGTTTCTCTTAGATCAAGTCAGAGCGGAGTCGTGTATCTGTTTCGGTCAAGTGTACATACTGCTAAAATAAAAGGCTCGTACGATTGACTTAGCAACACCAGAGAAAACCACCTTTAATTATCTAGGCGAGTTCGCCGGCGGATCACTTCTGATTCATGCATGTTCGCCTCTTCATATCCTTTTTCTTTGATCCCAATGATGTCGAGCAACTGGTCGAAGTGATGCAAACCTTCTCACGGGTACTCTTGTCTTAGAAAACCCATGCAGATTATCAACAAATTCATCATCTTTCGTCTGACACGACCATTTCTGCACATGAGATCATGCCTCCACCTTCTAGAAATGACATTACAGACATGAAACGCTACGCGTTAGTTCCAGCCGCTATTTCTTCTTGCTAGACATCTTCGACACGTGTCCTTTACGGAAACGCATTTTGGCGTGTTGGGCAAAACGGCAGCGTTGCTATCCTGCCGAGTTTTAATCAATACAGCCCAGACTAACTATTGGATTAATCGCAGATCCTTCTTCTGTACTGTGAAGGCTTCTGTTTCATGCTCCAAATACAAGCCCGAAGGTAAATTTCGTACCTCCTATTCTCACTCCCATGATGACTCATCTCTTTGGTCCGTGTTTCTGAGTCTAGAATGCGGATATCAGAGAATTTTTGTTTCAAGACGGGTCTGAGCATGTGGCTTCTACACTTGAATGAGCGGCTTAAGCGATGCTTTCTATCTTGCACTGAGAAGTTGCTTCCCCATCTGCTAATGCACATACATCGTCTTGTTGTGATTCCACCAACAAACAATAACAAAAAGGGCCACTCCCGTCTAAAATAAAAAGGAGAAGTGAATCTTGATTTGGCCGTGGAGGAGTTGGACGTTACTCTCAGCAGCACCTACTGGCTGCTTCACAACGCGTACACACTCCCTCCACAGGAGATGAGGAAACTGCAAGACCGTCTGCGCGCTGTGGAGTACGTGAAACTAAACCTTTTCGTTTTCGACGTAGCTAACAGGACGAATTTTACTACAATTTTGAACAGGCATAAGTTGACCTCCATCCGCATTAACGTGAGCACCGCTAGTCAGTACCTCTTCAAAAAGCGCTGGCTGCAGCACACCTCTGGTGAAGACAAGGACGGTATCAGTACTAGTCAAAACATGTGTGAACATCAACAACACGCATCCGCAGAAAACGGAAGTTTTCCCCTCCAAGGCGATTTAAAGAAAGACCTCGACGCGCTGACGGTGTTGGCAATGGTGGATGCGAAGGAGACGTGGCTCTTGCGAGACACGAGCTTGTGAATAATCTCAAGCGACATAATCCGACACATTGAAAACGCTGTTGAGTGCTTGCAACGCGAACGACCCAAGTGCAGAGCTTCTTCGCGATGATGAAAGAAAAAACAAGTTGGAGCAAGAGGGAAGCGGCGATTCTGTTATATGGCAACGCATTCAGAAAAGGGCGCCTCTTTCAGGCATCTAGCTTCGCCGTAGGGACCCTCACCAACCGTGAACTCACGGCCTATCCGTGAGTCGAGAAGCTCAGGTTTAGCCTCCTCATCTTTTACAAATGGCGGCCGGTAATCGCGACGCCACACTCGAAGAGAAGGAAGGAGAAGGGGCGGCCATCAATTGTTGTTCTCCTTTGTTTTTGAAGAGACGGTGGGTTTCTATTTGTTGCAGACAAATATGGCTGGTCCACCAGAACACAACTCATATGACACGTTATATGAAGAGAAGCCAAGGGGGCTGGCAACGGAACCTCTCCGCCGGGTTTTAGCTAAGGTAGTAAGTTAGGAAATCACATGATTAGAGACACCAAGCTCGAAGCGATGCGTGGCGTTTATCTTGGAAGATAAACGCAGCAGAATGATGTGAAACTCTTAGGATTTAGTTGGCAGAATGGCCTAGGTCTTCCCACGTCCGTTGCATTAGATCAATTAAGTAAGCTGATTCAACGTATAGTAATGAAGAAGGGCAGTTTTTCATTAGCCTGTGTTTGTGTAAGATGTCCGTCGGGTGAGAACTCCGTTAATTGCAAGGGGAACTACGCGCTGCGAGAAAAGGCAACTCACTCAGCCACGCGATGGTGAGATACCCCCTCTAATAAGTGATATCATTGGAGCTGCTTCAAAACCATTTTCAACGAACAGCGATCCATTAATACAGTACACATCTCTAACAGATTCGATGTTGGTCAGGAATTGTGAGGCATTGAGCCAACAACGAGATTTCGCTCATCACTTTCAACCGAATGGTGTAGGCGCTCCAATTAGTCCCACTTAAGTACTTATTTATTTTTTGATTACAAAGACGATCTGCCCCCGCCTTCCCTTTCCCATTCCCTCTCTTCCATAACTATGGCATGTGTTTTTCGGTTTGATTATTTATGTTCTAGTGCAGGAGTAGCTCCTAATCTTTGATTAATCGCCGTCTAGTCCACACACATTACATTCGCCGTCTAGCCCTTTTTACTTATACAAAAAGAAAACGAAAAGCAAAAGATTAAGATTTCAAGTTTGGCTCATTCGCATCTGAAACGACACTGGAGATGGAGATAGAACACACCTCAGTATGATGGGGAGTTACTCCCCGGTCAATTACTTACGAAGGGTCGACGGTATTTTCCCACTAGAAGCACATAGAAGATGAAACGGCACTCCAATGGACAAAACAACATCTGCACACTAAATTGGATGTGGTGGGTATCTTCCGCGTCCTCTTTCACGCAGCACACAAACTTTTTCACAAAAATAAGAGAAAAACACCAGAAAACTATGTCTGAGTAAGCATGCATTGAAAATGTTTTGCTTGTTGTCGTGCGTCGCGGCACGTTCCTCTCTGTTTCGGATGTTCATGCCTCCGAACAAAATATCATAGCCTGTCAGCTGCGCACACGTCGATAATGTTGTATGAAGTCATGTTTATCGATGACTTGCTTGCTATGTTTTAGTTCGTAGAAATAGTTCCATTCATCTGTTACAACTCTTTACGCCGCATCAAGACATAACACCCCTGATGAAGAATCTTCGGTCTACACTCTTGCCGCTAGTGGTGACTGTGTACCACCACTCAGCTTGATCAAAATGCTACTCTTTTCTGTTACTCTGCGGTTGTGATTCTCCAAGACGAAAACCGATATGGGAGAAGGAAATCTGATTATTCATCATAGAGGGGACCCGCCCGTTGAGCTTTGTCAACTTCCTTGTAGAGATCTATTCTCTTAACCTGTAGAGATCTAAATGTGAAGGAGCCCGAACCTGACGTAACCGGTAACCCCTATAGATAATTCTGGAGCATGCATCAATCAACGATGACGAATCTTTTCTTGGCTCAGAAAGAGTTCCGCACAGTGAAGCGACAAGAATACGCTGGTCAACCGAACGTAGAGGAGAGAATTCGCACAGAGTGGACGAGGCTGTCGAAGGAGGAAAAAGCAGCATTTCTTCCAGCGAAGAAGAGCAGGGAAGATGTTTCCACAACTGTGAACGAAAAAAAAACCTCTGTTAAGCAGGACAGTATTTGATATTCTAGTGAGTAATCAATTCCTTAGATGGATAAGTGTTGGAGTTGGTGTTCATCTTTGGTTACGTATTTCTGATCTTAGTTTCGACTACGCAAGCCCCGCTTGATTGGGACCCCCTGCTGCCAAGTTCATGACATTTGTGAACCCGATTTCAAATATATGATACATGATTAATTAGTCTAACGACAATGTGTAGTAGAAGATGTAGATGTAGAACCGATTATAACCCATTGATACGCACGACAAGTTCTTTATTTTCTTCGTTCAGGATGTGCGCTGAATATGCAAGTTTTGCAGTCTCGGTCAACAGCAGTTTTGCAACGGCTGCTACTGGCAACAGTAGTAGTGCCAGCAGTTGTCCAAGTGTTGGCGCAGGAACGAAGCAGTTATCCTTTGCTGCGCAAATGATATTGGAGCAAAAGAGTAAAATTGCAACCGAGAAGAGCGACCTCATCAAAGGCAAGAACGTGGATTTACTTATGACAGTTCCCTCGTACAACTTTTTGATCTTGTCATGGGCATTCTACCACCGCCTCTCATGTATGAGCCGAGATTCGGAGGAAGAACAGTCGAAAAGATGGCCATTCAATTGGTATTGGTAGATTGATAACTATTTCACATTTATCAGACAAACAAGAAAGGTGGCTTGATGGTCTGATAGTACATAGCCAAAAAGCATGATTTGACTCTACGTAGTGCACTACTAATTTTTTAAAAAGGCCACGCGCTGATGGTGGAGATCCGGATTCCCTAATCGGACCAGAGGAAGCGAAACGACTGAAAAAGGAAACCGCGGCGCGCACTGGAGGCCGTGCAGCGCGACCAGGCATAGCAGACATCGCAGTGCCGGTGTTCGGTAAGCGATCTGTTGCTGCGGTAGAAACAGCATGTAGCTCATCACCTCATCCGCCGGGAAAAAGCAAGCCAGCCGTACCAAGTCGTGTAGGTAGTCCAACTGCCTTCCCGGCAAGCGGTGGGATCGAAGCAGGCGTGAGCTCCTCCTCTCATCAACAAAGCGCTGAAGCAACTGCGCCTACAAACGATGCAGAGGAGAAAAATAATGGAACCATACTTCCGCTGGCCCAACGTGTTGAGCAGTGGCGGCGGCAGAAAGAACTACAAGGCACCGGGCCGCGACAGCCCACTCTAGAGGATGTAGCACGAAACCTGGCAATGCCCCAACTGCGATCCGACAGCTTATTTTTATGTGGACATCTTATTTCATTCTTATCTTATCAATTTCAATTTGTTTATTTTTTTGTATTGATGCGCTCCGGTAACGCGTACGAATATTATTCATCGCTGACCACATTGCTATGAAAGGGTTCGTCATCCTATCCTCATTGAGGTTTATTTAATGTGTAATTACGAGAGTACAACCATAAAACTCGACAAGTTGGAAGCACAGCACTTAAAAGCATCTAATTTTTGACGGGTTAGCGGCCGGCCCTGACGAGCTGCAGGTAACCGACGAAAGCGACAAAAGAGACGTAAGGACACTTATACGCGACGAGGTCAAGCTTAAACTCCAGGAGGAACGTATGCGCGCAACACTAGCGCTCGTTCAAAAAAACGAAAAGAACAAAAGATAAAAAGGTGCACTCTATTCTATTTTATGATGATAATCACGCCACCAGCACAATAAAATGATAAATTCCCCGCCTCTGGTCTGCTTTCTTCTTTATGAAATGAACTTCGTGCCAAACCGAAAACTTTGATGAAGAAGTGAATCTATTCATTCTCTTGTACTATTGTCGATCCCGAGACCATCGCTTTTCGCGAGCCCCATTTCTGTTGTTGAGATGTTTGAGTCTTTGTGCAGCAGGCGCAAAAAGTATTTGTAGTATCCCCAGGTTGGTGGCGGCGACGATAAAGGCCCCACTATCGTCTGCACCTATTTCTCAGTAGGTCTTGATGGAATCAAGTTCAAGCATCTATGCCGCATTATCATCTACACGTACTTGCATACACATCCAGCTGCTCCGTGCACGCGCGAAAGAGATGAGAGCAGCGTCGTGCCTGTTATCTAAAACTGCCTGTATTTCACATGTACTTAGTCAACAAAGAAAAGTCGTAGAAAACTTAGTTTGAAAAATTCACCACTGACGCAATGAATTGCGCTGCAAAAGAATTGCGTCGCTGACAAAAAAATGCGATCGCGCAGACACTAGATTCTCGCGAACAAGTGACAGCAAGTGCTACGATGGGATGTATTTTATTGCAAAGACAAATTTGGGATTGAAATTTTAATTTTCAGAAATCAGTTTAGTAAAAGATTCAAAAAATGGGTTGATAATGAAAATGAAGGATGAGGCGGGGCACGATCTTGCTTGCGTTCCCACCACAGTCAAGCTGCAATCTGGTTAAACGCGGGTAGATGCACGTGGTATCCGAATCTGCACACACTTTGGATACACGAAAAAGCGAGCCAGAAGAGGAAAGCAGCCGCATCAAAACCACGACGTCAATGCAGACGCCCGTGTCTTGTCAAGGAGTCGCCACGGTGGTTTATTTTAGCTAGTATTGACAAACGCGAAGGGGAAGTCGTGTGAAGGAGCCGGTGGTTCAAGCCAACGCTGACGAAGTTCACACTAACGAGGAAAACTCATCGGCACCGTTGTCGTATTCAAGGAGTCCTTGCGACCGCACAAGAAATTCTGGGCATTTTTGTTGCCTCCGCTGCGGGCTTTGCATATCCTTGAGCCAGTCTTTCAGGGCTTGCTACAATGGGGAATAAGGTCCTGACGGCATACAAGGTTGAAAAGCAGCCATGCTGCCAAGGTCTGGACTTGCGATGGACGTGCTACCCAGCAGCACACAATGACAGGCCGACGGACCCTTTGACAGTTTTTCTCTTCGAGAAAAAAGTCTTAGACCGCAATCGCAGCAAAGATGCAGTACGTTTTTCACTTCATACTACTTAAGCAGTCTTTTTCTTCAGTATCAATCAATTTTCATTTTGATTTACTTCACAACCACAACACCGAACACACTATTTACGAATACGAAAATTGTGTTTAACTTTCTCGTGGTTGCTGCTGAAGTGTGATGAAGGTGAGCTCATGTTTCTTCTCCTGTCACTCTCGCTTCCTCATCTACAGATATTAGAAACACTGCGGCGGGATGCGCAGATGCTTCAAAGGCTGCGGCACCCGAATATTTTACATGTGATGGAGCCGCTTGTTGAAGAGAAGGCAACGCTGGCGTTTGCAACAATTAAGAGTTGACCATTGAATTCCATGCGCAACTCCAGATAAAATCCTGTTTGACTCTATGTTTTCATGATGCTACCAGCATCCCCATCACGTACATCAGTGTAATGTGATGTCAAGTGAATGAATATTTTGATTTTGGTATATTACACGTCAATATCAAACTAACAAATTCAAATATAAGATAAGAAAGAGAAGACGAGTTATGCGACCTCTAAAGCGGAGCCAATCAAGGTGACCCTCGCGCAGCTTTTGGACCGGGTACTATTTCAATTTTCCATTTCTGCCAAAGGTGTAAATGGTAATGGTGTTGCCTTGCTCAGCTTCAAAATCATAGTCATAGTCTGAAGTACCTAGAGAACCTAGAAGTTAGAATCATACATCAATATCGCAGTTCCTTTCATAATTTAACGCCCATTCTCCAAATCTTTTTTTTAGGCACCTTCGGAGCTGAGTTCGTTGGAAATGAAGTGTGGTCTGCTCGATATCGCAGAGGCTGTGCGGTTTCTCCATCAAGACGCGAAAACGGCACATCTGGGACTTTCCCCATCCAGCATCTTCGTCACTGAGCAAGGTAAGACCAAGTGAATTCTATCAGAGACACTGCCAGTTCCAGACCTCCTCAGCATTCTTGGTTACACCTACTCGTTTTTAGAAGTACTAGTAGTAATCTACACTTATTCCTAGTCTCTATCCAGTACGAGACTCGCGTACTTTTCCACATTTATTGGTAGCTCTAAACAAGGCCGGTGGCTTCTCGGTGGATTTGGCCACGCGCAGCAAGGCGTCGTGAAAGGCACTGCGCAGAACAGCCAATTCAATTATGAAACAAATTTGTTTTCGCTCCTGAGTTAGTTTCAAGACAAAGGGGATGTTGTAAGTAAGTACCTAGTTCAAGTTACCATTTCTGGATGAAGGTAGTGAATCTTCAACCAACTGAGAAATTTCGAAGCCATGCAACTGCATGCAATTGTACACCATGATAAATTTGCACAAATAATATGATTCATAGGAAAGACCAAACTGTACAACCAATCGTAGGCTCTTTTGTTAAACAGAAAAATACCAAATGACGTAATGATTCGTATGTCTACTTACCAAGAACGACTTCTAATAGCATTTTTACGCGGAAGACCTATCACAAATGGGCGCTGACCCTTCACTGAAATACTGTGCTCCAGAGCTCACAAGTTCAAACAAGTTCGGGATGGAAAGTGACGTTTTTTCGTTGGGACTCATCGCTTATGAGCTCATGTCTAGCGACCGGAGGTCATTGCTGGCAGCGGTAAGAACTACAATCAATGCATTGCTTTTATGTTCTTTGAGACAGTATGTGAAGCAGTAGTCGAAAACTCACATGTCAAGGAGGACATGCCTGCTAGATATGAAGGTTTTGTACTTTTATTTTCTGAAGAAGAACGAAAATTCACAAAAAATCACCGCAGCTTGGCCGGTATGACAGGAGCGGACATCAAGCGAAGCTTTCTGCGTTGTTGCCACTGCGAGACTGCTCCATGCTTCCCCCTTACGAACCACGATGAAGTTGTATTCACTGCTATTGCTAAAATGTGATCGAAGTTTGCTTTCTGCTGGACACATCTTCACCGAGAGACTCACTTACTAATGGGAGTAGATGACTTAGTTTATATTTAAATTTATGGAAAACCACCTCCTTTGATGTTAGCATCCATCACTTTTCCTTCTGACCCTTTCTAATTTTGCGAATTGGTGTCGGTACTTTGTGGCATGCTTGCACCATCACCGGAGCACCGCGTCGACGTTACATTAAGGCTGTGACTTATCAAGAATAATAGCGGATGTTCAACAAAGTTAGTATCCCAATAGAAATATGTTTTTGTTTCAGGAACGCATGCATCGAAAATGAAGTAAGTATCTCCTAGAACGACTCTAATCCTCGTTTTCCTGCAAAGCGAATTCTTCCAGGATATTCACATCAAAGCTCTGCGCTTCCTCGAGACGCTTTCGGAAAAAGACGACGCACAAAAAGCCCAATTCTTGAAGGGCTTCCGCAACTTGCTTGAGTTATGTTGGGGCTGCCTGACTAGTTCTCCTGTGAACTGTACTACAGTTACAGTTTTTGAAGCAAATATCCAATAATTGATAAGACAAGAAAGCAAAAAACACTGCGTCAGTGAAAAGCTATCTCTAATTCCTCAGCCAGAATCAGCGTTGACGAGCGCTCGCATTCTGAAAGAGCGCGTGCTACCACAACTTACGCGAGCGCTGAATTATCCACCTCTTTACGGCCACGTTCTTCACTGCGTACTGGTGTGCCTCAGAAAGCCAAATCTTTTGACGCCGGAGGAATTCATGGTTCTCTTACATTTTTCTTTTCGATGTAGAAGGTTCTAGAAGTGGAAGTTCGTTCTATGTAAATATGGTGGTTGTTTGTGTGACGTCTCTTGTATAATCCATTACAAAAATAACATGAAGATCTACTTCCGAAAATCCTGTGGAGCAGTAGTGTTTTGCTGTAGAAATTCAGCACCTGTGCGCGTGACTAAAGGTAAATGACTTCGTAAGGTATAAGTTCCTCCATCCAGCAATATCTTCCCACCATTTCAGGCACGATGTTGGAACGGCATGCGGACCCTGTTCTCCGCAAAGGAAATACCAATAGAGGCGGTCACTGATTTGGTTAAGAATCTAGACCTCTTAATGGGCCTGGTGGATTCCACGCAAGCCCAGCAGGTGATCATCTTGAACTTGATACCCTAATATGTTCTACTTATTCATTGCTTAACTAAGTCTTCGAACATACTTACATTTTTTGTTCTTCCTACAAGGTTTTCGGAACTTGTGATTGAGTTGAAGATCCATCTTGCTGTAGTTTCGTCTCAGGATTTTCAATATTAAGATAGACTCTCATGATCTTCTCCTTGTACAGGTTTTGTTGCCTTTCTTGCTGCGCTGCCTTGAAATTCCGGAGCCCACAATTCAGAACACCGCGCTTGAAAATTATGAGTTGTCTGGATGTGGGTACATCATACAAAGTTTCAGATTTCTATAAGCCTCAGATTGTTTTAAACCTGTTTTTCTAGAATCAATACCATACTGAAGATGTTGTGGTGGCCAAGGAGGCGAACCAAATGCTTGCTTCAACGAATTCCTGTGCTGCTTCTAAGATAAAATTCCGCAAATTCACGGAAAATTCGAGTACAGGCAGATCAAGGACCAGATTCTGCCACGCATGCTGGCAGTTTTGCTGCGTGCCGAGAGCACATTGAAAGCGCGGGTCCAGATTTTGATGGGCATCAACGCTATGTTTTCAGTCTTTGACCGAGGCACGATTTTAGAAACAATATTGACCGCCTGCGAGCGCGTACAAAAAATGGAGCGAGCACCGGCGCTTTGCATGGTGCTGCTGTCCCTGTACGATGCCATGAGCAAGTTCTTGGGGCCCCGTGAAACAGCGACTAAATTTAAGGCCACACATGATTTCCATTTCTATCATGATCGATCCTAATAAAATTGATTTGAATACCCGATAACTTCTGGCACATCGATTTCGATTCTATACTTACATCATCACAATATGTCTACGACAATGTTGTTGATCCTGCGGTTTCTCTTTCTTTCTGCTCCTTCTCGATTATCAGGACCTTGCAAATTTGAGGTCATTTCGTGCTTCCTCGAATATGATGTTGCCATTAGTATGTCCGCTGCTCGCGGAGGAGAGCCTCTCAGCAGAACAGTGGCGGACGCAGATGGAAGTCTGCAAAAAACTGTTGAATCGTGTGGAGACTGCAAGGGCTAAGTTGAGGCATGAATCAGAAAGGAATGCAGAAGATGATTTGTAATAAGGAAATAGTACTTGGTGAAAGGCTTATTTCTACTACTCGAATCGAGATATGCTTACCTTGCTTTGCATTGTTGTTTGATAGGATATCGACCATGCTTAAGTTGCTCCTACTCTTTTTCTTGCTTTGTTTGATACATTTTAGATTGCTTTAACGAGAGAATACGCCACGAGAACCGACGCGAGTGCGGACGTTTCAGCAGCTCTTGGTGGCGCAGCACCAAAACCAAAGATGCCTGACGAAGACGATAACTTTCTCGCGCAATTAGGTGGTGGTGGTGCAACAAGTTCCACCACAGCAAGCACCAGCTCGAAGATTCCGACACCGCAAGACGTACTCTCTGACTTCGATTCCCTCCTCAGTGCGCCCGCAGCAGGAGCAGCTGCCAACATTATGCCCATGGCTCTTTACCTAACATTTCATTCACAAGTAGATCTTTCTCAATTGTTAAAAACATGTGTGTTGGTGTTCCAACAAGAACGGTGGCTGTTGCACTTGCTTTCCTGCGACGAGCCTAGTTTCCTTCAACTTTCTTTTGTTGGACTTACCCGCCGAATGGGTAAACTACTACTACAACTACTTCTGTTCCCATGTGACAGCTACTATGCACGAAGTGTTGTAGCGAGTCGCTGTGACAGAAAGAAGTGCTGTGGGCACACTCTAATGAAAATCCGCGCGCACCAGCAGCAGGCGCGTTCGATGACCTAATCGGCGGAGGGGGGACGACGTCACTGCCTCCACCAGCTGGCGCTTTCTCCCCAGCACGAAGGACAGCGAACACGACGCCAACAGGCGGTGACATCTTGAGTACATTTGGCACAACGGGAGGAGCAACGAGTTCGGGGAGTAGCGGTTTTTTAAGACAAGTTTTCGGTCTAAAAGCAATATCCATATCGTTTTTGCCGTACCCTCAGGCATACTAACTGCTCGTGCCTGCAAACATAATATGCTTGAGCTCCTCTTTTTCGCTTGCCGATAAATGATAATTGAACCACATATCTCTATCTAACATTTCCTGCTCCGTCAGCGCCAGCCACTAGTAGTTTCCCTTCGCTCATGGCTCCTCCAGGGAGCAACGCTGGTAAGTCCGACGATCTGCTTGCCATGATGGGACCCACACCGCAGACGCAACAGCCAAAACAACTCAGTGCGCTAGAGCAACTCACTAGTGCTGGTGGCGGCAGCTCAAATAATCTTTTTGGAGGTGGGAGCAGTGCTGTCTCTTCGGGCTTCCAGACGGCGAATTTCGACACGTCAAAAACAGGCGTTGCGCAACACCGCGTGGGAATGGCAAACATATCCGGAGATCCCTTTGCAGATTTGAATAGTACCTCGACCACGGGGGCAGGTGGAATGTCAGGCATGGCCGGTATGGGTGGAGGCGGAAACATGATGGGAGGCGCATCCGGGAACGGAATGATGGGAGGAGCATCCGGGAACGGAATGATGGGCATGGGTATGGTAGGCATGGCGGGCGCAGGAAATAATGTGGGCGGCGTGGGTGGTTTCCCAGCCAATGGGGGTAACGGTGGGATGGCTGGAATGAACAATAACATCATGGGTGGAATGATGAACAACAATATGGGGATGAACAATATGGGAATGATGGGAGGACCCGGTGGTGGAATCAACCAAATGGCAGGCGGAAGACCAAATCTCGACCCATTCGCAGGTCTGTAGTAACGCGTGTTGTTTATGCTCAGGGTTGATTGCTGGTGTTTGATAAGGAACACTAAGCTCATAAAGGATGAAGATACCTTGAATATAACTGCTTGACGCGCAATCAAGAAGGCACTAATTTGTAATTGTTTCTTTTCTTCGCGCAAGATTCGATCGATTTACTTATCTACTAGGTACTTCTAAATAGAAGTAGAAGGACATCTGTGATTACTGATCATCATCGAGAAGTTCAGTAAAAAGAATATCAGTACTTTGGTCTTCCTCGGTCCACCTCATCATCATCATCGAGAAGCTCAGAACTCCCATTCGAATCTAGATTTTGTCACTTTGTTGAATACCTGACTCTGATTCTGTTCGCAATGCATGTAGCACGGACAAGTCTGCTGTAGATCAGCCTTCACTTGGAAACAAAAACCTTCCTGATTCCAGCTAATATCCGTAGCGTAGTATGAAAAAACGGTACTGCTCGTGAGACCTCGTAAATGGGTACGTGACCAATCAAATCAATCAATCTGTATGGCTTTTGATGTCTCTACTTTATTGAGTCTTTTGATTTGTGTTCATCGGAGTGATTTGACAGAGGATTTACTGGTCTTTGCGGAACATGAAAACAATCAAAACAAGCAATTCTTAGGGACTACACTTTGACTTATCCATCGATTGAGAGAGCATCACAAACGAAGACCATCTAAGATGATTCGCGTATCGACCACCTCTGTATAGATCATTTGCATCGTGGTTGTGATCAGTATTTTCCAGAAGGACATTCCGTCTCATGTCGTTGTCGTCGGTCGCCTAGAAATTATAGGATCGGGTGCAGAATAGTACACAAACATTGACCCCCCCTCGCCCAACATTGTCCTCGTAGTCCCTTTTTTTGCCACTATAGAAACTGTCTATCCTCATTTTCTTGCATTGGTATCCAAACCTCAATGCTGAAGTAATTCTAGGTTAAATTCCTTTCACGACAATCAATCTTTATCTTTGTTATAGCTAATACATAGTCCTTGTTCAGTGGCTCGTCTCGCTTTCTAGCTAATCTCTCACGTACCGAAACCTCCGCATGCTATACTCATCGTCACGATACCAACTACCAAGTTCATCTAGTACCGCTTCCCAGAGTAAAAAAAGTAGATAGTAGAACTACAACAGTAGAACCGACGTTGAGGTATCTTTTTTCGAGGATCCGGAAAAATGGCCGAGGAGGAACCCGTGGAAACTGGTCCGGCTTACGCCGTTCCCCTAGTCGAGGACGTTGTATTTCCTTTACGTGAGGAAATCCTGACTGCCGCCTATGAGGGTACTACTACCGCAGAAGCAAAGTTCAGAGCGGGTCTGGAAAAAGACGCAGCAAAAGTTATGGCTAGGTCTCAAGTACGCAAGGAAGTTGGCAGTTCTTTTCCCTCGTCTTGATTTTCGTATTTTGGTGACGAGATCATCTTCACGTTATTGAATACATAGATGTGCATATCGCAGATCATGGCTAGGATTCCTGATTTCGAACAAGTAGTTACACAAAATAGATACCATACATGACTTAGGAAATCAAAGGTACAAGATTTATTCTGTTTACTTGACGCACCACCTCCTCTAAAAAGTCTGCTGAGGAAGAAGGCGGCGACGGGCTAGCCGTACCAGAGAAAAATCTTACTTTTGGTGAGATCTCTTTCAAGAACCTGTTCGATCTGCTTAACCTTTGCAAGAGCAAAACCGAAATCTATCCAGCAGAAACAGTGGTCGTCGACTGTGGCAGTGGCCTAGGAAAGCAGGTCATTGGAGCGGCTCTCCTCGACAGTTGGCTCAAGGTTTGCGGCGTCGAGCTCCTCGAATCCTACGACACTATGGCACAAGCTGCCCTCGAAAAATTCAAAGCCGGTGTCGAAACGATGGATGAGTGTACTACTCTTTTTTACAACTTCATTCGAAGTTTCGTATTACTTTGCTTGTTGAAGAAAATCAGAAGCAGAACTTTCGTATTAAGTTCATCCTCCTTTATTTTGTAAAATTTTTTCTAGTGGTCTGACTGTCAGTGACCAGATCATAATAAATCATATTCTGACCCTTCCACCTCCACGCGACGATAAAGTGGTCAAACAAACACGACACTACACAGCTGTCCCGAGATGCGCAGACGTGGCACTTCAGAAGGGAAATTTTGTCGATGAGGTCGCTGGCCTGTGCGGGGAGAACGCTGCTATAGTTTGTGCTTTGTCACCGGTCTTTCAAGCAGATCAACTGACCTTAAGCCACCATAATTATTGGTAGTTTCAATCTAACGATCTATCCCACATCCCTGAAAAGTGAACCAAAGGAAATGATTAAGATGATCTTTACACTACGGGGTGTTTCGTAATGAATTAATCCTGAGAAAATCTGAATCGTCTGTATTCACGCTAATTTACGCGCTGTGCACTGCCCTTCAGGGACTGAAGATGGGAAGCTTACTGATCACCATGACGCGCGCAGCACCCGATGTCGAGTACTGGAATCCGATCTGCGTGCAGAAAATGGAATGTCCTTGGGGCACCGCAACTGTCTTCATCCACTCGAAATTCAAAATGCCTCCGGTAGAGGAGTGAAGATATTGGGATGGAAAATACTTGATTAGGAATAGGTTTAAATCAATCTGACATGATAGAAATGACACAGACGAGATATTAGTACCACTTACTAATAGATATGATATCTTCACTCGACGCCACATCCAGATTCAATCACGTCCATAATGAAATTGTTTGAAGCAACAGGACAAAGACGGTGTAAAATTTGACATGATCGTTGAAATATTACATCAATAGAATTAGCCGTGTGCCTGAAGCAGACCCGAAAGAAGTGTATGCTCGCCGTGCATGATATTTAGCACCTGGCCATAGATACGACTACAACCTGGACTACATGCTACATGCAAACTACGCTACAATTTTTTCACCTTCTTCCGCATCGCAAGAACCAAATAGTATCAAATTCATCAACTACATGGTTGAGTTTTTATTCCAACATGTACCATGACGGCAGAAAGAACCGATCACGATTCCGATTCAAATTATCAACGTAAAAGAGGATTATGAGATTCCGCTTTTCTGACTACAACTACAACAAAAATAAAGATTTTGACGCAGCAAAGACAAAAAAACGCGCCCCTTTGCTTTGGGTAGAGATCCCTCACATGTTTCATTCGTATGGACTGCGATGTATCAACGCTGTTCGGGAATCTATCTTCCATTGTATCCAAGAAAAGGAGCTCAAAACACTGAAACTCGGTTATGCTCTTGTTGCTGGTCATGATGATTATGCATAGATGTAGTACTAAACATTGTTCGCTTTTGGTTCATCATCTTCTGTGTTTCGTTTTCCATATCTTGCTTTTTATGGTCGGCGGAAATTAGCCGAAAAACGCAAATAGGCTGAATTAGTGCACGCACTGAAAGGCACCACGAAGAACAGCGGCAGCTGGCAGTTAGAAGTAACTTTGATAAATACAGATCATCCTTTTGTTGCGAGAAAAACCAAAACTATGTACAAGTCCTAATCCTAAATATTCTTTTTGTCCTCCTAGCGGGAGCAGTTGCGTTTTTGTCTTGGTACTCTTGTGTGAGGTCGTTGGTCATTGAAGGGAGTGGAGAGTGTTAGTTTGGCCACCTTGTTCTTTGCGCAGTTTCTCAGCGTCGTTGACAAACCGGTGCCTCATCCACCCTGTCCCCAACCTCCTGCGTAAAACGGGTCTGAAATAATAGCACTCGGATGCAACTACTACCTCATGCCGAAAACGGAAATGTAAACATAAAACAATATCATGAACAAGATCTGTACCAGGTCCGCCAGTCTATTGGGGTTTATATTTTAAGGCAAAGATAATTGGAGATCCGCTCTGCTTCTAACATAGACATTTATTCAGCGCACAGGCACATGTTGATGCATAGCATTTCACTCTACAAGCCAGTCTGGCAGTAGGGACAACCACTCAACTTACTTCACAACCTCAGCATTTCAATTTCTACCCCTATCTGATGAATTCAAATGCACTCGCGATCCCGCTGAATTATGGTTGTCCTCCTTTTCAATTTCTTATACTGTTTGAGGAAGCTCTAATCAGTGAAATTGAAGTTTTCGAAGCAGTTGTAACGAAGTCGTGGGTTTCCACATCTTCACAACTGAAAACCACAAGAATCCCCACACTAGAACAGGTTAAAACCATCTATTTGAGCTCGTAGAGAAACCACGTCGACGAAATCCAACTCGTCGCCGGGCAAGAATTCTCTGTCCCTCTGCAATAAATAGAGATGATGGTGAGCCAGCTTCTTTAGAAATCGAATCGTTCAACATGCATTCGATTGATCGAGCGTCAAGAACATACAAATATATAATCATCCTGAAATAAACTCCATTGATTCGGCTTTACGCCTCAAATACTAACAACATAACTTCTTCTACTTCGTTGTTGCGAGGAGCCTTAATCTTAATGAAGATCAAGAAGTTCGTCGCAGATCAGTTTCACTTCTGTGGCCCAACACAACAATGAAAATTCAATACCGTGGCCGAGGACCCTTTCTGGGCAGAAGAAGAAGATCTTCCCCTTCTATGTACACCTCAAGAAGAAACTATGGTTGAATTTAATTTGTTATTGAATTCAGTACTAACTGGCTGCTGGTTAGTACGAGGCTCGTCGTCCGTTATCAATCTTCGATATTAAGCTTGCTAGAGAGCGCAACTGTTCTCGCGAACGAAGATTGCGTGAAAATCGTCACACCCGACATACATTCGCGGGTGTGGCCGAATCGGAGCGATCATCTTCGTTGATTCAAAACCAATTTGATCATCGGGATGGGCCGCCTGGGGTAATTCGTTCTCGTTTATTTCTCTCTCCACTGTGTTGACGTAATTTTTTTATTCTACCGGATATTTCTATATATAACGATGTAAATTCTTCATTGATAATCATGATGCTTTTCGTTTTCATCATCATCGACAACTCGTAACAATTTCATCGGGACATGTTGTCCACCTCTACATTCCTCCGATCATCGTTAACATCTTCCTCCTTCGATTCATGATTTTCCATTCGTGTATCTTCTATTGTTAACAACTTTCTTTTTTTCGACGTTTTCAACCTCTTGTTGTGCATGATGTATCATCATGTGGTTTTTTTGCCTTATGGTGGACAAGGTGTTTTTTTCCATAGCTCCCGCGCCGACAGAGGCATAAGGGACAGGGGTCTAGAGAGGCAGAAGGCTGGTAGACCTCAACACTGCAACACAATGGACGATTCGGAGAAATCGTTCTCCAATTTCATCCAACTTTTCTAGAAGACGACGTCGAGGGTTCTCGTCGTCAGGAGCTGCGCAACAGCTGCATCAACATTAGTGCCCGCTTCTTCGAGGTGGATATTGATATCGCTGCGACGAGGGTGACGTGCGATATTCTTCACCTATTCCAACATCTAGTTCTCTTTTTTAGAGAACCAACCGACGCCAGGAGGTGCGTCTTTTCTTCATCTTCTACTGCTTGCAGGAGGACGAAGGAACAGACCGTATTTTTCGACCACATCACACACTATCATTAGTTTTCTTCTTTACGGCGGCACCCAAGGTGACGTCGAAGGAACTACTACTTCACTACAAGCAGACCTCAAGCATTTCACCACTACAGCCCCTCACAAGACAAGTGGTGACGGAGGAGCGGACTCTCACTCTGCTCTTCGTGCAGTTCACTTTCCTGTAGAATTTTGGTCTTTCACCTCTTCTTCTTGTTCGAAACTATCGAGATGTTGGTGCTTGGAGGAGCAGCAGCCTCTTGCGAACCGGAGGGCCAAATACCACACCAGATCCTGCTGCATTGGTAGCAGTGCATTCCACCTCGGAATAACGAAACACCCTTCCACAACCAACCGCCCAGCATTTAGCTGAACCAGACCATTTAGGACCACCATACAACTTATGCTTTTTCATCTATAATCACGGACTGCATCAACATCATGCGTCGGAGAATTAATATTGAACTTGTGTTTTTTTCAACCTGGTGCTGGTCATTTTCGATAACAATCAGAAGAAGCTGTTCCTCTATTTGTTTACATTCTTAGGAATCGATAATGACAACCCATTAAAGGAAGATTTTGCAGCTAGCTTTCTTCCATAATCTGCTACTTGTTGATTGCATGTCTTCTAAATTGGTATCGATTTTTTTTTCGTTCGCAGATGGGACGCAGCCCTTTGCTCGTTGCTCGTCGCTCGCTATACACGCAGGAGCGCACGTCGGTCACGGCGTCCTTCACGGCGTTCTTGCAATTGCGGGTTTCGACCAGCGAGCCGGTCATCACCTTCTGCGATCATAATCCTCCTGATAACTGGTGCCGCTGTCTGTTATAAAGAGGAGGCGAAGGATCGAAGTGCTGAAGCGGTGTCCCCGCACCAGTTTAAGGCACCTTATTCTCTTCGTTAAAAGTCAGAAGTATATTAATAATATATTTATATATAAGTAGCACTAGGTCAACGCTTTTCTTCGTTGCTCCTAACCGAAAAATGGAATCACTATTCACTATTTTATTAGACCACCAATATCACCATGATAATTAACGGTGCTCGCAGAGCATTTACAAACAATCTTGATGAAGCTCTAAGCATTATTTTGACCTCCGTCTGCGGTGGGTTTTCCAGAACAAGACTGTGTTCGTGCGACTGATACGAAAGATGGAAGACGTGAGTCTTCTTTCTCTCGCCGTCGAGCGGCACAAACGCCCCAAGCCCTGGGGCTGTTAGTGTTGCCACGCAGGCTCCAGCATAAGAAAAAGAAATTGCAGATCAAGATCATCATTCAACATTGTATTAACGCTACATCAACATCAAGAACTACAACATCTTCACCAAGAACTAGATCAGAGCTTTCTCTTCCTCGTATTTGCTTTGATGACCTGGGGAGGACGAGTGCAGCATTGGTATAAAACCTAGAGGACAACAAGTGTGGCAAGTCGTGAAGACGCGAAAAGTAGCAAGAAGATCCGCCGTCTTCTGTACAACAATACCACCTTGTTTCGCTACATCGCACAGAAGGACTAGAAGAAGAAACACTGCGCACCAAACTACCTCTCACCAAGTACTACTACTACAACTAGAACAAGCTTGATTATAACCACAACCGGCATAACAAGCAGCAGGTGGACATGATCCTCGCCTTTGTTCGTTGAACAACAGGAGGGAAATTGCCGAACAACGTCACGGGTGAACGAGCACAAGCATTATCAACAACACAACACCAAGACCAACAACTGCCTCTGTACACCAAGAACCCCACCCCGAGCACTCTCGTCTAGTTGTACTACCTAGTGCTTATCATTAGTCTACTTCTAGGTAATGCGTTAGCATTTATTGCGGAACTACTTCTATTGGTGCAACGATCATACTCACTGTATTAGGGACACCAGCAGGATACAGAATGAATCTACTCGAAATTAACGTCTACCTCGTGGAGAATCTTTTTTGGTCAACATTCAATTGATGTACTATACTGAATGAAATACACAGAAGTTTTCTTTTCGTGCAACTAAGCTGTTCTATCTCGATGGATCAGGATCAATAAGGACTGGAGAAGCAGCCAAAGGCTTTCCATCAAGTCACAGCTCAGCTGTCAACTGCACACTCGAGAAAGAAGGGTTTGCTTCCTGCAGAGCTGGGTGACTAAAACAAACTGCTCCGATTGTTATTCTTGTTTCTTCATTATTGCTCAGTAGTTCGTTGCACTGATATTATGAGAGTAGAACTACCTACTTAGACGGTTCAACAACAAGTAGATCGTTGCTTTCTGTTTTCTTCACCTAGGGACAAAAACTATCCTCGTAATTAGGGTAGGCCTAGCAGCTTTTCGAACATTGATGTTTATTTAGAAAAATATAATATTTAATCGACATTCCCTATTCAAATTCGTGATCGTGTCCTGCTCAGGTCGTTATCTTACGCGGTTTGTAGGACTATCGTTTATAACTTAATATGGAGCAAGCAATCATCCGCTGAACCCAAACCAGACTGCCTACATCAAAAGGATTTCGCTGCATGATAAAGTATGGTTGAGTCTTCAACCCCTGCTCGTAGTTTTTAATCGCGTCGGACGCCTGGGCCTGGCACGTCGGTGAAGGAGTTCAAGTAATCTATGAGTTAAGATAACTCAGGTTTGTTTTTGAATGAAGGTTGGAAAAGTCGATACTACTTCTAAGATTTTTTATCAGTCACCTACTGTTTAAGAAGACCTTAGCTGTTGTAGTCGCCCAGAAGAACAATTACAAAAAATGTATTAAATTCCAAGTTCACGACTCGCCGCTCCCATGCTCCGGTTCGTTGTTAAATGGTTTTTATTCTAAATGTTGAAGATTTATGCTGTCAAAGTGTCGTACTAGTGTATTGAAATAATAAATCATGAAAGAATCTCCTGCTTTGAGGCAAGAAAAAGGAGTATCGTGCACAGTGATAAGTAGATTTTTCGTTGTGGCAGAGTAATATGAATGTAAAAGAATTGCTTGTCGTCGTAGCTACAGAAGTTATAGGTTGTTGTATACACTTAAAGGAATCGATTAATAAACCTATTATTAATCGTCACCTGTCTTGGTTTATCCGTGTCCGTGACGTCGTCACACTTCGTTTACAACGTCAATAGAGGTGAGGGATGCCTGCAGCTGCTCTGTGATATTTTTCTTGATGAATGTTGCCTGTCATGTATTTTAAATAGTTTGATGTCGTCAGTGAATCTAGATGTAGATGGAGTTTGCGTAGTAGAGCTTGTTGAGGCAAGAAGCGAGCTTTGCTACCGGCATCCATACTAATTTTTTAGACGCAATATTAGAAATATCGTTTAAATTTCAATGATTCTTGGTAGAAAATTCTTTTCTATCACGTTGATAGAAAAGAGAGACGCCCCTCGGGTTGTTGTACGGTTCGAGTTGTGTCTCTCCCAACATTAGTGCATGCCTCCTAACTATGATCAATTATATTTTTTCCTGATGTCATAATCTTTTTTTAAGCCTCGTATCTAGTATCTTCATCCACACAGTATTTAATGTCCGACGTGAAGACGCGATCTTTCATCTACTCTTTGCTGTATACAATATCGATCGATTGCATTGCTTGAACTTCCATTGACTACAACTACTTCAAATTCCATATTTATGTTTTGAGTAAAAAAAAGTATCTTCCCGGCAGCCGTTGATGTTTCTACCGTCGAAGCATCTGCGGTCGATTTCTAGAAGGAAGAGCGGTCATGTATCTCCTTCTGCCCAGAAGTCGGGACTCGTTATCATATTCTCATCATTAAGTCGTCTTGTTCCTAGCTAGAGTTCCTGGTGCTAGTGCAGGAATTCATGCCCTGCATATTGTTGTAGCATTTCTATCTGACCCCTGTGGTCATCAGACTAACTTACTAGAGGTTAGATAAAAGGATAGTTATTTGTTACAATCTGTCGTTCTTGAAGGGTCGAGGTGCTCAGGGGGGATCACTCTTGCGTGCCAACTGTGAGCAACTGCGAAGAATCCACTTCAGAACAGGAGAACCAGTACTAGAGAACGAGTCATTCGTCGCGGTTCTTCTACCTTCTTGGGTTTGTTCGTCTGCAGCCAATGAACACCGACGCACACGCACCCCCAAAAAAATAGCATCAGCAATACAAAAACTACAAATTAAGTACAACCCAAAACAACATCTCCTCGAAGAACAATACACGTACACCTTACTCTATCTGCACCTGCAGATAATAACAACATCAACAGACCCATTCTTGACATCGCCGCTTTCATCTGTGTCGTCGCAGCGGGTAAAACAAGAAGCCGACCGGAAACTGATCTACCAAAGACCATGGGCACCTGTGGCGGCAAGATGGCACCGATGGAACAGGCGGACCCTCCAGCGCAGGACTGCACCCACAAAGTGTCTATTACATCAACGTCCTGTCCTCAGCTTGAGAATCAATCTTCATACTAGACTACAATGAAACACATACGTGAATCGAATTTCAATCATTCAAAAGTAGGTGGGCTGTCAAGCTTCGAACATCGTACCATTTGATTCGAAACGATCGTTTACTTGACAAGGACATCCTTTTGAGTGTCCCAATGTTGTACTACACTCAAAGGGGATTATTTCTGCCCTGAATAATAGGAATCCAAAGTAGATTCACAGGAAAGGATATTCAGTGGTCTTTAGTTGATGTGTACTCAATCTTTGAATGTTTTTTTTCTTGGCCCTCTCCCAATAAGGTGGTTCGCGGTCCGGCGGCTGAGCAAGTGAAGCAGGATCATGTGCTAGCTCTAAGTGCACGCGAACAGGAGGAATTGCGGCAACTGAAAGAGCCTCGGTTTACGGCGGTGCCGCGTGTAAACACGCCGATCAAAAACCCTGTCGTCGAGCGCAAGCGATCCCTTGAAACCTGCGTGCGCTATCACACACATGATATCCTTATGATACATATTTGATGCTTCTTTGGATGACCACCTCTTTCAAGCGAACTCGATGAAACAATCCAAGCTTCTAGAGAGATTATAATCAGTACTTAAAACTTTGTTTCCGCAAGCCCAAAATCCCATCAGATTGAAGTTTAGGGTTCGATGCACATTCACAACTACAACATATCTTTTCTAGCAGGAGGCAATTAGTGCAACATAAAGATTCTTTTCTAAGCATCGCGCTGATTACGATTTAGAGGAGGCGAATGTGGTCGGATCGGGCTACAGCGGACCGGTTCTGATGGCTTCCAGCAAAAGCTTCGGCCATAGCAACAAGCGATATGCCGTGAAAAAATTCGACAAGCGCAATCTTTGCACCAAGAAACTCGCTTTCCTCAAGGCCGAGGTAGTTTAGTCGATGATGTCGAGAAAAGCAGCATCACGTCAACATAATGTGTATGCCTATTTCAATAAGGATTCTAGACTTTTTCGATAGTGCCGCATACAAATACTAGCCTCTGCCAGAAACGACGACTCTTCCGCGCTTCCTCAAACCCGTCAGGTCAACATCTACCTCAAACTGGATCACCCATACATTACGCGGCTCTTCGAAGTCTACGAGACTGAAAATGGCCTCTATCTTGTTATGGAGTACTGCAGTGGCGGCGAGCTCTACCACAGGTAAAGTTTTTTGAAAAAAAGTAGAATGAGTCATGCATATGAGTCTGCTTGTTTTGCTCTAGAGACTCTTCATTCATGGATTGCGATGATTCCCGTATCCCCTCTTGGTTATCCTCTCTGTCTACTAGATTGCAGTCGAAGAAGATTTTCTCGGAGCGTTGCGCGGCTGACACGACGTATCAGATGTTGCTCGCGATCGGGTATCTGCACAACAACAACATTGTCCACCGTGACTTGAAACTCGAAAATTGGCTTTACGAGAATGAGGATGAAGACGCAAAGCTCAAGCTGATCGACTTCGGCTTCTCGAAGGTGTTTTCAAAGCACACGAAGATGCACCAATCCTGCGGGTCCGTCGCCTACGTGGCACCCGAAGTGCTCCGCCGCTCCTACAGCGCCGGACACTGCGACATGTGGTCGTTGGGCGTGATCGTCTTCATGCTGCTCTCCGGGTACCCACCGTTTTACGGACGCACAGAGGAAAAGATGATCATCCTCATCGAACAAGGCAGATATCACATGCGCAACGAAAGGTAATATTCAAATACTAACTTTTACAGGATGGAGATCTCCAGAATTAGTCCTTCTGGAAGATCGTGGCAGCTATTTCTAAGGATGATAGATAAACATAAACCTTTCTCGTTTAATCAACCCTCCGTGTCCTCGTTTATTTATTCGATCTTATTTTGGAAATGAAGAGTCTCCTGCCTGTGCATTGAACCTCAATCTTTCAATGTTAACAGATGGGATCGCATTTCGGATTGCGCGAAGGATTTTGTGCGCAAGCTGTTGGAAATGGATGAGCACAAGAGACTGAGCGCTGAGCAAGCTCTGCGCCATCCGTGGATCCGCGATCGCATGTTGGCGTGCCCACGAGCTTTCTCTCCGGAAGTAGTACAGGGTCTCCGTCAGTACGCCTTAGCTCCACAGTTGAAGCGGGCTGTGCTGTGCACGATTGCCATGACTCTGGACGCAACTGAAATCGCCGATCTCCGCGATATCTTCATCTCCCTCGACAAGTCGCGCAGTGGGACCATCTCACTTGTTGACTTCCGGTATTGTTCCTTCATAACGCATTTATAAAACCTTGATGAAGTTTGACGTTGATTAGATGAAAATGAACATCACATGTACTTTTGTCGGTATATATTCACTCGCACTTCTGCCAAATATCGTCTTCTAGTCGTGGCCATAAAATTGTCAAGCTGGAGACAAGATATTATTTCTTAGAAATCCATTTCCTCACGACTTTCTTCCATTTGATCTCATTCATACATAATGCTTGCATCAAACAGGGACGCGATGAAACAATACACGAAGGAAGCGATCTCCACGGAAGAAATTCGGCGAACCTTTCATTGCCTCGATCACGATAATCATGGGTGCATCGAATACTCGCAGTTCATTGCCGCACTAATCCAGTCAAAAATCGGACTGAAGGACGGTTTCGTACTTCTTTTTCTTATAGCTGTTATAGTTATGTTGAGCCAAGTCAGTGCAAGACCTTCCACTCGTTTTCTGTTATTTAATTATGTTGAGGACTTTACTTTTTGCCTGTATGCGCTACTAGGTAGGACTAGAAGACTCATGATCTTGCACTCCCCCGTGTTATAATCAATCATGTGAATGCTGATTATTGATTTTTCACGTCTATTGTTCCACCCTTTTAGGTCCGTGACGCGTTCGATAAGTTTGACACAGACCACAAGGGCTTTTTAACTGTGAAGAACTTGGAGGACGTTCTGGGAGACAAGTTCGGAGAGGCGCAAGCCCTCTTAGGAGAGGCCTGCTGCCGCCGTCGCGACATGCTGTTCTACGACGAATTTGCACACCATGTGGTGTCCAGTAGCAGTCCAAGCAACTCCTCCAGTGGACAGCTTGCGATGCTCGACAAAAACGAACAGTGTCATCAAGGAATGGAACAAGCTAACAAAGCTGCAGGCAGTTCGACGTCATCTCTATCGACATCGGCTGGTGGATCGTCGTCGGGCAGCCTTAGTGCTGTGGCGTGCTCTTCGAATGCTAAACAGGCGGAGCAGCGGAATACTGCATTTCAACCTGTTCCGCGGAACGCAGCAGGTGGGACAACTACTGCTGCAACAAGTTGCAGCGGTGCAACTAGCCGACAGATGTCCGGAGCAACAGTACGAAATTCGAAGTCAGATGAAGAGTTTGTGCGCACCTCGAGTGTTCGCACTTCCTCGTCGAACAATAGCGGCAAGAGCAAAACCTCCTATCGCCTCCACGAGCTGCAGATGAAGGCGCGCACGGCGACGAGCAGCACAGGAGCACCGCAGGCGAATCCTCGGTTGGCCGGCGCAGAACAACATCATATCTCTATTGGCGCAACGACGACGTCGAGCGCATCGTTGCATCAAGGACCGCAACCTGCACTTCACACAATTGCCACCGCTGTTGCCCGACCAGCACGGGAGCAAAGCGTAAACATTGCACTACCTCCTCCGCATCATCAGCAGCAGCAGCAGCAGTTGGTGGAGCGCCAAAAATACGGGACGAAATTGGGAGGTGGAACGGCTGTCGCTGCCTCAACGCGCGTGAAGCAACGAAGCACTTGCCTTGGCGAGGAAGCCCTCAGCTCGAGAACCAGCAGCACGCGGTCTACAATGTCCGAGGACCACTCTGCGACTGCCTCCATGAGAAGGGCCCTCTAGCTGAGGGCTCTACTCTTTGGAAAATCTATCGAAACTAGTGCACTTGGAGACTCATAGTTACTTGAAAGCTAATTTACAAGTGGAGGTCCAGGTGCGAAAAGATCAATAAGATCAGGGGCAGCGGTTAGGTATAACAATTTGACTGATGATTCTTATGTAGCAACTCTCATAGAGAAAGTCAGAATTATGATTCCACAAGTACGACGCGGAGCTCCCGGCAGAAAGTTGCGATATAAATGATGATTATTTTGTGTCTATGTGTACCACCAGAGTAAAAATGTTGATGTTCTGGTACATTCTTTCGGCTTCCTGAAGATAAGTCGTAATTATTACCGCTCGTTGATGTTTTCGTTTTCTTTGTCGAAGTATCTAATGGAAGTAGTTAATGCAGCTATATATTCGTGAATTTTTAAGCCTCCTGCAACAGTGAGCATTAGCAAAGAATATTTTATGTTGCGAAAATTTCAATCCCAGAATCATCTGCAAGCAATGGAGTCGACTTCATCATGTGCAGCGTATACTATTCAGCAAGACCACCACCACCGTTTGTCATCACAATGAATTAAGACATTCTAATTCGACGCGCGAGTCGTGCGCCATTGCGGAGGGGTTACGCCTTCCCTGCTTCATGAGCAGGAGGGTACATCACGTTCCTCCCATTGTTTTCTTTTGAAAGCCGAACGGCCCGCCATATCTACAACGATTTCGGTTCTTGTTGTTCGATACACCTACTGTGAGGACAACCAAATGAGTTGTGCAGCCTCATGAGGAGATGCTGATTCAATAAGGTATGCTTGCAAATTTCAGAAAAGTAAAACAGTAGCACAGACATTACCGAGATTTGAGTACTTAGACGAAACAGAAGATCTTTGGGACCTAGTCGTAATATCGACAGAGTTTTCTTGCTCCAAGCGAACAGCAGGTGGCATTTTTGGCTCAGGCTAGAAGCACAATCCTTGACTAGCTTACAGTAGAACGAAATCTACATCATCTACTTGACATGCGGACGAAGCGTGGGCCATCAAAGGCTTGACTTTTCTCGGAGCGGGGTAATGAAATCATCAACGAGTATCTCATCTTCAACTTTGCCGAACGACCGCTAGACAGATGATTGTTTACAATACACCATGCAACACTATTAAAAATACGACACAGGTTTTGAGATATTATTTGGAAGTAAAGGTGACGACTCTTCAGAACTTGTAATTGTAATTGTACTACATCTTTATGATATATTTGCTTTTGCGGGGACCTCCACTCAGTCGGCCAATCACGCCCTGTACCATCACAAAGTTTGAGTTTGTCGTTTAACGACAGCTGCGAGATCATGCTGAGAACGACAGCAGGAGGAATCTCGAAATTGAGGATTTGGTAGCGGTCTCGACTCCAAGATTGACCGATGAAGCATGCAACAACGAGCTGACCGTTTTGGATTGTTATTCGACTTTGCAATAAGTATTAATATGTTTTGTAGAAAATTATCCTACTCGAATCAAGAAACCATGTTGAGTGGAATAGTTACGCCAAGCGCGAACTAGGGTTTAAGAACCTGATTGTTTTCAAGCAAGCCTTGTCGGAGGTTCTTGCTTTTGCTTGCGACGGAGCCAGCAAGACGATAGAGATGAATGCAGGTGAGAGCGATGCTAGTTATATGCAACCTAAACGGTGGAAGAGGGTACCTATGTATAACTGGTTCATGTTGTCGTGTGAGAGATTACAGCTGCTGAGTGAGGTGTGTCACCAGAGCTGCCACGGTAGGGTATGCAACCTCATCATGTTTCTAAAGTCAAAGTCACCTGCTTCCATATAATTATATATCAGTTCTTACTTATTATTATAGTTGGGAGTGAGCTTGATGATGCTGCTGGCTATGTGAAAGTCAACGTACAACGTACCAACGTCAAGGTACTTCTTGTACGATAAATAACGGCACTAAACAAAATAAGAAGAAACCCTCGGATCGATGCATTCATTTCCTGCATCAACAAAAAGTAAACTGGAAAGATGACGAATCTTCAGAGCATGTCACGTCGTCTGCTTTTGCTCCTCAAAAGTGGCGTTCTTGGAGTATTATTCGCGACGCAGCATGCAGCTGCACATGAGGCTTCGCCTGCTGCTCCAACGGCATCTTACAACGATCCCGCGTCTGCTGCGGCCGAAGCGGGTCTCGATTTGAAAGACCCTGTGACGGTCTATCAAGTTTTAAAGCAGCGAGCAGCACCGAACCTAAGGGAAATATGTGTCTTTGGTCTGGGTCCCAGACACCAGCAGCTCCTGGAGCACTGGCTACGGACCGATCTAGATGCCACCGCTCACATGTTCGACGTCAGGGACATCGACAGACTATTTTATGGCGATAACTTCTAACATCCTAATCGCCCGCACAAGAAGTGATCACCAGTGTTGGAAGTCTGAAGTCTCATAAGCTTGTGCTCAATCCCTTGCTCTTGCTCACAGTAACAAATATAACTCGCTTCCACTTAATATCGCGAGTCGATGTATTTATGAATGTATTAACACATACATACCACGCACTGCGCTCCTGCACCTCCATCGCTGTCCCACTACCCTCTTTCACTGCCGCGGATTGAAGGAGGAGTTTCGACACAGGGTTCTATTCGGACATGATTACGCAAGTTGGGAGGAGGAAGGGCGTCATATTTCCTGCTCGACGGTGCTTTTTTCTCTTGAGGGGCCGAAGTTTACTCTCGAGAGAGTGATGGAGAACATACGCGACCCCACAGTCTCCTTCGTCTTCCTCAGCTACGATTGCATGCTGGTACAGCTTAGCTTTGTTCTTGTAAGTATTTCTGTTGGCTTATTTGTGAGAAAGCGAAAGCTGTGAAGGATTATAGTACTAACTTAGCTTCTTCTACATAGTTCTCCCCCTACTCCCAGGTAAATGACGAGGATGGCAAGAACAGCGGCGAAGTGGTGATGAGCGCCAAGTGCAGCTTTCTGAACACCTTTTGTTAAGGTCACCACTCCTTCATCCCTATGCGGATCCTTCACGCCGATACAATAGTCAGAACAATAGCTTATTTGTTCTTGGTGTATGACGTTTAACAAGCCTCTATTGCTCACCGACAATAGGCACAACAAAGGAACAGGAAGTAGGATGAACATCAAACTAAGAATTTATACTCACAGTTTGGCGAGTAGAAAGGGGTGAAGAGCTTTGGGTAGCTCAAATTTTTGGTGAAAACGAAGATGATGTGGCACGGACGTTGTTCTCATGATATGTGCATTGCGCCAAACATGCCAAGAAGCGACCTGGAAGAACCGAATGTAATCGAACAAGAGTGCGGTTTATTCGACAAGCCACCGAGTCGGGGAAGCGAAGCAGATTTCACGTCGAAGATGCTCTCCGAGTACGCGCAGGATTGGTGTATGCTTTTAAGTTTAGTAACATCGCATGATCCTGGTCACCAATGGATGCTAAAGTATAGGTTTTCCCGAATCTTCTACTTATTCGGAACTAGTAGCTTTGAATGAAAATGAAAAAAGAAATTTTTCGTGCCCCAGTGTACTCGCACTATTGTATATAACTTGTTTTGCGAAGGTATCTATGAAAAGTATACAGCTTTGTTCATCTCCCCTCTCTTCCATTTCATATGTGTCCTGCAGTACAACTTTTTCTCGGGACAGCATCCCGCCGAAGTGCATCGCGACTACGAAACGTCGACGAAAGTGGCGAGCGGCGTTGGCGACGCCTCTACGCTAGCTCAGGGCGGCTTAGATCCTGACGAAGCTACAAATATCCACCGCGAGACGAGTGCATCTCCTATTCCAGAAGGAGCCGCAATAGATCAACAAGGACAAGAAGGAAGACTCCTAGACTGGCCGCGACAGAGAACGTACGTGGATCTCGGTGGCTGCTTGCCGTTTGACTACTCAAACACGGTCTACTTTGACCGATGCCAGACGAAGAAATGGACACGAGGACTGTGCGTCGAGCCAAATTCGAATTTGACGCCATTTCTTGAGGCCTATCGCCGTTGCAACGTTTTGCAAATGTGCGTCGCAGATCGGGACAAACCGAAAAACGTGTTTCGGTATGCGTCTTTATTGAAGTGAGTACTTTTGCCCTCGACTACAGTACATGGTATACAAACACCAGTTGAAAATCCAAATACTGAGACAAAGAACAAGTAGTTTTGTGTAATGTGGCAGAAGCATCGTCCTAACGAAAATCTGAATTCATGACTTACAACTTCTTTTCAGGTATCGGGACGGTGACTCTGCCTTTTCTGCGCGATGCACGACGTTGGCGAATGTACTCTTAACAACGGAAAGTCCGACAGTTGACTTTCTGAATGTCGACATTGAAGGACAAGAAAAGAAAGTCTTTCAGGACTTTCCCTTCGACGCTTTTGACGTAAAATTTGTCGTCGTGGAGGTACTATTCATTTTTTCTTGTCGGTATGCATGCATAGAAAAGATGTCGACTCTCGCTCCTTTCTAAGGCATCCCTATTTCAACAGGTCGGCATCGGTGTGAACTGGTTAGAACTGGACACCATATTTTTGCAAGCTGGTTATGTAAAGATCGCAATTTTAGGCAGAGACTGCGTCTACGCCAGCCGGGCAGCACTGATGGAGTTTAAAGGGCATTTGCCTGGATACGAATTGCTTCATGCGCTTCCCAAAAACGCGAAGGACGGGTTGCCTCAAGACTGGACCACTTTTCATGAGCAGGTCATCGAGGATGAGCGCCGCGCAGAAGAGTACTCTCAGGCGCGCATTCGACGAGAGGTCCTGCTCAAAAAAAATGGATACACTTATGAAAAACAGGCGTGATGACTGATGAGAATTTGTCTTTGAAGGTTTACAATTATCGTTTTCACATTTTACTTTTGCTTAAGCGGTAGTCAACAGATTATTCCAACATTTGACAAAGCCACTTACTGTTATAGTCGCGGCCAAAATTAAGATTTCAGTACTAATACAGATCCAGCAGTTTCAGATCATGGATTCAAAATTTGAAAAACCTCTAAGACTACGAAACCGAGGCTTACCGCGAGGCGAAAAAAATAGTGGACGAGGTGTGGGCGGAGAAGCGACAATTGCCAGGAGGTTATTTGCCTGACGAGACCCATATTGTAGTTTCCACGTCTAGTGTGCAACAATAGACATCATACAATACTGCAAGAAGCACGTCATGGCCTTTTCATGGCACTTTCACATGTGAAATTGATGAACTCAGCATGTTCAAATTCAGCGAAGTTTCTTGCCATCTAAACAACTTGTCTCGAAATCATGATGGGTAAGCACACTTAGCAGTTTCTGCAATACAGCGCAGCGCCTGCGCTGAGGTCTCGTGTTACGAGAGAATCCTCTATTCTAAAGAAGAGTCGCGATTGTGTATCTTTTAACGCCGCGATGTGCTGTAGAGGGCTAGGCACTTGTAGCAAACACCAAGTTGTGGCGACAACGTCTCTGAGAAGACATAGACGGGCAATTAATCCTATTGATGAGAGTGTGTCATCAGCCGCCTGTCTCATTTTTTCAGCTACTGCAGCAGCACTTGACTAAAGCGCATGCGCTTCTTGCCTTAAATGACTTTATCAATCCATGTTGTGTTGGTGATTGCAAGCTATTTTTGAGCCAATACACCAAAACAAGCATTGGAGTAGGTACCCGTTTGACTACGGTCACTAAGAATATCGCTGAATAACGTTGCCTTGAGTAGAAGAGCTTAGTATTGATCTTGATGCTCCCGACACACGTTTTCAACAACATCCCAGAAACTTGCGAATGCAAACACCACCCAGGCCAGGGAGCAGAGCATCGACTGAATTCTGAATGAGTAGGCAGCTCAGGATAAAGATGGACAGTGTAGTGCATCGGTAGATGTGTGAGTTATACTAACTATTATCATCGATACATTTAGATCATACGTGATTCTTTCGCTCACCCTCACACTTTGTGTTAAATCTTTGACGAAGCAGAAGACAAAGCTCTTGTACATTAATATTTATATTTTTATCAACATTATATCCATCTTGCGTACAACTAGTGTATGCAGATATTTTCCATCCTCTCATTTGCATTTCAATTTGTTTCTACACTCCGTAGGTTTGGTTATGATTTGAAATGCGGACACCCAGGTAGATATCACGACTGGCTTTCGCGAAGTTTCGAGTACTATAGCTTCTGAGAGCACACGACTTCAAGTTTTGTTTTCTGACTTTCTGACCTTTTTTCCTGTCTTTGTTGTAGTAACTTCCTCTTTTGGTTTGTTCAAGCGTTTTTTGTGTAATAAAAGTCTATTCCGTAATTTTTTTTACCACGTGTGAAAATTGTCCTTTGTTTCTCGTTTTGGGTAATGCAAAATATCATCAAGACATGGATGCCTGACAAACATGCCCGCGAAAGGTGTAGCAATGACGAATATGTCAACGACTCACAGCAGGAGTTGCGATTGCGGTGGGCGCATTGACACTGAGCCGGTGTGCCGACGATGTCGCCATCGCACGCAGAATATCGCGAGAAGCTAACCGCTTTCCTAGTGGTAGACAAGACCTGCTTTCCTAGTGCAATCTGCGACGAGTTTAGGAAAAGGAATCTCAGCTGATCATAAAACAGAGGCGCCACGAATTTTACCGACCATTCTTGCGTCGGTAAAATGCGTATGTGATTGAGGAGTAGTTGGCGAGAAAACTACGACCCTTTTCATCTTCTTTTCCGTGTTGTTTGTTTGTTTGTTTGTTTCCGTGCGAGCTGAATCTCGAACAGCGACCACAGTCTCGTAGAGGGAACTGACAATTACTTGAGAACCTGAATTTTGTTCTAGTAGCAGTCTCTGTCCTAGTAAAACCCAGCGTGAACAAGCGGAAGGACACAGGGTTTCTCAAAGCGACCTTTTCAGAATGAATCCGTATAATTCGAAACCGGTTTGCGTCACGCGTTTAGATCGTCCCGCAGACGTACTCGCGCCGTCATGTTCGGGAACGAGCAGCCGGTTTGTTGTCGGAGGGCGTCACGCGTTGCAGCTAGTAAGGCTGGTACTTGCTTGTCTGTTTATAATTTGTTGGGAAACTTACTGTCTTCTTTGTGCAAAAGTAAAATAGTTTCGAGGATTCTATATTAACCAATAATTCGTTCCGAGGCCGAGGCTGTGTCTTACGTGGATGTGGCTGCGATGCTGTAGTAGGGAAAAGAGTGAGTTTAATATAGACTACAAAAAGACCAAGATTTTCGCTACCACTACAAAGTCCAAATTAGTAAACCTCCCTTTCTCTACTTCTCAGACTCAGACGGGAGCGCATGCCTTGACTGAAGACGACTCTTCGAGAGATATGTCATTGTTTTGTTCCTTCGCGTCCTCGCGATCGCATTCACAGGAGAGCCAAGTGGGTAGGGGGTTGTCAAAGTTAAGGCTTTCGAAATATTTCCGACTGTCTATATATGACGCAGGGCCGGACGGTCCCCATGCCTCCCCCCCCCTGTGGTATGGTCTGTGGTGGCGTCCGCGCGCGCTCTTTTCCGCGCGGATTTTTCGCGGATTCTAGTGGTGGAAGGCGTCAAAACTTGGCGCGGGCCTCCCCCTGGGCCTCTCAGCGTGTTCCCGAGGGACCTCCGCAACTCTGCTGGCCCTCGCAGTCGGGAGGCCTCCGGGGTAAAAGGCCGCCGGAGGCGGCCACGGTCGCAAGAGCAAGCAAGCCGACGACCAAGGGCCCGGAGGGTACAGGCGGCACGGCTCACGGGGTCCAGCCCCTCGCCTTTTGCCACCTTCGGAGGCCTTCCGCTGCCGGTGCACTGCTGCGGCGGCGAAGCCTAGCGGATGCACTTAGGGCACAGGCAGGCACCTGGGCGGGGGCGCAGGCGGTCCCCTGGGCCCCTTTTGAGGCCTTCCACCCCCGGCAGACGCCTGCAAAAGGGGCCCAGTGCGCACGCTACCCCCCCCCCGCTAGGGGGGGGCACCGTCGCCCCGCGCCCTGGCACATTTATCAGAGCAGTTTATAGCACGCATGGCGCATGGAGTGCATGGAGCCCAGATCTCCAAGGGACGCAAGAAGCGCCCCCTTTAGCTCCATGCGATCCATGCACTCCATGCCGTGCGAGCTGGCAGACTAACCTTATAAATTACTCTGATATATGATTTAATTTGGAGTTCTCAGTCACTTCTTGGAAGAAAAATAGAACTACTAAAACCAAAATTTAGATGATTTTGCAGAACTTCTTATGGAACACAGCTTCTTGGATTATTGAGTTGAGTCATGATAAAGGCGCTTTTCACGACACTAGCGTACTAATAGTATTAAAGCCGAGAGCTCTAATAATGACATCGTCATCCACGGGTCAGTTTCTCGACGAACTTTCAAGGGACCAGATGCGGACGCGGGCTTCGACCATGTGCAGCACAAGCGGAAGCTCTTACAATTCTCTTAGCGGGACAACTGTATGGCGAGTGCAGATCAAGCACTCGTGACTATTGAATGTGCAATGATGTCGCGATTACAGCTATCATGTGCACTGGTGAGAATAGGAAAGTCCTCGTGGAGGCACGGAGAAGATCCAGATTTTGAACTAGAAGATTCCCCGGAAACCATTCATTGGAAAGAATTAGCTACTTGGTCCATCTTCCCCTCTTTCATGATTGCCTCCTGGGGCTTCCATTGCCGCAGCCGCAGTTGTCGAGGTGCCACGTGTGAGCACCGCTTATGGGGGGTTCCGCAGTGTCACAAGTATGGATCACGCGGGTCTGAGATCGGGGTCTCCACCAGAGCATTATACCTACCATGGCGCTGGCACCTCCCAGCAGGGCCTTGCTAGTCTCGCTGCTGCTTCGCGACCGAGGGGGCTGTACCGCACCGAGAGTTTTCAGCGGAAGATACAGGAAGGGCGGGCAAGATTTTTGCAGCGACGATCCACCACTACGGACGGCGCTTCTGCCGCATCAGCGAGCCCTTCAAATCCACTGCGGCGCGGCGCTTTGTCGTCCAACACCTTGAATCAGCAGGGGCCGAGCTGCATCCCAACTGGCGCGTCATCGTTTTCGACGCCCACGTGCGAGAGTGAGGACCCGCGAACACGTTCTGGCGGGAGGCCGCCAGGAGCTGGGTTTTTACCTCAGAATCGGAATAATCCATATAACTACATCTCCGGTGACTCAGCGGCATCATCGGGACCAACCACTAGTAGTGGCCCTCCGAATATCGTGACAGATCTTCCACTCACTGACAGCTTTGCTGGGAGCGTGTCAACTCCGGTATCCATACTTGCCTCACCTTCGGCATTCGTCATTCAGAATAGCAAGGGAGTTCTGGAAGCAACGGGTTCTTCCTCATCTGCCGCATCAGCCTCTTCTAGTCCGTCTTCTGCTGCGCTGTCACCTCCAGCCTCGCTGCCACCACGCTTGCCAAAAGCTGCATCCTCGAGTGACGTGTTTGAAAGTGATGAGTCCGCCAAGGCATCTCCACCGGAGCAGCCCGAGTACAAAATTTGGGGCATGAGCACTCGAAAGACGGCTCGTGGTGCACTCTTGCCAGCCGCAATTGGAAGCTCGTCGTCCCGGACTCCAACAACAGCTGATACGAGAGGTGTGTCCTCGAAGTACCTCCGAGGCTCACCTTTCTCTTGGCCATCCCAAGCATCAGCCTCTCCGAGCGGCGGTGAATTGGACGTGGAGTACGATCTCAAGGTAGAGCGGAGCTTGCAAGCGCGAGGACTCAAATTAGCCACGACAGGGGTATGCTTTCATCCAACATCCGACAACTTCATGTGCTCCGCAAGCTCCACAGGAGTGCTCTGCTTGTGGGACACGGGACAACAGAACGGAAGCTACTCTCCTCTCCTCGCCAAATGGACTTCAGGAACCAGGTATATTTGCAGTACTCTTCTTAATGACTAGACATTTTTGTCCCCAGTCACTCTCTGCAAAGCATCTTTTAGCTGTGACTTCTATTTATAAGTATTTTCAACTGGTGACTTGTATCACTATACCACAGGTCCATAAATTCGATCTGTTTTTTACCGCCTACGCGGTCGGCGTCCACAATGAGCCTCATTTCTGCCTCCGCGGACGGCGCAGTAAAACATTGGGTTCTGCCTGATCCAACGCTAGAGCTTGACTACTGGCAGTCCAGCGCAGACGATCGCGGGAGGTGGGCGCGTGATTTGTTCAAGCGATTAGGGGAAAAGCCATATCGGAGTGTGAGCGAAATAACAAGGGGAAGTCGCCATCCAGTACGAAATTTACACGCGCAACAGCTCTCGCAGTCTGCACAACAACTTCTCATTGCGCAAGACGACGGGCGGGTTATGCTGTATTTATGAAAAGGAAAAACCAATATTTGATTTGCAAAAGTCTCCGGGATATGGATTCCGTCCCCCAACGGCAAAGAGAGAGAGAGACTATGTTCTCAAATTGTTATTCTGTCCCCATGCGACATAGATATTTTTTTGGTTCCTGATTCATACCCAGAGGGCATTGGCGCGCGTTTCGTATTGAAGCAGGCGTTCGCGCTGAGCACTCAAGCGGTGTATAGTGCGCGATGGAATACAGGAGTGTGCAACATTTTCGCAGCAGGGACGCGCGATAAGAAAATTGCGGTTTACGACACACGGAGAGAAGGACGAGGTCGGCCGTGTATCTCTATCCTGACCTCTGCACCAGTGGGCTGTGTCCGATGGCGACCAACGCATGCTCTATGCGACCCCCACATTCTCGCTTCCAGCAGCTCGGTTATGGATCATCAGGTACTTCCTATTTTTGATCTCTAAAAACTCAGAAGGTTTCTTGGAGGAAAAGTCGGTCACGGTTATGCTTTTTCACGAAGAAATATTCTAAATCGCTTGCTGGTTAATGCCCGCTATTCAGAGCTTTCTCGACCTCAATTTCTCGACCCAAAATGTCCAAACAGATTCTAATTTGGGACATGCGCGCAACGTCAATGCCGACATTTGTGTTTAACACGCACAAGAAGAATGAGTGTGCCTCTGACTTTTTTTGGGCCTCTGAGGATCACATTATATCCTGTGGCAAGGACTCAACGCTACAGATGCACTCCCTTCGAAATGCGCATCAGCCGCTTCAATCTTTCTCAAACTGCAAAGCGTCATGCGGTGGCAGCCGAGAAATAGTCTCTGTGGCGGCGCAAGTGAACCGACAGGTAATACGTTCTAAAAAGTAGAAGAACCTGTAGTACAACAGCTACATGAGTCACAGAAGTGAACAGGGCAACACGTTAAGCAGGATAAAATGAATATCAATATCAATGAATATCAAAGTTTTTTCTTTCATGCTGTTGTCCCATAGGGCCTCGTGCGGACGCACCCCGCGCAAAATTATCCTAGAATGTTGCAGTCTTTTCCGGACGACCTCGTTTTTGCGCCTGATCGATTCAAGTGGCGGCACAACAAGTGGACAGCGCGGTGGACGACAGCGAATTCGATTGCAGAGGTCCCGGTGACGAGATTCAACGCGAGTCTTACTTTCGACGACAACCCGACCCTGTTTTTGGAGAAACTAATCGAACAAAAGGGGCCACGTTTTTGGGACCAACTCGAGGCGACCCAGACGACGCAGTCACCGCACCTTTACAACGTAGCGAAGAATCTCAGCGACTGGGCTGCCTGGTGCAGAAGCAACCAGCTGAAAGCAGAGGAGAAAATCTTCCGTCGTGTAGCAAGGATCTTTGGACCTGGAGAACCCAGTGAAGGGGAGCTATCAAAAGTAGGAAGCACGGAACAGCCTGTAGTAGTGTTAAATACACTAAATGGAGAGGCGCAACAACGAGTGTCCTCATCACAATCGGGTACCTTTACACAGTATCGGAGCAGCTGTTCGAGCAGTGCCAGCAATTCGCCGCAGGAAGCCCAGCAATCTTCCAGGATGTCCCCATCCGCACCAGAGTTGCGACACGCCTCCACAGGCCCTCCAGGCGCGGTGACATTTTTTGCCGACGTCTCGGCTGGAAGTGTGCGGGTCCTGCAGAAAACTCCCTCTGCAGTCTCGAATTGCTTCGCGTCGAGTCACGACACTTCTCCCTCCTTATCGCGTCGGGCGTCGAGCTCGCAACTTGATAATGTTGTTGATGGGGCCATCAATAGCATGTTGACGAGAGCTGTAGGAGATGGGGATCGAGAATTCTCGCTTGCTGGTCCGCTCAACGTGAGAAAAATAGAGCGCATTCTCTTGCAAAGAACAGCGTCTACTACACCACAAAAAACTACACGTGCGCCAAACTCGATTGATGCATCTTTCAGAACAATAAGACGAGAAGATCCAGATGGCCAGCAGCATGGTTCATCTGCTGGTGATCCTGTCATCGTAAGTAGTGAAACAAGCAACAGCCCAAACGAAGGAGACCAGAAGGTTTCAATCATACGCCATCAACTACAACAAGCACAGGAAATAGTGTCTGAACAGCAGAACGCGAATTACGTGACTGTTGTATCCGTCCTCGCAGCGGTTTTTCTGGATCTTGAGAACCCAGGGTGGGTCAGGTGGTTCCAGAGTATGGCGGATTTACTGCAACGGCTAGGTAAGCGGTATCTGCGAACGCTTTTGGTGCGCAGCGCGCCAGTCGAGTCCATCCGAATGAAACAGTATCAGAATCTTCCCCTCGGTTGCGCAGCGTGCTCCACTCCCTTCTTTCCACCACATTATGGAGATTCTACTCCTGTAAAGAAAACAGATTAGAATAGAAACGGGTGCCTTACAATCTTATTATCTATCACGACGAGATCATTGTTGCTGGTGGCAATGTCAACAAGCAACGAAAGGTCTCATTGAGCGATGGCGCACATACCCTAGTTATTTTTTTCGCATGCTTCCTTCATCTCTCTACAACGGCCAATGAGTGCGCGAATGAGCCGCAGTCGGTTGCGGAGACGGCGCCTGGCTCTTCTCCTTCCTCGTCGGCTGGTTTTCTACGCCTCATGAGCAACGTAGGGGAGAGTAGCATCTTCAAAGTCGGTAGTGGACCGAGTGAGCCGCCTGATGGCAGTCCTGGCCAACTGACGCAAGGAGGTGGACAGAGCGTGCGCAGCACGGCCTCTACCGGTGTCCTTTTGTCACGGGCAGACTCTCTGGGTGGAAATGCATCCATGTTTGATACGACGAGGAGTGTCTCGCCAGTTCCTTGCGATGCGAACGCACCCCCAAGCCAACAGAGTCCAGATGGTACCGACGTGAACAGCGCTGCGAGGAGTCCACTAGGCGCGGCATCGAGCGCATTAGAACCGCCTGCACAACAAATCGAGTTCGTTTTCGAGCAAGACCTCGGGAAGGGCGCGGAAGAAACCTGTGGAGGCGCCACCACAATGTCTGGATCAACCATGGATGCCACACCGTCGATGAGCCCGACCCCAACTGATGGAGGCGGAATTCTCCTTCAGAGCTCAACAAATACTGCGACCAACCCACGTGCTAAAAATCCTCTCCCGGATGGCAGTCACAACGGACTCGCTGCTCGTTTGAACGAGGTTGCCACAGGAATAGTCGTAAGCGATCCGAAAACTACAGACAATACTGCGACACAAGAAGCGCCGGCTTCGCCGACCTCTCGCACCCCGTTGAAACCTCCAACTACAGCAGTCAGCGACGAGCCTGCAAAGACTACCAGCGCAGGAGCAGCCTCCGCCAAGGTCCTTGCGAGGCCAGAGCAGAAGTGCATGCGTTGCAGCAGGCCGAAGGGCCGCTGTGTAGTTTGTCACAAGGTGGTGCGGGGACTCTGGGTCGCGTGCCCCATTTGCGGCAACGGAGGACACATGATGCATATGGCCCGATCCTTAGCCACGCACGGAAAATGCGTCATCTGCGTTTCGGAAACAATCGTCGCCCAGGTGGCCACCTAACAGTACTTCATGATCGTCTCACGAGTGCGGCTTCCGACACGAACGACGACTGCGTAATTATGTGCTGAGATAAATATGTGGAGTTCGACTGGTGAACTCGGCATCTGGTCTTACTGCTGAAATTCTGCCCCCACCTTGTGTAAGTGGACGCCGTGTAATCCACGTCGCTCAGTTTTTCGATTATCCGCCCCGGTGGCCATCGTCTCTACAAGCCAAACGCAGCACTCCCGAATCTGCGGGGAAAGCGCCGCAGCAGGTCAGTCGAGTGGACGACCGCTGCTAGTCGGCTGGTAGCGCAAAGGTGAGCAGCTTGTAGGAAAAGAGTTTGTGTCGAGGTCGAATGTCACGAGTGTTCGCAACTACTGCGCTGCAAATTTTGCCCAAAGGGAGAGGAGCGAAAGCACCTTGAATCTATCTCATAAATCTGTATGCGACAGATCTAGTGCCGCTTTTGATTGTAAGTTGGTTCTTCAAACTTTGAAGATTAAGTCGTTGTTGAGATGCAAAACCTGTCGAAGACCAAGACTTTTAGTATGAAGTAAGACTATCAGTTTTTTTGGATTCGCTTATTTCCTATGATCGCATTTCATCTCAGGCGTGTGCTGAGGCTGCTGTTTCATTCTCTGTGATTGTCTGTGTAATAAAGTGCAGCTAATGCTAGATATTTGCAATTTCGAAGTACCTGTGTAAGAAAGACAAAAAGGAATTCGAGAAGCATTCCTCCATGCGGCGCCGGCACGTGGCATTTTCGTCGGATATTGTAATGTACTGAAAAACAGTTATTTGCTGTCACCTAGGACGCACCAGCAGTCACGGACGCAGGTCCGGCATGCGTGTCACAGCTTCGCCGGCATTTTTCCGATCGCAACGCCTGTGGCACCCTCTCGAGGAGTCCGTTAGCTAGGTCCACGGTAACAACAGGATCGCTGGACCTAGTTGCTGAAGAATGTCTGACTTCAAATACTCTGCACAAATCACTGTACAATACCTACGCCTAGATTATGATTTCAGGAAAGTATTCTTTCAACTGTCACATTGTCGTGGTCAGAATTAGCAGATTTGCTGCTATAAACTCCTTCAAGTAGATGCATTCATCGGAGTCTGGCGTGGAAGAGGGTACGACACAATTTCAAGCTCTTCAGTCGCTATATCAATATCTTTTCGTCAATTTAATCGCTACACCCCCAATATCTTTCGTCATTTCTAGAGCACTACTTTGCACAGTCTAGTAGAGTTTCTGCCCGTTCGACCATTCTTGTTGCGTTTATTATCGAGCGAATTTCATCTCGGAATGAAAAACATTCCTTCGACGTCATAAATTAAAGGGATCAGCTACCTTATTTCACAGTGTCAATCTAGATGGAGTATATTTGCACATATTTATAGTTGCAGTTTGAGTTTCAACAATCAAAATCATTTACAGTATAGATTTCGCCGAGATAAGTTGTCACAACTCAGATCAAGGGATAGAGCCCATACCGAGAATCCTCGCTTTCGGGACGAACAACTCCTCCTAGATTGTTCCTATTTAAACGGACCAAAATGAAAACGTGAACCATATTTTTTCTTGCATCATTCCGCCTATGTGATGATATTTTCCGACAGGATAATTTACAGAGGAAGTAGAAACCGATCCGCAGGTTGCCCTAGTCAGCGACTTGCCGTGGGATGAACGACGGTGAGAAGACTGGCGACAACCAGTATGAGCTACCGCGACCGGATTTCGTGACCAACATTATGGCACAAATCTGACTAGGTCAAAAAATCTAAATTCTGAAGTTTTGGAATTGTCACCTTCGCCTTCGCCAGTCATACCTCCCGATGACTCGATCGCGGCTCGAAATCTTCAGCGATTATGGCTAAGAGAATATGAGATCTGTTGTTGCTTTTCACCTGCTCCACAATAAATCTGCGTGTAGGAGTTCCTGAGACTGAGTTTTTCCGTCTATTTCCACGAATGTCAATGGCAACGAACTGGATGAATCTATCTCCGCAACTCGCCATAGCGGCTGAAATTAGAAAGCCATGAAAAGATCAGCACTCTTTTTACCGCTAAATTGGGATCATTATCTTCAGATAATCAGAAAGATGCCGATCTAGAGGAAGTATACATGCGGTACCGACAGTAATAATAAAGATCTGAAGATAGTCGACGATCACTCGCTGTTGCTGATCGACCTGTGTCACACTGCACAATGGAGGAAATCTAATTTTTGAAATGCTCATGAGTTATCGGGTATCCGTTCTTGTGAGTCGCGACTACTATACATATAACTTTCTTGTTGCAACGAAAACGACTCAGCAACGTAATTGCATTCCTTAAACAAACCAACAGGACGCACAATATTCGTCGAATCTAATTTCACTACGAGTGTTATATCTAACATTTCCACTCTTCAAAATGTCTGACGAGGATTACACCTTCGAGAAGGCCGGCGCCGGCGCTTCCCTGACCTACCCGGCTGAAGCTGGTTCCCTCCGTAAGAACGGACACTGCATGCTCAAGGGAAATCCCTGTAAGCATTGTTTTTGACATATATCGTGTCACTTTAGATTTATTTGTGTCGTGTGACAGTCCGACTGTTGTAACCGAGGGTGTGAATCGTGTAAACGCGTGCTACGACCCGCTTCTCATGGTCTCCCTCGAAATGTACAGCTCTTCAATAGGCGCATTGATTTAGACACCAGCTTTCTTACCTGTGGTTGAAGTAGAATTCATTTCAATCAAATAAACGCATTACAGGCAAGATCGTCGAAATTTCCGTTTCCAAGACCGGAAAGCACGGCCACGCAAAGTGCCACATTGTTGGCACTGATATCTTTACCAACAAGAAGTACGAGGATTTGTGCCCGTCCACCCACAACATGGACGTGCCGAACGTGCAACGCGTCGAGTACCAGCTCTTGGATGCTGACCGTGACGAGGGATCCGTCTCCGTCCTCTTGGAGAACGGTGATACCAAGGATGACTTGAACCTCCCCAAGGAATCCTCTGGAAACTACGAGGAGACCGCCGAGCAGCTCTTGACCGCCTTGGACGAAGGTAGGTGTTTAGATTTTGTCTGTCCTGCTCTTCCTCGCGGCTTGCCAACAAGAGGGCGTCATCTCTATGAGCATTAGCTGCCGCAATCACCAAAACTAGAATGATAGAGATGCAAGGATGATATTTAGACATAAGGCAGAGCACACCATACTCTGCTGTGTTACGATTGCGCATATCTAATCACCGAGTCACTTCAGTACGCTTACTCCTGTCCGACTTTGTTCTCACCCCAGCGGACCACTTCACCTCCACATTCTCATCCAATTATTGCTAAATTCTCACAGGTAAGTCCCTCTTGGTCACCGTCTTGGTGTCCATGGACAAGGAGAAGATTGTCTCCTTCAAGGAAATCCAATCCTAAGAGGAGGAATTTTTGACCATCCCAGTACGAGGAGAGAAATATGAATCTGGGACCACCACGAACGGTATGTTCAGCTCCACGGTCGGAGTTCGTTGTGAATTTACATTGCCGGAGTAGCGGAACAGAAGACGGTTGGGGTACTTTGAGGTCTGAACTAGTTGGATCCGGCACGAGAAGAAGAGAGTCTTTCTGCCAGAAGCGATATATAACTGAGGAGTAGTTCCAGGCTAGTCTGAGATGACGAGGATTCTTCTTCTATAGCACTGCCGTCTCGGAGATGGCAACACCGACCGGCAGCGTGTTACTACGAGCGACGACAGCCGGATGATGCTCTTTGCGTCTGCGGAAGCCAGATTCGTTTCTTTCCGAAGGGGGATGAAGTACCAGAGGAGGGTTGAGAGTCGGTCAGAAAATAGAGTGCTCGACGGAGTGCGACAAACATCATGTAGTTTCCAGTTTTTAGATGTGCAAATGATTTCTTCTTGTATCGATCATGTGACCTAATATTGCAATATTATTCAGATATATCAGAACGACATGGCATACACGCTTATGACATGGCGCACATGAGAATGAACACACTGCCAGAGACGTCAACGGTACGCTTAGCTCTGACAGGAGGGGAGCCTGCTCCGGTGGTCTTCCTCGATGGAAGACAAGGCGAGCTGGTTTCCGGTTGTTAAAAATACGATTAATCTCGACCAGCATATCCTTTACTGATGGAATGTTGCAACACAAATGAGAATGAGAAGTGTTGGGATTCTCCGTTACAACAAGTGGGTCGATTTTTACTTGTGCATGATATGAATTATCCTGATTTTCAGCGGATTCGTGACGCGATCTACTGGACGTCATAGTGAACGAAATTTCTATCATGGGTTGGAGTGCGGTATTGTGGCATCACGTCTCAGCCCCGCTTTCAAGCCTCCAACCGTGCTGATGAAGGAAAATCCATATCAAATGACCAAAGCGCGCGGTATCACATTCTGGCGCTTGCCCGAGAATGCGTTAGCCGCCTCCCACTGTTCAGTAAGCGTATTTTGGTGTTCACATCCTCTCAGCTCTTCAGACGTGCTGCTTTGTCGTTGCTGAACAAGTGTCGGTCAGAAGATTTTTACGATAAGCTCCGGATGTTGTCACCCCCACTGCCACCGGATTCAGTCTGTGTGATTGTCGTGAAAGGTAAAGATCCGCGAAAAGGTGACATTCAGAAATAAAGATGAGGTGACCAAATATACGATTGTTTTCTTCTCGTGACCAAATGACCTCGTAGAAGTTTAGAGATCGATGCCGTTAAAGACCTTGATGCCACGACCACGGTGCATTTTCGATCTGATGATCCTGATGAAGGAATTATTCTAATTTGATAACTTTTTACGTCTCCCTTTTTTTTGGTCTTTCCTAGGTAAGACTCCCCAAAGTCCAATTGCGAAGGTTGGGCAATTCGTTATTCATGTCCAAGTACAAACAAGAAAATGTCGCATGTCGACCCTCAACTTTCTCCGATGTCAGAAGTTGACATGGGTGCAACTCATGTCGTTTCGGAGTATCAACTGCTCGTTCGAGAGCAGTCGCGCGCACTCCAGCATCTGACTGAGAAGCTGGTACAGCGTGAGTCTGCGGCGACTGATGCGCGCAGTACCATGGACACGCGCAGTGGTGGCGTCAGCGTCTTCGAGCCTGTGCGAGGGAGCGCCGTGAGCACTCCCATCCGGTCGCCCACTCAGGCAAACTATTCGCTTGTGGAGGAGCTTCACAGCTACAATACAACTCCAGCGCATTCCCATGAGCCAGCGCGTGGGGTTGTCTCAAGAACGCGCGGCACTGTGAAAAGAGCGAGCTCGATTTCGAGACGACCCTCAAGGAGCCTTAGCGGGCGACGGACAAAAGCCCGGGATGATTCTGATGTGTATGGGACCAAATTTGGAGAAGCCGGGCGCGATCCTAGTCGAGTTTCTTCACCCAGTGCTGCAGTGGGGCAAACGATTGCTCGACTGGTTCGACTGCTGGGCAAGCAGGAGAAGGAATTGGAGACCCTGAAAACAATCAGGGATCTCTCCGAAGCACGTCGTGGCTTCCAAAGCGAAGCGTCGTGGCTTGGTCTCGGGACCACTACGGAAGTCCTATATGACACCAAGGAAACTCAGAATGACGATAGAGAGGTATCATTTGGTCTGATCATTCCCGAGCATACGCAAAGCGATATGATATCCTCAAAAGGGTGTGAAACTCCGCCGCTGAATTCGACAACACGACAGTTTGCACCTCTTACGGCACGTGGGACAAGTTTGGCAAGGTCTCCACGAGTGCAAAGCAGCGTTCTGCAAGCAACTGGACACGATGCCGAAGCCACAGGAGCTGGAGGTGGTGAGGATCCATGCTTTTCTGGGAGTGACGCAGGTATGATTTTCTCAGACAGTGGCCCTGCAGCGCGTAAAAGTTTACCTTTCCTTACAACTGCGGACCGGGACTCCACCGACAATGCCGGCATCGGAAGCGCCGCTGCTCGTGAAACCTCTTCCCTTGGCCTAGTCTCTGAGGTAAAACGACTCGAGCGCGAGCTCAGATTGGCACGTGAAGAACACGCGGAAAGCATGCGCGTCTCTACCGCGTTGCTTAATGAAGAGCGTGGCCGCCAGAACTTGCTTGAGGACGGGCTGCGTGCCGAACTTCGCGAGTCAGTCGCGGTGCTGGGTCAGATCACAGCAGAACGCGATGCCGCACTTGAAGATAACGCAGCAAAAAGGCGTGAGCACGAATCGACTCAAGCAGAACTCAGTGTCTTTCGGCGCGACGCAGCGGCGGCTCTGAAACAAGCTGCGCTGGAGCTACAGACCGCTGACGCTCGAGCTGTTTCGAAAATCGACGCGGAACTCGAAAAAGAGCGTGCTAAACACGCTCTGGAGCTCGAAACATGGAAAATGCGGTTGCGCGCAGAGCTCGCGCAACAAGCAGCGGAATTCAATGCAAATGCCATGGCCGAAGCACAACAGGAGACGGCACGCCGTGACGCGAAAGAGGAAGGACTGAGAGCGCAAGCCCAAAAGAGTGAACGGGACCTTTCTCAAAAACTTGTAGCAGAGTGCGAGCGGCGCTTGTTGGAGCGCACGGAAGAACTGCAAGCCCGCATGCTGCGTCTCGACACCGATCATAATGCGCAAATGCTAGAGCTTGAGCGGCGGGAAGAGCAGGCGGTCCAGGAAAAAAAGAATTTGGAAGCACTTGTGGAAAAAACACGACAGTTGTGCGAGGAAAGACTGGCGGAGCAAGCACTGGCAAGTGCAAGCGCGATTGAAAGTACAGAGACAGACTTTGCATTGAAGATGGGGGAAATGCGGCAAGCGCAAGCGGCAACTCTGCTGCAACAGCGAAGTGAGCTGGAACAGGCAAAAGCAGACAGCGAGATTGCGTTGCGCCAACAGATTGACTCGCTGTCCTCGGCTGCAGCGACATTGAGCGCGCAGCTTGACGCCACAAAGACTGAGGTGGCGCAGCGCACCTTGGAGAACAACAACCTCAAGGCTGAGGTCGCAGAGCGGGAGCGGCAAGCGACTGACGCGAGCGACGAACTCGTACGGTTGCGCAAGCGAAATACCGCGGTCGATGAGGAGTTCTCCAAATTGTTGGGGAAGCATGACTTAGAGCTGCGCACCCGACAATCGGAATTCGGAGAACAGCTTGCGACGCGCGACAGGCAGCACGAGATGGAGGTGCACAGCATACGAGAGACGCAGACGGACTTGTCAGCACAGTTACAAGCAACACAAGCGCGCTTGGCCGCTGATCGAGTGCGTTTGGGCGAAGAAGTTACAGCACTCGACACCGAGTGTCGAGCGGCGCTGAGTCGAGCGCGAGCGGAAGCCGTGCGGCTCGACGCGGAACTTGCGAGTGCGACGCACGAAGTGCTCTCTTTTCAGCTTCAACAATCTTCCGAGGGTGAGGAAAGCAGCAAGACCACAGGAAAAAGAAAAGCAGGCTCGGCTTCTAGTCCGGATACGTCTTTACGTCGACCAGAACAAAGTTTGGAGCTAGGTATTAGCGATCAAGGTTCATCATCGAATTATTTTACAGAACAGACGCCAGTTTTTCCGCTGACTGCCGAAAGTGTTAGTGCACTAATCGCGCGCGAAACGGACCGCATACGAGATCTCGACGCAACGTTTCAAAGAGAAGCTGCAGAGGCGTCGGAAAAAGAGTCCAAGACCTTGGATCAATCACAGTCTTCACCAAAACAAAAAATCGAAAGTAGAACTTCTTCACTGGTGAAAAATGGAGCACTACAACAGCCTGAACAAAGTGACCTGAATAGAACTCAGTTCGAGGATTCAAAGCGGGAAAAAGAGCAGGACCTCGCAACTGCCATGGCGGAGTTGGAAGCAAAGGCAGAAAAAGTTCAGCGAAAAATCGCGCGTGAGGGGCGGTCGACAACTTTGACTCGCTTAGAACGCAAGTACGCGAAGCTTCTCAAACTAGCTAAAGAGGAACAAGCAAGTCTAGCGGAACATATCGTATCAGAACAGAGAGAAGAGTTGGAAGCTGTTCCTGGACGTAAGTTTGCACCGATTGACGAAGGAGAAACTGCAGAGGATCATGAAAGGTCTAAACCCCAGCCTAGTATTAGAGGAGATGCAGGTTTCGATTCGGTGCAACATAGGGTGGAGCAGGAGATTGGCATGGATGAAGACCATGAAGATGTGTTGAATTTTGAAAAGCGCAGTCTCTTCGTCGTAGAGGAGGAGGTCTACGTGGAGGAGGGCTTTGCGTCTGCGGAGGATATTTTACGATCTCTGACCCGAAGCTACCACGCCCGTCGAACAAAGCATGTGGCGCAACGGGAACGCCTTGAGAAACTGGCTGACTTGTTTGCAGCGCGTGACCGCATTCATTTCTCTCTGCTAGAGGCGGAATGGATGCGCCTTTTCTCTAAGCTGAATGAGTCGATCGACAGTACAACTACTAGTAGTTGTCTTTTCTCCGTGAATACGGAAAATTGTGAACCCGGCCCGGACACGGAGCAGACCACACGCCCGTCTTCAGCAGCACACCAACCTAGCCACCTTGTTGCAGGTTCATTTTCAATGTCTTCCCGAAGTGGCGAAAACCTTCGTACCAACTCTAGAGAACAAATGGAGTTACAACAAGTTCAACAAACACAAGCAGCGACTGATCCAGGAGCATCGGCTCCATTTTACGAGAAGGACGACGCAAGGCTCCGCTCGCCGCATTCGTCTCTAGTCTCGTCTCATTCACGCTCGTCTCTCCTGCCGCATTTTGTTAAGGGCAGTTTTTCATTACCTTTACTAAGGATCATTGAAGGTGCAGAGTTGTAAGAACCCACTTTTTCAGAAGCGAGCCCAGTACCTCCACCCATGTGTTTCCGCTAGTGCTTATCCGAGAGTGAGACCTGGCTCTAATTTTAGCAGCATACAAGATCGCGAGGAGGTATTGCGGGAGAGCCGCACGCCGACAGAACAGCCACATCCAACGAGCGGACGAATAACCTGGAATAGCATGTCTTGATTAGAGCTTATGGCAAGACTTGGTAGGCTTCTAGTAAGATAGATTGGGAAGATATATTATTAAGGCTCAACTTTCAGTGGTCATTGAGGTTGATCACTGAGATCGAAGAGGCGGCCCCTTGAGAGAAAAGGGAAAAACGAAGGAAAAAGGAGAGAGCTTTGAAGGTGGATTCTTCCGTTCTGCATCAGTGGCCACTGACTGCTGACCTTTAATATTTAGTAAGATTTTGAAGTTCAAGTTGTGGAAGCAGAAGCACGGCCTGGGAAGGGAGCAAAACGATCACAAGGGCTATCTATGTAAGTACCCCTTCGCAAGACTACGTCTACGCAATATTTGATAATCAAGAAATGGAGGAGAAGCAAGAGGAATAAATCTGCAGACACCTCCAGGCAAAGAGTGCCCCGCTGTCTTCAAGAAGCTCTGCCAGTTAAATCTGTGGTTAAAAAGAGAAAGCACGAAAGATCTAAAACAAAGTGCATAGTTGTGATATGCTCTTCAGATGATTTCAAAAAAGCTCCTTCTAAATCTGTTTGTCAATGCGTGGCACAAAACTGATTTCCGAAGTCGAAGATCATCGATCCTAGATTTAATATTTGAACCTCCTCAACATTGAATTGTTTAATGTAGGAACAATTCTAATTCATTTTTTATTCACTCTTACTTCAAGCATGTTGCAAGATACAATGAAGATAGAGAGAGAGAGAGAGAGAGAGAGAGATGTCAAATCCCTTTTCCCAGCACAGCGAACCTCCAGACCCCAGTGAGCCTTTTTCTTTTTCGGCCGTCATACGTAATTGATTTCAGATTTCTATTTTTGAGGGACTGGCGTCTTATGTTTGTCTATCGAGACTTTCTTGTGTAAGATTTCTTCCGTTTGAGAATTTTCCACGAGAAGCGATGTCTTTTCTTCCAGAGAAGTTTGAATGTTGTCAATATTTCACAATGCCATTGAGGTTGCTTGGTCAAGCTTGCTAATTCAGGCGGAAGCATAGCTGTCAACAAAAAAAGTGTGTCTTCAAAATCGAATAAGGCGTTGGCGCCTAGTATAAATCAAGTGATTTAGAAGACAACCAACCGCAAGTATTTCAGAAGGCAGCCAACTACCGCTCATTCATTTTCTTTAGCAACAACGCTCCTCACCATTTTCATTCAAAAATGAGACATGCTGACGAGGATAGCGTCAGCTCGTCGTCGGAGCTAGATGAGGACCACGATCTTGTATATCATGTTTTCTCGCGACGCGACCAGCAGCTTTGGCGGAGACGGTAACTTTCAACATGAAAAGACTTGACTTCCGTTTCGATGAGGACATGAAAATGAGTAGGAATGCCACTAGGTATTCACTATTCAGTGACTAGTCGTGTCCCATGTGTTCAGCGGTGGTTGAGAGAAGAGAGGAAGAAGAAGAAGAGGGAGCTGCTAGGCGCCAGTCCCTGACATTGCCACGCAGGGCACCCAGTGAACGTCTCCAGCGCCTGGCCATTACCCGGCCCAAACGCGCCCGGCGGCCACGTTTAAACCCGTTAACGGCTTCGCGGCAGGCGTCCCCGCTGTCAGCCACAGAGTGCACGGGCCGCCACTCAGGCCGCTGGCGTTGAACTCGAGAAGGCGGCAGGCGCTCCCATTGGCACGCGTGACTCCGCGCCTGACGCGTTTAGCTCGAGGAGGCGGCCAGCGCTGCAATTGGCCCGCGCGACTCCGCCCGTGACTCGCTTGAGCGCGGGCGCTCTTAACCCTTGACATTGCAAAACTCTGAGGCGCCAAAACCTGACACTCGCACTTTGAGGCGCCAAATGTTGACCTTGACAGGCCCGGCCACTTGCAAGCGGGTCCCTCCCCAAACTCTGACGCGCAAAACTCTGACCTTCCAAACCTGGAGGCGCGCAACCCTGACATTGGAACACTGAGGCGCCAAACCCTGACATTGCCGAACCCTGACACGCGAAACCCTGGCAGAACTCTGACACGCAGAACGCTACACTTTCGCACTCTGAGGCGCCAAACACTGACATGCCACCGCTGAGGCGCCAAACCCTGGCATTGCCATGCAGGGCACCCGGTGAACGTCTCACAGGCCTTGACGTTACCCGGCTCCAACGCGGCCGGCGGCCACGTTGAAACCCGTTAACGGCTGCGCGGCGGGCGTCCCCGCTGTCAGCCACTGAGTGCACGGGCCGCCACTAAGGCCGCTGGCGTTCAGCTTGAAGAGGCTGCCAGCTCTGCCATTGGCTTGCGTGCCTCCGCTCTTGACTCGCTGGAACGCTGACCTCCCAAACTCTGACTCTGAAAGCTCTGGCCTTCCGAACTCTGAGGCGCCAAACCCTGACACTCGAACCCTGAGGCGCCAAGCCTTGACATTGACAGCCCAGCCGCTTGCACGTGTGTCCTGCCCCAAAGCCAAACTCTGACGCGCAAAGCTCTGGCCTTCCGAACTCTGAGGCGCCAAGCCTTGACATTGCAAAAGTCCTACTTTGACCTTCTGAACTCTGAGGCGCCAAGCCTTGACAGTGCAAAACTCTGACCTTCTGAACTCTGAGGCGCCAAACTCTGAGGCGCCAAGCCCTGACGTTGTACAACTCTGATCTTCTGAACTTTGAGGCGCCAAACTCTGAGGCGCCAAGCCCTGACATAGCAAAACCCTGGCCTTCTGAACTCTGAGGCGCCAAATTCTGAGGCGCCAAGCCCTGACATTGCAAAACTCTGACCTTCCGAACTCTGAGGCGCCAAGCCCTGACATTGCTAAACTCTGTCCGTCCAAACTCTGAGGCGCCAAACCCTGACACTGCAAACCCTGACACTGCAAACCCCTGACAGTGCAAAACTCTGACCTTCCGAACTCTGAGCTGCCAAACTTTGAGGCGCCAAGCCCTGACATTGCAAAACTCTGGCCTTCCGAACTCTGAGGCGCCAAACTCTGAGGCGCCAAACCTTGACATTGCAAAGCTCTGGCCTTCCGAACTCTGAGGCGCCAAACCCTGACATTGCAAAGCCTTGACCTTCTGAACTCTGAGGCGCCAAGTCCTGACATGGATGGCAAAGCTCTGACATTGCAAAGCTCTGACCTTCTGAACTTTGAGGCGCCAAACTCTGAGGCGCCAAGCCCTGACATTGGCCGCAAAACTCTGACCTTCCGAACTCTGAGGCGCCAAACTCTGAGGCGCCAAGCCTTGACATTGATTGCAATTTCCAAAACTCTGACCTTCTGAACTCTGAGGCGCCAAACTCTGAGGCGCCAAGCCCTGACGTTGTACAACTCTGATCTTCTGAACTTTGAGGCGCCAAACTCTGAGGCGCCAAGCCCTGACATAGCAAAACCCTGGCCTTCTGAACTCTGAGGCGCCAAATTCTGAGGCGCCAAGCCCTGACATTGCAAAACTCTGACCTTCCGAACTCTGAGGCGCCAAGCCCTGACATTGCTAAACTCTGTCCGTCCAAACTCTGAGGCGCCAAACCCTGACACTGCAAACCCTGACACTGCAAACCCCTGACAGTGCAAAACTCTGACCTTCCGAACTCTGAGCTGCCAAACTTTGAGGCGCCAAGCCCTGACATTGCAAAACTCTGGCCTTCCGAACTCTGAGGCGCCAAACTCTGAGGCGCCAAACCTTGACATTGCAAAGCTCTGGCCTTCCGAACTCTGAGGCGCCAAACCCTGACATTGCAAAGCCTTGACCTTCTGAACTCTGAGGCGCCAAGTCCTGACATGGATGGCAAAGCTCTGACATTGCAAAGCTCTGACCTTCTGAACTTTGAGGCGCCAAACTCTGAGGCGCCAAGCCCTGACATTGGCCGCAAAACTCTGACCTTCCGAACTCTGAGGCGCCAAACTCTGAGGCGCCAAGCCTTGACATTGATTGCAATTTCCAAAACTCTGACCTTCTGAACTCTGAGGCGCCAAACTCTGAGGCGCCAAACTCTGAGGCGCCAAGCCCTGACATTGGAAAACTCTGGCCTTCTGAACTCGGAGGCACCAAACCCTGACATTGCAAATCTCTGACCTTCTGAACTCTGAGGCGCCAGTCAAACCCCGAGGCGCCAAGCCCTGACATTGCAAAATAAGCTCTGCCCTTCCGAACTCTGAGGCGCCAAACTCTGAGGCGCCCATCCTTGACATTGCAAGGCTCTGACCTTCCGAACTCTGAGGCGCCAAACTCTGAGGCGCCAAACCCTGACATTGCAAAGCTCTGACCTTCCGAACTCTGAGGCGCCAAACTCGGAGGCGCCAAGCTTTGACCTTCTGAACTCTGAGGCGCCAAACCCTGACATTGGAACCCTGAGGCGCACAGCTCTGGCCTTCTGAACTCTGAGGCGCTAAACTCTGAGGCGCCAAGCCTTGACATTGCAAAACTATGACCTTCTGAACTCTGAGGCGCCGAACCAACTTTGAGGCGCCAAACCCTGACATTGCCGTGCTTGGTTTTTTGTTTCCAAAACCCTGACACGCAAAGCCCTGAGACTCGTTTACGCGTTTGCAACCTTGGCAGCCAGACTTTGACATTTGTGCCCTTTTTCGCCAACCTTGAGACCCAAAGCCTTGACAGGGGTCCAAAGCCTTGAGATTTGGCCGTTAGCGGCAAACCTTGAGATTCCCTGGCTTCCGCCTTAAAACCTTGGGAGTCCTGGCCTTTGTTTCCGCCCTCCTTGGGATTCTCCTTGCTTCGCCTTAAAGCCCTGACGTCGGGCCCCGATATTTGTCGATTATTAATAAAGAGGGAATTGAGAACGTACCTCCTCAAAGCAAGTGGCTCGAGCATCTTTTCGAGAAACTCCTCTAAATTTGATTTAAAATTAGTCAGGTACAAGCGTCTTCGCGCGTTGAGTGACAAGATGGACCCCAAAGTGACCAAACCCGTACTCGCACCGTACCAGTATGCGGCTTTCCAACGAAGCGCAAGCGGCGAGTACAAAGACTGGCCCGCAAGGTTGGATGAGATTCTTCTCAGTCAGGAGGGAGTAGCGCGCGCTGCGGAGAAGACTGGGAAGAGGTTTCGGTGGGCCTTCCAGGATCTTCTTTGGACGATTCGCATCTGTTTCACGCATTGGCACAGTTGGGATGACGAGGGACTGGAGGAGTTGCTTTGGGCGTCCGTGGATGCCTCTTCATCAGGCTCCGGCAAGAACATGCAATTAACGGATATGATCCAAAATCACACTGACGGGGACCTCTATTTTGCGCTCACTCAGTATTTTTACTCCCGCTTTCCTGATTTGGATAAGGACGTTCGCGGCGCTCTGCGGGAGGCCAAAGCGTTGCAAAAGGCGAGCAAGAATCGCTCCGGCGAAGAAGCGGCAGCCGCTGATGCCACCTGTGCAGAATTGGTCAATTGGGAAAACTGGTTCGACAATCCATTTATGCATCAATTCGCCCGCAAAGACGATGTCACTAGCTTGAAGGACATCATAGCCACTGTTGACTTCTTCATCGTCGGATACGTCGACTCTAAGAGGCGCACGTGTGCAGAAGTGGCGCCACAAGGTGGAGCAGCGCAACGTTTTTTGAACGACGTGCAAGCGAAAATCAACAAGGCCGGAAAACAAAAGCAAAAGAAATGCTCTGCTGGACGAGAGGTTCTGTCTGAGGTGCAAACTCGGCATTTACTTCTAACGGAAATCGCCGACCGTACAACGACCATCCAGTCACCCGGCTGCGAAAGCCACGGAAGAAATGCGACCACAACGAGCAGGCGGGCTACGATGCGAGCCGTGTCAGCGGACAACGACTCCGACGACAGTGCGGCTTCCGCTGTGACCGTTCCTAGACGCGACTGCTTTGTCAACACGGGCGCCACCTCCCAATCCTCTGGCAATGGGGAGGGTAATGCGCAAGAAGCGTCGCTTGAGACGCGCGTGATGCGTTTTTTGATCGAACAGAAAGACGAGGCCTTTGACGCACTTGAAGTACGTCGTGCATTGGATATGAAACCTCCAGCCAGTGCTTACAAGGCGATATTGACTAAATTAGTCGAAAGACAACGGGTAATCAAGCTTCCCCCACTTGCCGGATCACGACCCCGCTATCAGCCTCTTAGGTCACCCACTAGTTGTGTCCCGGGATATTCAAGACTAGTCGAGCAGACCCTCTCAAGACTGCCTCCAGCAGACGCAAAGCTGGGCGGTGAGATACTGGATCACCTACGGAGCGCAGCCCCGCCTGGAGGTGACAATTGGTTATTGGCACTGGATCTTTCAAGGAAACTGGGCATAGAGAAAAAAGCCGCCAACCGTGTGGTCTACAAGCTTTACGAGTTAAATAGCGTTGACCGCTACGAGCAAGGACCGAAAAAGCTATACAGAAGCCTATGGTAACTGTCCCGGAGTTATCATCCCATGATACGAGGGGAGCAACGGAAAGGATGCTCAGACGATTCTTGGACGGTCTTTATGATTATCGCAGTCGAATGAATGTGATGCGGAGTCAGCTCATGCGCTTCCGAGAAGTTCTTCGACGATCACCGATAGGCGACGGAGTTTCTGACTTGTCTACGGCGGAAGCCAGCACTGTGCGAGTTGCAGTCCAAAAATCACTTCGACTCCCAGACTCCTACCATGTCCTTGCAATGTTGATAAAATATTTCTCATTACCCTAGATCCTGCTTTCTGAGCTCCAGCAAGCAGTATTGAAGCTGCCGATGGACAGCAACCGAAAGTCCCCTTATTCGCCCCAAGATGTAAGAAGAAAGAGCAGTACTGTTGACTCTATGGCGAAGGTTATTCAGTAGAAATGATCAGCACTTCCTTCAGATCTCGCACTCGCTGCTCCCGAATCGATACCAATGTGAAGAATTTCAGTTCTACGAATAAACAAACCTTCAGCATAGTTCTTCGTGTGCTGGTCTGACAATGTGTGAATACAAAAAAACTGGCGCACTGTAGCGCATCCACAGCTGGATCCTTTATATGGTATGGAATTTCGATGACGAATCTCCAGATTAGTAGTTGTCAGACACAGGAAGTGTACAGGCGCGTGACATGGAGTCGATTTCTAGCGCAATCATCTGGATCTGTCACGAAACGGCGGATGTCGTTCGAGATAGTAGAAGCGAGGAGGGCAGAGAATTGTAGTATCAATCGGTAGTCTCTATGGCCGCGAGCATCTTCAATTATGCATACAGGTTTTCTCGATTTGCAGCAGTACCCGCCGTATCTGTGAAGGTGAGACTCTGAATGTCCCTTGAACCCATTGATTTGCTTTTGCGTTGATCTCACTAGCATAGCGAGGTCTATGTATAAGTATTTCCATGTCATCATTTGAGCAAACCGCTACGCGAATGTAGTACACATCTTGTTCATATTTTTCCTCTAAATAAATTCGAGACAGCTCGTAGACCAAGTATAATATTCACTTCATGCTCGTTGCGTCATTTAGTTCACATTCACTAACTTCTACTTGTCGTGGGTGCTGGTGGGCGGCACTCTTGTTCTCTGAGACCGAGAGTAAGAAGGTTTCTTTGCTTGGAATTGGATCAGAGTATCTGACGCATCTTCTTTGCTTATCAAATAGATTGATTCTTTCGCCACGTTTATCATCGGATACCGCCAACCGAAGGCCAGACTATGGCCTCCCAAGCGCATCTACGCGGTGCCGACAGTTCGAGTGACGAGGAAGATAAAGCTGCAAATAAGCTGTATTCCCTCTACTCCGGAAGCACACAGCGCCGAAAATGGAAAAAGAGGTATAGGATCTGTAGGAGGTATGCATAGGAGCCATCTCCTCTACCGCCATGTCTCTTTGGCAGCGCAGCACATAGCAGAACATCAATGCTCGTAAAAACATGCAAGACTAAATCAAGTAATTAAGGAGACGAAAAAGTTGATGGACTGATGAAAAACCTCCGCATGTGTGCGTTTGGTCGAGATGTGACGCGCATCAATCAATCGAGAGTCGATCGATATTTCTTTAGGTATGATGGCATCTCTTCACTCGCAGACAAGATGGATTGTCAGGATGCGTGCGGTGTGTTCGGCTATCATCAGTTTGCCGCGATGCAGCGAAGCAAGGGCTACGAGTGTTGGCCAGACAAGGTCGACGAGGTGTTGCTGGCCTGCATTGAAAACTCTGCAGATAAGACGCGAACGCATCTGCAGTGGGCTTTCCAATATCTGTTGTGGGCACTACGAACCTGCTACCAGCACGCGCACAGTTGGATCTCTAAGAGCGATCACATGGACGGGACATCGCTTCGCAGTCTTTGGCGTTTATCTGGAAAATTTACAGCCGATGACTTGCATCTACGCATCACGGAGTACTTCTGCGACAAATTGCCCACTCTGTGGGGCGACGTCCAAGTCACTGATAAGGAAGCGGTGGCGATGCAGTTGGCAAAAATAGATGTTGATGACGTGTTATGGTCGATTGTAATAAATGGCGTCTGCGTCAATCTGCTTGAACGACTACGACTACAACTAGCTACGCCGCAGAAGTGAGCATGTTGAGTTTTGTCAGCGAGTTTATCTTTTTCTTTTATAGAAAATCGGAACGAGCTTTAATACGACACTGGTTCAACAATCCAGCACCGCAACAATTCGCGGCAGCGGACAATGTAGAGCAGTTGATAGATGTCGGGGAGCGCGTCGGCCTCTTCGTCCTGCTGCACTATCGTAACAGCACTGGACGAACATGCTGCGACGTTGCTCCAGAAGGGGGTCGCGCATGGCGCTGGCTTCGGAACCTCGCAGCTAAGTCGTCACGTTTTTCCGACGCCGACATTTCGCGACCGAACCTACAGCAGATGCGACGTCTCTTTCTTGAAGGGCTAAAAACTTCTGACGAGTTTTGGACAGACTCGGAGATACGAACTCATTATATATTTATAAGGTTTTCTCCATCCTAAGCTATTATAAATGAACGTACTCCTAGCGCTTGTTTGCACAAACCGTATCAAAGAGGCCATGTAGACGGTCCCCAGCCAAGACGAGAAGACCTCTCTTTTCATATGTAAGCTGTGATCACTCGACTGCTGACGTGAGCGAAAAATGCAGAAGAGCAACTAGCACACGCAGAGACCCGTTTTCGGCTAAGAGGGACTATGATAAGTCCGAGTCTACTCAATGTTCTGCAACGACGCCAACTGCAACTGACATCGAGCCTGGGGACACTGGCTCGGAGAGCACGTCCACCGGCGCTTGCCGTGACACGAAACTACACAAGCGCGCCGCCTCGTTTTCGGGCGAGGAGAAAAAACTACTCCGGGAAAGAGTAGTTGGGGAAGCTGCAGAGCAACAAAAATCAGATAGTGAAGGGCGGCAAATAACTTCTTCGGATGCCTTCTTGGATGAAAAAATCCTGAGTTTTCTTCTGCGAGAGCATGCGTGTACTAGGGAAAGGGAGGAGGAAGAAGAGTCTTTTGACGTCCTACAGATCCGCAACGAAATCAGTAGAACAATAGACGCTCGCAACTATAGAGCAGCAATGTCCCGCTTCCTTGCGTCAGGGCAAGTTGTTAAGTCTGAATATCATTTTTGAGACCATTGCAGGCTTTGTCCTCCACTCAGTTCTTAGCTGACACGCAATTGCTATCTAAAAACTAGAACAACAAGGATGAGCTCAGAGCGGCCCACGTGATAAGTACTTGTCTAAAATCTTCCTAGTCTCGCCGCCGCCTAGTACGAGTACGTCATCGCAGCGACCGCGGTACAGAATTGCGCGCGGGTTGGATAACAGGACCTCATCTAGAAACATCGTCGTAAATGAGCAAGAACGAAGAGAAAATGGAACTTCGCCAGGTGTGACACAACACATCATGACTGACGTGCAGCCTAGTGCTTCATCTGAAAGCTTTGCGAGACACACTGCAAAATCCCAGACAACGAGCAGCATCCAACGGTCGTCCAAAAAAGTAACAGCCGCAGACAAACCACTCGCTGAAACAATCTTGGCGAAATTAGAAGCGTCTGCCCTGCTAGAAGGCGAGAAAAAGAAGTTGTCAGCTGTGGATCTAGCAAAGCTCCTAGCAACGGCCGAGAAAAAAGCAGTGAATCGGGTGCTTTATGCCTTGACGGATGAAGGTCTTATTGATCGCTTCGAAGAGGGAAACAAAAAGTCCTACGGTATTCGGCGCGCGGCTTCGTAGGAAAGGAAGCAAGTGCGTGTATCTTTGCATACTAGAGGAAGTCGAAAGCATTGGTATCGAGTCATAGCCTTGCTCCATCGGCATTCAGCTTCAATCATTAGTATATCACAGACCTCCATAGCTGTGAGTGTTGATTAATACTACATGCATCGTTTATTATCCCACCTCGTGACTCTTGTAATCTTACTCTCTTAGTAGGTCTGCATAGTCTCTGTTGCATAGCTCTTGTTCGTGTATAGTCTCTCCTGCATAGCTCCTGTGGTCCCCTAGTTTTTCTTGCGCAGGTTGTTACTCTTGCATACTGTAAGAGAGCGGTGAGGCCATTTTTTGAACAGACATTGTTTTGTGTTTGTTAGTTTAGTAATGCCGTTAGTGTAACCGCGCATTGAAAGCAGCTTCAATTTGAAACTTGCGAAGCTTGGCACCAAGCTACTTTATCCAGGCTCGACGACAGATTGAACTACACTTGCAAGGAGGCTTGGCGACACGTTCCAGTCCTGGAACGTCAGTAAAATGCGAAGCTTTCCTGGTCTGCCTCTCGCCCCTCATCTTGAGGACGCAAGCCATGAGGGGCAGTTCGTTGTAAAGGGCAGTGAAGAAGCAGGGTCGTCCGTGTTTGTGTGATTCAGATTCACAAAAGAACTCTAGTTGTAAGCACAGTAGAGTTCGAAAGCTGAGTGAGGAGATACACAGGAGTAGTATGATGATCGTATAATTGAAAGAACTCCACAGACATGCATACTCGCTCAAAAATATTATTACCCCTTGCTAAAAGCATCATCTTCATGGTGCAACTATCATCAGGCTACTCATGCATCATCAGCATCGATATCTTCACCTTGAGCGCTTAAGAGTCGTCTGTCGCGTCGAAGCTTTGCTCTCGTTGAAAGTCGACTAAACCACCCGACAGGCGCAGACGATCGGCGGCAGGCGCAGACGATCGACGACAGGCGCAGACGATCGGCGACAGGCGCAGACGATCGGCGGCAGGCGCAGACGACCGACGTCAGGCGCAGACGATCGGCGACGGGCGCAGACGACCGACGACAGGCGCAGACGATCGACGACAGGCGCAGGCGATCGGTGACAGGCGCAGACAACTGACGACAGGCGCAGACAACCGACGACAGGCGCAGACGGTCGACGACAGGCGCAGACGGTCGACGACAGGCGCAGACGATCGACGGCAGGCGCAGGCGATCGGCGACAGGCGCAGACGGTCGACGACAGGCGCAGACGATCGGCGACAGGGGCAGACGACCGACGACAGGCGAAGACGATCGGCGACAGGCGCAGACGATCGGCGACAGGCGCCGACGATCGACGACAGGCGCAGGCTGGCGACCGACGACAGGCGCAGGCTGGCGATCGACGACAGGCGATGACGATCGACGGCAGGCGAAGACGATCGACGACAGGCGAAGACGATCGACGACAGGCGCAGGCGATCGACGACAGGCGCAGGCGATCGACGACAGGCGAAGACGATCGACGACAGGCGCAGACGATCGACGGCAGGCGAAGACAATCGACGGCAGGCGCAGACGATCGACGACAGGCGCAGACGATCGACGACAGGCGCAAACGATCGACGACAGGCGCAGACAATCGACGACAGGCGCAGACGATCGACGACAGGCGCAGACGATCGACGGCAGGCGCAAACGATCGACGGCAGGCGCAGACGATCGACGACAGGCGCAGACGATCGACGACAGGCGCAGGCGATCGGCGACAGGCGCAGACGATCGGCGGCAGGCGCAGACGATCAGCGACAGGCGCAGACGATCGACGACAGGCGCAGACGATCGACGACAAGCGAAGACGACTGACGGCAGGCGCAGACGACCGGCGCCAGGCGGAGACGATCGACGACAGGCGAAGACGATCGACGCCAGGCGCAGACGATCGACGACAGGCGAAGACAATCGACGTCGACGACATGCGAAGACCATCGACGACAGGCGAAGACGATCGACAACAGGGGGCGAAGACGATCGGCGACAGGTGAAGGCGATCGACGACAGGCGCAAACGATCGACGACAGGCGAAGACGATCGACGACAGGCGAAGACGCTCAGCGACAAGCGAAGGCGATCGCCGAGAGGTGAGGACGATCGACGACAGGCGCAGGCGATCGCCGACAGGCGCAGACGATCGACGACAGGCGCAGACGATCGACGACAGGCGCACACGATCGACGACAGGCGCAGGCGACGCCGGTCGTCGGTCGTCTGTGGTCGTCTGTGTTCGTCGGTCGTCGTCTGTGTTCGTCGGTCGTCGTCTGTGTTCGTCGGTCGTCGTCTGTGGTCGTCGGTCGTCGTCTGTAGTCGCCGGCTGTCTGCGGTCGTCTGTGGTCGTCGGTCGTTGTCTGTGGTCGTCGGTCGTCGGTCGTCGTCTGTGGTCGTCGGTCGTGTCAGCGGCATGGTTAAAAAAACTGTTAAAAGTGAAAGCCAGAAAATACCATGACCATGACCTCCTGCCGCCCTCCAACATCATGGTCCAAAGTCCTGATCACAGAAAAAGTCAGGTGCTGAAAATTGAGTTGTACCCCCAGACGATGACGAGGATAAATAGAAGAATCATGCGGCGTTTTTCCATGTGCTGGCTGGTTGGGTCACTGCTGGGGTCAGTTGGCTCCGGCAAAATATGTGTTCGAGGAGTAAAGGCTCGCGTACTATTCCTTCTTCTAAATGTTCTTGTGCTCTTTATCTCTTCAAAAAGCAAGAACCCATTATGACTAAGCGAGCAGGAACACTCAGTGATCATCAGACGGACGATCTTATTTTGCCGTCAATCTTGAGGTGAGAGCGTTTGCAGAGCGTGAACAACGCAGATTCATTTCTCCTAAAGGCTATAGTTAGACGAGAGGATGAAGCAATCTGAATGGGGTCAAATCCGATCCAAGCTCTGTCGTGCTGAACGAGTTGCCTTGTCTGTGATGAGCACAGATTTGTTCTTCTCTGTGTCAAGCATTGAAGATGCCTCTACCCTATGTCTTGCTGAAGTCCTTTCTGTGTTTAGTGAGTGGAAGCAATAGTATCCGAGTTGTCACTATGTAGAGGACTCTTCTGTTTCTGCAAATCTTTGTTTTCAGAGGGTAAAAGTGACAATCATATCGCATGAACCATACAAAGTGAGTCTACACACAGCGCACCCCATTAGCATTGCTTCATACCAATGTAAAACCGTTTCTAACAGTATCAACCACCATGTTTTCTTAACTCCTTCGTTCGGTGACTCTTACTCGTTTAACGAAACAAAAATGGACTTGTAGCACATCATGCCTATCTGCAGAGCAGGAAGCACGGCGGACGCAGGTGGCAACACGTTTATGGGCAAGGACCAGCCTAGCACGCACGGTCGCAGACCTCTCATATGGCGACTCCCGCGTAAAATTCTGGATAATGGCGCAGTCTTTCTGCTCGTGGTCGCGTGGTCTGGACCTAATAGGCAAGACCTGTGGGCCTTACAGGCCCTTTGCACGTCAGGACTCAGAAGTTTCGACAACCCTACAACAACGGAAGAGCATGCTACGAAGGCGAGACACGCTAGCGACGGGAGCCCAGCGCCAGCATCTTCAACAACGTTTTGGGCGGTTAATCGAGCCAATCCCTCTGGTATCAAAGAAGGATCCCTTGGTATGGAAATTGGAGCAGCGGGAAATGACAATGAAGGAAATGATGGCAGACGCAATGCAAGAAAAATGGAGAGACAAGAGGCTGCATACGCTAACGCCTTCGCTGTTTGGGGCGCACAGGCTCATGCACAGAGACAATATGCCGCAGCAATCTCGTATCTTCGTGAGCGAGTACTTTCTGCAGTACTGGGCTTAACAGAGGCGATCTCATGCATTTTTCTAATAGGTTTTGTCTATCGAGGTGTGGGGCCCGCACGCTTCGCTGCTGATGTGCGGAGGGACTTGATGTGGTTTTTCCCGAGCTCTCAAGAACGAAGTGCTGGCGCTCCTATTCAGAGGCAAGCTGGCAATAAATTGTCACAATGGCAACGAGCTTGTATCTTTCTGTGTCGTCTCAACGCGTATACAGTGCCGTGGTTTCAATTCTTCATTCAGGCCGTTGTATTACCGCTCAGCGCTGCCCGCGACCTTCTGCTAGTTATTGCTACCCTGGCTGGTGCTGGAAGTCACAGTAGCCATACTCCTGGAATATCAGCAAAGAACATCAAGATCAAACTCAAAGATACAACATTTTCATCATCACATTCTCGAATGGCGGTACAACTTCTAGATCTAGACCAAATAAACCTTCGAGGACATCGAAATAGCGACCGCTTCTCGGCCTCCCCTCTGCCTCCTTCCCCATCGGCAGTTGCTATCCTCGCTGGCTCGTTAGCAACACTGTTTCTGTTCACGCTCCTGCATAATTTATGTGTCGCAGTATTGTTGCATCGGTGGCGCACGCATACGGTCTTCGAACCTCGAAATCGTTTCGTCGCTTTCATTTTTTCGGTCCTAGCCTGTGTGCCACGACAGTTTGGACCCCTCTTCTGGCGTGCGGTGCATATACAACATCACACGTATGCAGACGTTAAGAATGGAGGATAGTTGTATTTGATCTTTTCTCTTTTTTGCTAATTAATGCTCTGTGTCATGTAGGAGGCTCTTCGGACGAAAAGGGTTGTCTACTTACAGAGTCAAAACCCAAGAACAAGAAGTTAGCAGAAGTCTACAATAAATTGTAGTGTGAAGGTGACCTACCTCTTCTAAAACCGAGCATTTAGACCCACACTCTCCGGTCCAGTACGGATTTCTCTATGCACATATGCTATGGCTTTGTGACCGGCGTAATTTCTTTCCACGACCATTAAGGGACGAAAGGGAAAGCCCCCGTCGTGTAGCTTCCGTTAACGAGGATCCTAACAAGGGTTGCAGTACAACTAACGTTTTGGGCATCAAGAATGTTGCTGCTGCAGCAAACATAGATGAGTTCTCGATTGGAAATCAAAGCGTGGCCGAAGATAAAGATGTAGATGAGTCAAAGTTTAAAATTAAACCCGAAACGGAGGACAAAGGTAAACGAATGAGGAGCGACGAATGCAGAGACCAGGGTGAGCCTCGTACTTGCAAGCTTAGAAAAAGGCGAAGCGATTCAGACTTCCCGGTGCTACTGACAGCAGGTTCATCAGTCGACAAGAACATGGGAGAACCAGAAAATTTTACGCGTCGGAACTTATCACAAGCACAGGTGCGAATGCAGCTTCAGGGGTCGGAGGAGACGGACGATAGAAATCTCACTAAAGAGGGGGCAAAGAACGTGGTTGAGAGGCAAAAGGCGAGCCAAAGAGATGAAGACCTCGTTGACAACGTTCAGCAAGAAAGCACAGCGACCTGGGAAGTAAAGATGTTGTCTCAGACACCCGTAGAGCAGTGGCTATGCGATGTTTTTTTCATGCCTATCGGGATTGCCGTGACGCAGATTGTGCTGCTGCCTCTTGCAGAAATCGTGCTGACGCACCTGACACATCTGTTCGACTACATTCTTCAAGGTTGCTGTTGGCACTACACGACCTCTCGGTCCTCTCAACAAGGAAATCGACAAGGGTATGATACACATACAACAAGTTATACAGGATTCAACTCCACACCTGACAACAGAAACTTCATCAATGCCGGCTTGTGGTTGTGGTCTGCGAGTCAAATATTGCAACTAGCGTGGATCTTATGCTACCACTGCACCTGGAGTGTAAATTCCTGTCTGGGGCACCGCCCCACAGGGTTTTTTAGGGGTGTGCCTGGTCGTGATACAGAGTGCGAACAAGATCTACAACATCGTCCTATTTTCAGTCAAAAAAAGGCAGACGTGACCACGGGCGACAGTGTGGAAGCTGTGGCAGAAGAAGAAGAAGTCATTGCAGAGAAGAGCACGGAAGCTCTAGATGAAGAACACCGCGGCGTCGTGGCCACGCGTGGAGCAAGGCGAAGAAAAGCGTGGCGCGAAGATTCTACAATACTGCAAGCAACGAACAGCAGTCGCGGAGTTTTCGGATTACTTACAGTTGGGGACGGCTATCATGCGAATCATCACCGGCATCCTTCTTCAGCGCGGCATGCCAGTGCACATCGAGTCGATCTTGCATATGCAGCATTATGCGTCTTGGCAATGTGTGGACTTGGAAGACTGAAAGGGAAAACGGAAAATGAGTAGGGACGCTTCTAGTTACATACTAGGGAGCGTCCAGTTACATACTAGGGGCCGTTCTTGCCGCATGAGTGATCCATCAACACTCGAAAAACAAAAAGGTAGAAAGAGGTGTTCTTTTGGGGTCCGTGATAGGTGGGAAAGCAAACGCAATTCTCCACTCAGAATTTCAGAAGGCCATTCCGCGAGCAGGGAAGGGAGCGCATGCCTGAGGCTAAAAGAAATTCAGGTGATATGCATTCACGAGAAGTGTGAAGAATGGGTGGATACAAATATGTTCGTGCAAGATCATCATGCAAATCGAAGAGACACTGCAGATGATCATTATAGACACTAAGTGACCACAGGGTATGAAATATGCACTCCCTTGAAGATTGTGCCAGCTTCATTTGTATTGTGCTCCGTAAAACGAAGGTGTTGTAGCAAAAAAATATTTTTGAAAATGGAAGACGAATCAGCAGTGTCCTGTCTCTCGTTGTACACAGCTTGTTTTCCAACAGCATTTCGAGATTCTGGTGATAGGAGCATGGATTCTCTTCAACGCAGCATTGGGGATCGTAGCACATTTTCTCGCGACTACGCATGTCCTCGACGGCCCTGGCCAGAGTCCGGATGACCCATGGTGGTACATAAGTCCGTACACACGGGCCACGGTGACGATTCAAGATGCTATGCGCATTGCGATGATGGCGGTTTTGGGAGGTGTGTATTTGCGACGGGTGCATGGGAAAAGAGGGATTACGAAAATCGTGTTTCCGGTATCTTCTGCTAGTGGAGGTCAGCCAGCGTCCGCAAATAGGCTTCTCCTGAACAGCGGTGGCTTTCTGCTGGCGTCTCGTTCTCAGGAGGGCACTGAGGTATCGCCACAAGAAAACGGTAGAACTTCCTCCAGCAGCAACTCCTACCTGCTGGTTTGGAGCTCGCTATTTCCAGCCATTCGAATGGGAGACAACTTTGCAGCGCTGTCTGTGCTGGGTTATTGGCGACTCCTGCAAATTTTGGCATTGGCGAGGCTTGGAGCATTGGGGATAGGAGCGGTGCCAGGCATGGTCAGTGGCACACCCTCGCAATGGAAGTTTACTTTGCTGACGCACACCCGTGGTCACTATCCCCAATCAACGCTCTACTGCGCACCGTCGTGGCTTTCTCTTAGAAGAACATCGTCTCAATAGATTAAACATTTGAAATAAGCATTAATGAAGATGAGACAACGCTGCTAGCGTGCGAACTTGAAGAGGATTACAAAATCAAGAGAATCGCACACTTTATCGAATACCATTATGTAGCGATAGGTATTTTGAAATATTTATACATTATGAGTGGTTATGGTAACCTCTTTCCGTAATCTCTGACTGCTGTGCCTCTTGATCCACCGCGGTGCGTATGCAGAGAACCAGCACTGCAACTGCTGCGGATGCTCTGCCTCATTTCACAACCACTATGCGCGACAATTAGAAACGGGATAAGAATACTCGCACGACTATGTGAGAGAAGTAAAAAAAGCACCTTCAGTGAATTGTCATTCAGATGCATCATGCCCTGATAAGAATAGAAGTCTGCCCCAGGAGTCAAAGCCGAAACACAAAGCGATCAAGCCGAAAGCCCAAGTAAGAGACTATATCTAACTTGAAAAAAGATCACATGAACATAAAGACCCCGAGTCAGATTCGGAAGGACTCAAAAAGTCGCATACTGCTTGCGGAAAACCTTCCTTTGATTGCTTACTCTGGTTGCTTCGATTGTGTCCGTTTCCCGCTTTCGCTTCTGAAAGGAAGACACAAGTGAGAAGAATCATCAACGTGGTTATCCGTCGTCCAAAGAAGGGCATTTTCGAACCAAGTCCTGGTAGGAAACACGAAATCGGGAAAATGCAATCGTCTACCATTCTTGTCGTAAGTCCCAGCAAAATCAATTATGATGATGGAATTCTAACCTAAGGCCAATATAGTCAGTGTGGATCTAGTATTGCACAGTAAGCAATTCTTTTTCAAGTAATGTACTGTTGTTTGATATACGATCGATTTCTCTTCTACCAGAAGCAAGAGTTCTTCCTTCGTTTTCAGTTACTTAAATGACATTTTGACTTGCGTTCTTTTTTCCAAATAAGACTAGCCTCCACAAGCTTCGCCCGGCTTCAAGTTAGTTTAGCACTTTTCTGCGGCCTCCCACGGGCTACAGCCGCTAGAGTAGAGACAGCCCGCGGGTGAGCTGATGCACCTTACGAATTGACTACGACAAGAGCCGAGCGCCGGCGGTGGCCGACTCAGATGCGTCGACCCATGTGCAGGGCATTGCGCTGCCTTCGGTTTTTTTTTTGAGATTGCCGGGCGGGTCATGCAAATTCTTAAGAATTTGCAAGACCCCCACGGCAGTCCAACAAAAAAACCAGAAGAGAGCGACCAGACACGCACAAGAATCCGCAAGCCCCAACGCACGCAAGCGCCTCGCGGTGGCGCCAGGCAAGAACGAGGGGCGACCTTGATGGGTCAAACAAGACAAAGCAACGCAGGGCCGCGCTGCTTGGGTCTCTCTACGCGCTTACACCTGGCGGGGCTTCTTTGTTTCGTCAGATGTCTCTCGTCAGAAACAGGCGGGCGCACTTCGCGGGGTCGTGCGGCGTCGCGCTTCGGGCTGTGGCTGAAGCCTCTCGGCTGGCTGACGTCTTTCACCAAGCTGGAGACTAAGGCCCTCCATCAGGCTGATGCCGTTCGTCAGCCCAACGCTCTGCGCCAGGCTGGCGGCGTTCGTCGGGCAGGCCGGCGCCCCTCGGCAGGCGTCTTGGGTCAGGCTGAGGCTTTTCGTCAGGGTCGGGCGACGTCTCTCGTCAGGCTGAAGCGCTTCGCCTGGCTGACATTCCTCGCCGGGCCGAGACTCACGCCTTTGGTCAGGTTGATGGCTTGCTTCAGCTCGGCGCCGTTCGTCAGGCTGATGCACTCGCCAGCCAGGTGAGGCCTCTCTCCAGGCCGGCGCAATGCTTCGCCAGGCGTCTGCCTTGCGTCGGAGGGAACAGGCTGAGCGGGGCCTTTCTTCGGGCTGCGGATGTCTTTCCTTCGTAAGATTGATCCCGTTCTTTCGTCGGACTGACGTGCTTCGCCAGATTGACCGCGTTCGCCGGACTGACGTCCTTCGCGAAAGGTCTTCGCTATCTTCAAGGGCCTCGCGCCACCGGGAGGCCTCGCGTCAGTTTTTTTGGCGGAGGTCGTTCGTCAGATGTCTGCTGTCGCGGGTCTCACTCTTGTCGTGTCGGAGGTCTTGGGCCCAAAGGTCGTCTTTGGTCCACGCACAGGTCGCCGGTGGTCCACAGGTCGCCTGTGGCCCAGCGGTCGTCTTCGGTCCAAAGGTCGGCTTTGGTCCAAAGGTCGTTCGTGGTCCAGATATCGTTTGTGGTCCAGCGGTCGTCTTTGGTCCAAAGGTCGCCTTACTTTGGTCCAAAGGTCGCCCTACTTTGGTCCAAAGGTCGCCTTACTTTGGTCCAAAGGTCGCCCTACTTTGGTCCAAAGGTCGAACTACTTTGGTCCAGAGGTCGAAGGGTCGCCTTACTTTGGTCCAAAAGTCGTCCTACTTTGGTCCAGAGGTCGGCGCACTTTGGTCCAAAGGTCGGCTTACTTTGGTCCAAAGGTCGGCTTACTTTGGTCCAAAGGTCGCCTTACTTTGGTCCAAAGGTCGCCTTACTTTGGTCCAAAGGTCGCCTTACTTTGGTCCAAAGGTCGCCCTTCCTACTTTGGTCCAGGCAGAGGTCGTCGCACTTTGGTCCAGAGGTCGCCTGTGGTCCCGCGGTCGTCTTCGGTCCCAAGGTCGTCTTTGGTTTCAAGGTCGACTGTGGTCCCAGTGTCGTCTTAAGTCCCAAGGTCTCCTGTGGTCCAAAGGTCGCCCTTGGGTCAAAGATCGCCTTTGGGCCAAAGATCGTCTTTGGGTCAAAGATCGCCTGTGCTCCAAGGGTCGACTTTGGTCCAAAGGTCGCCTTTAGTCCGAAGATCGCCCTTGGTCCAACGGTCGCCCTTCGTCCAAAGCTCGTCCTTGGTCCAAAGATCGGCTTTGGTCCATGTGTCTTGGGTCCAAGGTCTTTGCCCTTTCGGTGGGCGGTCTTTCGTTGGCGGTCTCTCTTTGGACTTTTCTCCCCAGCTTGCGCCCCCACCCCCGTCGGCCATTTTTCTGCCTTCTTTTCTGGTGGTCTGCCACGGGGCCGCAACGTAAAACCCAACAAGGAAACGGCCGGAGGCTATCGGGCTGGAGACTGAGGGGAAAGGGCAGGAGACTATGGGCAATAGCTTCGCGAAAGAAGCTGACTAATCTCCGGTGGGTTAGGCGGGGAGTTTTATGGCGGCGATCAATGGCGAGATTAATAATATAGATTAATAACATAGATTTAATAATATAGATTTAATAATATAGATTAATAATATAGATTTTTTTTTTGTTATGTTTTTTATCTATCAACTTATAATAATTTCCGGCAATAAAGCCAAATAATCTATCCTGTCAAATAAAACGTCAAACTATCTTTATTCTTCATGACCATTCCATCCTGTATTCTCCGCAAGAAATAAGACGAGTACGTGGTGCTTTTTGGCAATGAGATCGGAAAGGGAAGTATTTTACCAAACATGGTCAGAAAGTCTTCGTGCAGTTTGAGCAGTATCCAGACACACTCTTACAGAACTGGCGCGTTTTCTAGCTGTGGTACACCTAGAGAAGACGTGCTGACCATGGACCAAAACAAGATCTTGGTTCGGAGTTCGTGTTCTTCAAAGTAAAAGTGTGAGTTATGTTTACTTTATTTGATGCTTCGTCGGTCATGGTCATGCATGATGTAGAGTTCTTGATAGATTCTAGGATGTCACTATGACAATCATGGAAAAAAACGCATTTTCTTGGTTTTAATGTTCATTGTGATTCCCATGCATTTCCAGCACTTGTTGTTCTGTGTCAGTTGTAGCCATCTTCAGGGCTGTAGTGATACGGTTTTTGTGTTTTTCAATTTTCAATCTAAGTAATCAAAGAATGAGAATGGCTTTAACATTTCTCGTCATCTCGGGTGTCTCATACACTACAACGATGCTGCCAGATCCTCAAAAGGTGAATGCGTGCCCATGACGCTCTTGCCACCTGAGGTGAGGCTGCGACACTGTGAGACACAAAATTGGCATCCCTCGCTCTCCTCGTCCGTGCGACAGATGCCACCTGTATGCAAGTAGAAGGGGCGTTCAATTTGTGGTTTAGGACGAGTTGAGGTGCGATTTGGGACTGGAAGCGAAGGCACAAACTGACGATTTTTTTTAGCCAAAGAATGTTTGAAGTCGCAGGGACAGACTAACAATGAGTTTCTCGCTCGATCTGGATGAACATGAACAAGAACAAAAAGCTCAGCTGCACTACTTAAGCTGAAGAAGTCAAAGTACGTTCCCCTCCACAGCTTTCTTCGCACGCCACTGGTATACTGCATGTTTTCCCAGAGTAATCTGGCCAGCAAACGCAGGCTCCGTTCATACACGCCCCTTGGCCTGAGCAATCGCGAGGACATCTCGCCAAGTCGCAGTTTGGTCCCATCTTGGATTAGCGGTGTGGTGGGTAATTTGCTCCTGATGAAAAGTATCTTCCCTGAATAATGCTTCAAGAAGGTATGGACCCCCTTAGTACGGAAGCAAAGAGGAATTATCACGAGCCTTATTTGGATGGGTCATCGCACTCAGCCGTTTCACAAGCCGAGCCCGTAAATCCAGGCGAGCAACTGCATTGGCCGAAGAGGCACAAACCGTTGCCACCACAGCCGTTAGGACAGGTTTTCGCGACAACTTGGGAGGGATATGAAGGCGGGAAATATAATTTAGGGAAGTGGCGACGGCGATGGCGTACGGTGCTGATGTTAAATCAAGGGAAGAGCCACAGCGACTTGATGTTAGAGAAAGGCATCAAGATCCACAAGAGCTTGTTCTTTTTAAGCACGAAAGTGAGTCAGTGGATACGATCCATAAGGAAAAGGAATGCTGCGAACAGTCTTTGCCAGTGAAGCCTTCGTGGCAGCGGCACTCTCCCGGTGAGTCCTGCTGGGCAAAAATGCACTCACCGTTTCCGCTTCAGAATGAAGGAGCGAGGAGGAGCATTCGTCATGAGATGGAGCCTCACGGACAACGACAACTATGACCAAATTCTTTCACCAAGAAGAAGAAGAGGGCAAAGTCAATCATGATTCAAAATGTGGCGATGTTCTTCAAGCTCATAAGCATCCCCCTCTGCAGTCCGGGTCCTTGCAATTCGGACCGGTCCAGCCTACATCGCAGAGGCACTGCCCAGAGGAGCAACTTCCGTGTGCGCCACAGTCATAAGCGCACTCTTTGGTTCCGCAATCAGAACCACCCCAACCTCCGGCACAGAGGCACTTTCCTGAACGATGGAGTACTTGATTACAGGAGTTAGGTTTTATTGGACGGGAAAGCGGGGAAGAATATCATGAACAAGCATTCAAGGAAGAGAATTCGAATCAATTGGAGAAGAGCGATTTTTCACGACCAGGACGAGTACATCCAGATCGTGACGAAACGCAGGCTAGCAAGGTGGAGATACAGATGGATGCATGTTAGATAAACTGCTAACACCTTGATTATGCTTAAAGTGAGTGTCGCACAGATGGAAAAAACCAACTAAGTAAGCACTAGTACCTTCTTCACAAAGTCCCTTTCCATGGCACGCATTCCATGCGCCTAGACCATCGTCATATTTCCCCGGACACTGTGGCTGATCGCAGGCCTTGCCTGTCCATGCCACTTCACAGATGCATTGTCCTTGCACTGTGTCGCATTTTTAGAGCTACCGCGTTCGCATCTTCCCTCAGAGCATTTTGCTTGGCTTTTTTTCACGGGTAGACGAAAATGAAAAACAGCCAGGATTAATTATGGTGCTGAGCTGAGGAATGAGGATACTTCAGTTCAGCCTGAGGATGCTTCAACGGAGGCAGCCTTAACATTTTCCATGGCCAGAGCAGTTGCCTTCAGGGCCACATACTGACGCCTCGTCAGACAAGGGTCCGCTACCAAGCTCAGTGATAGCCGCAGCTGTGTCCGAGGAAGCGGAAGCAGGAGTGGCACCGCCAGCGGCAGAGGGTGCTGGAGGCTGTCCGGGTGCTTGGAGTCTGTTTGACGTTGAAGATGAGGGATGGGGATCGGCATGCACTTCTCGCATGGATGAGTGTCGGTATAAGAAGAAGCATAGTTGTAGAGAACAACGAGTAACAAGGACATTTTCGATTTCATTTCGTGCTTCAATGGAATAGAACAACTAGAGTAAAGATGAACTCAACACACACGGCCAAAAATACGCCAACTCGCACGCATTCCCTTGCCATCCCGAGTGGCAACTGCACATTCCATTGAGGCACAACCCACGAGCATTACACCCATGAGGACACGAGTCGTGCTCAACTTAGACCTTCCCACAATCCATCTCGTTCTCGAAAATCATCCTGGGCTTGCTCTTCTCATATATTTTCGGGTAAGGTCTCAAGCAAGAAGATGCTTTTGAGGATGCATGGACTACCTGAAGCCTTAATCTACCTTTGTACCGCAGTCGGCGCCGATGTATCCTGTTTTGCAAACACAATGGCCACTAGGACTGCAGCTCCCGTGAACACTACAAGCTGGATCGCAAGTCGCTACGTCGAGTTGGGGGACTGGAGCGGCGAGAACGCGGTGCTCGCATGTTTCGCCGGCGTACCTGAAAACGAGGACGCTGCTGATGTGTTAGCTGCATGGCGTTCACTTTGTAAAGGTCTTTTAGCTAGATGAAGAGGAACGCCATGAAGAACATGATGATGATTATTGACAACGACAAGGGCCCTAATATTATCATTATGATTATTATGTTCGCGCGCGGCCCTACCGCCTCAAACGTGTCGCGCTCGCGATCAATATATAGCAACGATCAATATCAGCATGAAGATCATTTGTCACCCTTCCTCGCAAACGCAAACTCCGGGTTGGTCGCAACTGCCTCGACCATTACAGCAAGTCTTCTGCGAACAGTCATGACCCCGGAATCCCTCGAAACACATGCATTGACCCGAAACGCAATGTCCTGTATGGCTGCACTCATTCGGGCAGGTCTGCTGACATAGGGCACCGGAGTACCTTTTGATTTTGTTTTTACTTATAAGAACGATGGGTACGGGTAGGATTAGGGGGCGCATGTGAAACTAGTGCCGCTAGTAGAAGTCATGTGGGTGATGATGACACTACGTATGGTTGATGATGTTGATGACACTTACTATGACGCCATACTCACACCATAGATAAAAGCGGTGTGTTGGTTACAGTAACGAGCTGCATTCTGGTGGATATGGACTCAAAAGTTGCCGCCAACATCAAGTGGTACCCCGGATAGGGAAAGCATTCATTCGAATTCCACCTGTTCACATATCAAGTAAGTACCCAGGATAGCACTCGCATCTCCCATATCAAAAGTTGCACTACTCAACATCAAGTACCCAGGATAGCATTCGCATTTCCCCTCATGGCAGGCGCCTCTCATATTGCAACTATCTGCGCAGGTTCGTTCTTTGAGACGTCGCAGTGTCGAAATGAGGGAGTTCGCTGCAGGTGATCGCTTAGGGGGCGCTTCTTTCAAGGTAAGCTCTATCACTTCGCCACTTGCGACCATGGTGGAGCAGTCAGTGCCTGTCGAAGGGTGGAGCTACGGAGGGAGTAGGAAAAGCGAAGAGCGACTACGAGTGTTTCGGTTGCTAGTTGAGTTTCAGGATTATTATTAAGAAGGATACCCGGCAGACATCGACACGATCACGATCACGAAGACGGCGATCATGTGCGATTTTCAACGCCTGCAAGTACAACTTCGAGTCAAAAAGTGTAACAACACTAGCACACCTGCGAATCCCGGATTGCAATTGCACCTCCCGCTTACGCAATATCCGTTCCCCATGCAATCCCTCGGACACCTATCGAACTGGCATGCCGATCCGAAAGCAGTAGGACCGCAAGGAGTATGAAGAAAGGATAGGGGTTCAAGTCGAGGAGAAGGCGCGGATGGGGTCACGGGATACCTTCCATGGTCCTCCTCTATGAAAGAGTAGGACACACCACAAGGACACGACTAAGTAGATGCATCGAGAATGCTCAAGAACGTCCAATTGATAATTATATATGATTATCCCTGAGAAAGCAAGTTACAACAAGTAGTACAATGACAAAGAAAGAGAAACGATAAGGCTAACCTCTGTCTTGCACAATGACAAACGATCATAACGACATTCTCCTACTCCTCATAAATGCACAAACCGGCGACGCACATCCCTTTCATGCTGCAGTCTTCAAGGCAGCGAGGAACTTCGCACTCGTTCCCAGCCCATGCCTTTGAGCACTGGCACACTGAAGCGCCTGAATCCGCAAGGGTTATTAGAGGAGCCTGATTTTCGGCGTTGGCGTTTTCACATGCTCTTGCTCATAGCTAAAGAAGATGAACTCGCCTTTTGGCCTTGCTAGACTATACTAGTGCGTGCCTACTTGTGCTTACCTTTTCACTGCTCACAAAGATGCCGTATGACGAAGAAGTTCCGCCCAAAGAAGTGCATGCCTGCTCTTTTACCTCTACGATGCTATAGCTGAAGCCTTAGCGTTACTTTCTTCCCGTGGCCAGAACAAACAACGACAGCCTTCTTGGCCGGTCGAAGCTGGTTCAACGTTGAAGTAGAAAGAAGCTGGACTGCATTTTTAGTGCTAGAGGCCCTTGGTGCGTGACTGCTACTCTTCTCGCTCTCCAATAATTCCGCTACCTCTTCCAGAAGCGAGGCTGTCTTCTTGTCCTTGAGAGGAACGCTTTCTGTCACAGAAGAAGAGGAAGAAGACATCGGCTTCTTGTTCATTTCCTGTTGAGGTTGGAAAGCTAAGGAATTTGTTGAGATTGAAGTTACTGTAGGTCTTGGTCTTGTAGTTTGGACTGTGGTAGTTACTGTTCTTCTGCTTCGGCTCGACGAGGACTTCTTCAGCTCTTGTTCCGCTACAGGAGACCTCTGATGTTCTTGCTCCAATGGCTTATTTCCTGCTCGTCCGGTCATACTGATACTGCTCGCACTAGTTGCCTGTTCCCCTGACGATGCTTGATGTTCTAAAGACCTGCTACTTCCCGAAGAAACCAGGCGTGCATTGCCGATCTCGTGAACAGCTAGCGGCTCCTCTGGTCCTGCGACGGTTTGCGACTGCTCTACTTCTTCTTGTTCTTTCGTACTGCTGGAAGATTCCTCTCCAAACATAGTTGTTCTCAACCAAGAAAACAAAGACGAAGGAGCTGTCCCCGCGCCAGATCTCGGCGTTGATGAGTCTAGAGCTTGATGCTCTTGTCTTCCGCGTCCTAGGCCTTCATGACCTTTCCAAGCAACCTGGTTCTCCTGCAATAAGCTAGTGCTAGGCACTTGTATTGTTCCTATAGGGGGAGAAGTAGTAGATACTACATTTCCATTGGAACTAGTCGAGTTGTGGAATGTCACGCTTGACTTGAGCGTTGCCTTTCTCAACGTCTCTGGTAAATCACCGTCACAGTTGTTTCTTGTAGGAAAACCAAAAGCAAGCTGCTGCTCATAGTCTGCTACTATTTTCGGTTTCGTCTTCTTCTTGCTTGAAGAAGTTGATGAGCCTTCGTCTCCATCATTCTCATCCTCTTCTTCTGAATTTCCTACTACAGCTGGCGCTTCAGTAAACGAATAGGTATTCGTTCCTGATTTTCCACCAGTGTCGTTATTCTCCAACGTTGGTGTCGGCACTTCTACATTGGGGCCACCAATAAAATGCGAAGGCGTTTCCATGTCTTCATTAGATCTTACCCATACTCATCTGGAACAAAAAAGGGTTTTCGTCCTAGTTTTTCCCCTTTTAATGAAGGCGGAGGGGTCAAAGATCATGCTTCTTAGGATGAATTAGGGTAAGCCTTAACTTCTGTGCTGATCCACATGTCACACTGGACTCCTGCATAGCCTTGCAAACAGACACACAGCTTCGTATAAGCGTCACAGCGTCCGCGACCACAGATATTATCTCCTCCTGTACTACAGTCGAAGAATGTTGATGCACTTGTGCTCTTCTCGTGTGTATTTACGTTAGTGCTGATCATATTGTTGGTTTTGGTGTTCGTACTGGAAGTGGAGCTAAATGAAGAAGAGGAAGTGCCTTGTTTCTGTATTTGGACATCACGGGCAACTGCTACCTCTAGAGTCGTATTCGAAAGCAAACAAAGCACCTGGAAGAGAGCGGCCACCAGCATCGCTGGAGCTCTCTTAAGAGTCTGGTGCTCTTGCCAGGACATCATCATTTTTTCTATTTGCGTTTTTCAAATTCAACACATTATTCTTGATACTAAAAAACGCAACCGTAGCTACTAAGACCTCACGACACTGTTGCTCTGGATCAATGGACATGCAGAGATGGTGACGCTGCCGCTTGAGAACGAGAGTAAAATGAGTTAGAATTTGTGACATAGACATCATGTGTTTCTCTACGATCATGTGTTTGAACCTCGTCGCGCCCATCTTCCACCTAAAGATCAACATGCGCCTTTTTTTGCTTGGAAGTGCCTGTCCTTGTGGGTGCTTCTTTGCGCTCCCCCTTTCAAAACTCACTCTAGGAGCCGCTCGCTCTCACTCGGAAATCTAAGGCGGGACAAGGCTTCATCGATGCTGACTCTCCTCTATGACACCAACATCGCCGTTAATCATTTTGCCAAGCAGCATGCTGCTACAAAAGGCGCACCTACTCACTCTTGCGTGTCCTGTAGGCGTCTGCTATGAAAGTGGCTGCTTCGCGAAAAACCTCGCTCACCTTTCTGCTTGTTCCACTTCACCCACCGCACCAAGTAGTGAGACCTACCATATTACAGTAGTAGGAGGAACAGATTATTTACAGGAAGAATAATTCTTTCAAGAAATCATTTCGATTTACATAAAAGAAACGTGGATTGTCTTCTTTATCTGCGCGTCACAGACAAGAAAGAAACGAAAAAGACTAGACGACAGACACATGTCGTTACTAGTGCCAGACCACTTGCCTGCGACATTCACAATCATCACATTTTTCTGACATACGTGAGAAGCATCCAACAGATAATTTACTGGGATTCCGATGCTGCCTGGAAGTCTCGAATTTCTACTCATAATTGTCATTGATTGAACGAGACTCGGCAAGCGTCGCACATTTGATTATCGGCCGAAAAACGAGTCGAAAGGATTGATTTTAAGAAGCGAATCACTTGTACTTACTCGTCCCGACCGCGATTCTTCAAAGTCCAAGATGCTGAGAGGTATCATACTTAACTCTGGCGCGGCTCTACCTATTCCAGCACTAGAAGTCTCTTTATTCATAAGAAATAAATTTGAGTGCCGATGGTATGATCTTCGTCATGTACTTGTATTCGACTCATTCAGGCCCCAAATGATATATTATCAAAGAAAAACAAATTATATAATGTCATCAATATAAATGTGGTAGCAGAAATTCGACTGCTATCTTCTGCCCAAATCCACCACAAACAAGACACCGCTTTCGTCGAAAACTGTAAATTACTTATTACTCCTTCTAACGCAAAAATTTCCATATACATCGACTACGTCAGCGGCACTCTTTCTAGTACGACAAAGAAACTTAGAAAGCTAATAACGAAAAAACATAGGACCTAAAGTAAGCCAAACCTAGCAAGGATCAAGATCCGAATTTTCTCAGAACTTCCTTGCTGCCGTGGTGACCACGAGCAACTGTCCCAATCCTGAGGTCATACCATGCCCTGGGACCTCTTGTCCGGTGTCATTTCTTATCCAAACAGATTGCGCTGATTTTATACTGAGAAAAGAGTCCCTTCACTGTTGTTGATGAAGGAGCTCCAATCTCATCTTATTGCAACGTCTTCTCGTTCCCAAGAATTCTTTTTTTTTTTAATTATTTGCCTCCTCTAGTACTATGTTGTGCTTGTGAAGACTCTAAAGAAATTGGTTTATTTTCCCCCGACATAGGACTGCTTCGAGAAGCCGCGCGTTCGTGGCAAAGCTCGCTTCGGCATGTGGGTACGGCCACCGCTAACTGCCCTGATGTTGCCGTACGACGGCTGGCTAACTACTTTTCGTTGTTGTTGTACCTTGGTTTTGGACAACGGCGTAGAAGCCAGATTGTGTCTATGATCTAGTGCCGTGATAGTCTCAATGCAATACGCTGGTCGAGCAACATTCAATCGCGCACCCCTGCCTCTCGAATCGAATCGAAAACGGTTCAGATGTTCCGCAGAAGGCGCAATATGTTTTTCTGTGCTCGGCCTTGCTCTAGTGGAGGTAGGATTCGTACCTGTGGTAGTATTCTTTCCTAGTGGTACCTCCTCGCTATCCTTCATATCACCAGATTGAGATTTCTCCTCCGGTATGTCTTCGACATTCTCATCCTGGTTAATCAAACCGCTCAAGTTGGTGGTTCCAAAATCTTTGAGCAGCTTGCTGAATTCCTCCGGCGAAATGAAGCCCTCTTCTTTGACCTCGTTCACCTCCTCCTTCAAGTGCCGCCAGGACGCGTTCGACAAGTCCACAAATTCTTCGTCATCATCAACTGGAGAGGACACAAGGTCCCCTGCTTCTTCAGACTGGTTTTCATCTCCCTGATCATCACACAACAATTTCAACTGCTCCACATCTTCTACCTCTCCGATCGTGCTGGTATTGATGTTGGTGGCGGTAACCGGACCACCTAGTTCGCCGGCCGGGGAACAGACGAACTCAGCCAAAGATATGGGGCCCTTTTGCTGGTTTTGCGGCAATGTCAAATCATTGCCGGCGCCTTCGCGCGCCTCGCGTGCGCGCTCGTCAGCGTCACCAGGAAGCCACCACTCGACCTCATGCCCGGCTGTCACAGCCAGCTGCCCAGGAGGGCCCGTGCCGTAACCTAGGAGTGTTTTCATTTGAACGAAGTACACAAGGCATAAACATATTGGTATCTATAGGGTAAGCAATTTTTTTAAGGCCAAGGCCTCTGCTTGAGGAAATAGCTTCCCTGAAGGAATTTCTATCATAGAAATCTATTATAGCCCTCCCTTGAGGGCACAAAGTTGCCCTTAAGGGAGCTCCTTAAGGGGGCCCTTGAAATACAATTGGGCGAATATTAGCCACTTGCGTAAGGGCCGCCTCTTAAGGGCCTTAGCTTGCTAGGTTAGCCATGGCTAGCTTGTTCGCTGCTTAGCCATAGCTAGCTTGCCAGCTTAGCACTGTTAGGTTAGCCGTGGCTAGTTTGCTAGGTTAGCCGTTGCTAGCTTGCTGGCTGCTTGGCCATGGCTAGCTTGCTAGCTGCTTAGCCATCGCTAGCTTGTTAGCTGCTTGGCCATAGCTAGCTTGCTACTAGCTGCGTAGCCATAGCTAGCGCGCTAGCTGCTTGGCCATAGCTATCTTGCTCGCTGCTTTGCTTTGCCATAGCTAGCTCTCTAGCTGCTCAGCCATTGCTAGCTTGCTAGCTTAGCCATATCAGCACGCAAGCCCGCCGGCTTGCTAGCTTAGCCATAGACAGCCTGTTAGCCTAGTCATGACCAACTTGCTACCTAGCAGCTTCGCCATAGCTAGCCTGCTAGCTTAGTCATAGCCGCTCCAGCTTGCTAGCTTAGCCATCGCCAGCCTGCTGGCCTAACCATGGCCAGCGTCCATGCAGGTGCATTCTAAGGCGGCCGCGCGTCGCTTGCTTGGTTACTTAGTGGCTTGCTTCGTTTGGCTTATCTGTCTCGTTGCTCCTACCCTGTGCCCAGTGCGGCGGGCCCTTGCTGGGCCCGCTTTCTGGGCATGTAAATATGTACAAGACTAAAACGGTGGTCTACTTGGTCTACTTGAGGTGCGGGCACCCACCCCCCCAGTGCTCTGCCACCTTGTGGGCCTGGGGGGTGGGACGCCAAGGGCTGTAGCATCCCGGGTGCACCTTTTTAATTACCTCTACTTAGTTAATTTACTCAACCGTTCGAGCCCCTCTTTTGTTTTATGCCGTTTCGCTGACAGTTCCTCTGAGAGTTGAGCGTGTGAGAAGCGTCTGTGATTCTAGCCTCATGCACAGCTTTCACATCAAGGTCAAAGATCATAAAATCAGGGACAATCTTGAAGCACTTTCTTTACATACATATTATATGTAAGACTAACAACTACTTACTCACACATTCAAGTCCAGCTCAAATCACAAGATTGCTCACAGATACTACCAAAGTAAAGCAGCTTCATCAGAGTCTAATATTGAGTCTACCAAATCGATAGCATACCTGTCGGAAACGCGGTAGGAATGTTCTGTGATGCTGTGTAAGAAAAGAGCGAGTTTTTCGTTTTCTTCAGCCCGTCGTCCAGAGTAGCGGTCCATACACGGTCGCATTGCGTCGTCCAGTCCAGGATGCGATAACGCATGTTCATAGTCTGCTGCGTCAGCGCTCGCACTAGATGCATACGCCTCCACATCGCATGCGCTAGCTCCTGGCGTTCTGGTTCCGAGAGAACTTGGACCCCATCCGAAGCCCTGTACGTGAGCTCGTCCAACGCTTCAATCCACAATGGCTTGCTACTATCCTCGCTTGTTTTATCAACACCTCCTCTTCTATCAGCGCCACTTCTAGATTGTTCAAAACTGCTCCCCCATGAAGAAGTACTACTACACTGAAAACGTCCTTTACGCGGAGGCGGAAGCTGCTTCGTCCACTTATATAGAGCGCGCGAGAGAGCAGCAAGGTCTTCCGGACTCTTCTGGACTTCCAATAATTTCTGAATCAAGCGATCATCGATGTCTTTGACCTCAGCCCATTGCTGAGGGTGTACGTGAAAATTGCAATTTCACTCAAATATTTTCCGGAGGTAGCTTATCGTGTAAGAAAACCAAACAGGTACCAGTGCTAGTCAGAGAAGAGATCGAGATGAAATGTTTTTTCTCAGCGTTAAAGCAACATCCGCCTTCTCATCAGACTTTTCTATTGCGCCTCAAATCAAAGTCTTGGATCCACAGATAGATGTTCAATATTAGTCATATGGTAATCCATGTTCTAATGAATAGTATATCAATACAGTCAAATTTTTTGAAGGGTACCCGTTCAAACCGCTCTGCTCTTTCTTGCCACTGTTGTGGCCATCGCGCGGACACCTTGTCCATCTGTGCGTAACCTGCGCGCATGATCCCAACAGCCTCGTTGTCTAAGAACTGTCTCACGTTCTTATGCATCTGAAGATATTTTGTAAATTAAATTTATATCATAGGTTTTCAACATGGAATAGAAAGGTTTGGACTTGTCCTCGGTATACTTCATTATACTTAACAAGTACTTATCCCGTGACCCTCTCTCAAAAAAAAATCTGCATGGATAAATCTTTATTCTATTATAGCTTCGTAAACTTACAATCAAAGTCCACACCGACTAAGAACTGACAGAAAAAATTGTGACTGTGCCGTTTCCACTTTTTCTTTTCGATCGGTCCAGGCGTTACGCATGAAAAAGTAGTCTCCGGAGCTTCGGACGTGAGCCATTCGGACCTGTGACTTGGCGTAGTCGTCCAGGCGACGTTGCCACTCACTCCACCTTCGTGCTATTATGTCTGCACGTTCCTTCAGCTGTAGAGCTTCTGCCTCTGCCCCTGGCGATTGTCGTATGCTCTCTTCGACTACAAAATACTCACCCTGGGTCGTGGGTCGTCTTGGATGATCTGAATTGCCATTGCCCTTGAGGATGCTTGACGCACCAAATCCCTTCTCCCCCAGCGCGTGCCTTCGATACCTGATCTCATCCCGTATTGGATTCGCTGATCCAACCGCTGGCACTCCTGCCTGGAATTCTCCACTGGCATATGCTTCTACAGGATGAGGAGGGGGAGTAGAACGAGGAGGGGGCGTAGAAGGAGGAGGAGGAGGAGGCGCAGCTGCCGGAGAAATGTTCTTTTGCAAAGCTGAAACGGGGCTCCTGCGCGGTTCTTGTATAGATGATACTTGCTCTTCCTTCCACTTGTTTCCGTTCCGGTCCTTGCGGGGCTCCTTAAGATAACGAGTCCAGGGGAGCACGGGCGGTCGACTACCGGACGAGCCGGTTGAAAACTGTCGACCTGAGAGACGTCCAGACAGAGGAGCAAGGCTTTTCGATATCAGTCGTCCTCCTCTGCTCCCGAACACCGCGGCGACGGTTCTCCGACATAGCAACAAAAGGCCAATCAAGGCCAGTCGCAACAGAGAGAAAGAACTCATAATGCTGTTACTCGAGCACGTTGTTATAGTAAAGAAAAGTAGTAGTATGTGTTAGTTTTTATATATTAATCAAACTCAATGACGATTCATTTTACCGCGATTTTTCATCATGGGAAGGTCTAGTACATCACAGGAAACAAATTCTACTTCACGACGATATTAAGTACCTATTATCCTCAAAACTCCACAGTAAACGGTGCAAACAACGAAATTGCACACGAGAGCTAAGACTTTTACAGGCAATCCGAAAAATTTAAAATGATGCAACCACGTCTACTTGTAGAGAGGCACTGAAATCTTCTAAGAAAAGCACACACATATTGAACACCGCCAAGCTTTTATTTTGCACCCACCAGAATCGGGAATGTACAAGTCCAGTCTATCTAACAATGCGAAGACCTGTCTTTTGAATTGAAACATTGATTTGTTTGCTTGATCATAACGATGACCCGAATCTACTCTGCAACATGCATGGGAACATCTTTGCTTAATATAGGCTTCATAGAGAAGATTCTAGACGTTTTAATGTGACCCGTGGTATGAAGCAAACGCCCTGACATCAAAAGATCAGTTGTCGACACAGGGATGACGTCTCGATGAACTACAGCATTTCTCATTACGCACAAGTCTCGATCGACAAGGACAGAACAAAGACAGTGGAACATGCACGCTTTTTGAACTCGAACTGATGACGTTAGTCGATTCGCGTGGGGCCTACGACTTCCCTGAAACTCTTTTGAGTTCTACGAATGTCGCTGATGTTGAAGTTGTGAGGGTGATCCGCTGTTTCGGCCGTGGCGCTCCTCGTTGTTGCGAGGGCGACGGCGCTGCTCGCGCTTCCTTCTGCTATACTCTTCCACCCTTCTCGGTTTCAGCAGTCCGCCAATGTGACAGATCTAGCCACTAGCTCTGTTTGTTATCGAAGCTTTCGCCTATTCTCTTTCGTTATCGAAAAAGTCACAACACGCAATGCGCCAACTGAAAAGCTTCTCTGACAGGAAAATTCTTAGGTCTCATGTGTTGTCCTCATAAAATTGACCCGAGTCCGTTCTCGCCGATGGACATCGTTCGATGTCAAAAGGGCGTTCGGAAACGTAGAAAACACACCTTCGAAGCAAGAACCTACTACTTAATCCTGGTCTCGAAAATGACTTTGATTTGGAAAATGACTTCACGAATTTAGAGAATGCAGTCTAATTATTTGTCCTTTATTCTGCTCCATCATGTCGCGGCTTACACGAATCACACATTTGAAATTGTACTACGATCTTTTCAGCAATGGCGTCACAGCTACAGCATATTCATTTTCTCGCTTTTTAGAGACTGCGGTCGTTTGCGGAGGGTAAACAAGAACTGGGTTCATCAAGCCAATCGCTTTCACACTTTACGACATTTGTGACATAAAAGTCTAATCCTCAGCGTTCGTGGCCTACCGAATGGGAATGCCATCCAGTACCGACTAACGCTCATCGTGTTTGTGATCGTTAACATGCGGGAGCTATGGCCCTGCCAGAGATCCGTCAACCAGTTGCGCGCAGCGCCTACCAGGTCGCGCGCGACTTCGAGCGCTCGCGTGTAATACCGTCCAACACTACGGCCGGCAACGTAAGTGCTCTTCAGGCCTCCCCATTAAACTATTTTGTGGCTGCTCAAGTTCAAGCTCAATGGGAATGGCCTCGATCGTTTCTTTTGTAGGTTAAGACCGCCGGAAGGGTGATCCTAGTGTTATCCGGTGTGCCTGCCGGCAACGGGTGGAGTCCCTCAACCTCCTTCTACTATGGTGCAATAATTGCCTACGAACGCGTCAGGGACGCCACGTGCACCGACGTCACGAGTCTCTCCGCTATTGCTTCTAATCTTGCTTTGCACATGGAATCTGTACTCTTTGTTCTCTACAAGACGTTGCAACACCTGTAAGCTTTTTTAGCCTTTCTGGTCCTTTTCTCCAGCTTCGCTCTTGGTTACTTCTTCAATAAGTGCTCATAGGATTATCGTTTGACAGTGACCATGCTTTCTTGGACGAACTTAGACAATTTCCATTAACAATTTACGACTTTACTCAATCATAGTAGCTAGTAGATACGAAATATCAAAAACCTTAGCTCGGACTTGCTAGAGCTGTTAGGACGGTACGACTAGGACAAATTTCCAGGAGGTCAATGAATCGGAAATCGTTCAGCAAGCCACGACTGCTCATGTAAAAAGTATCAAATACATAGATATAACGGGTTCTAATATCATCTTGCTAATTTCAACGAGATCTAGAAATGTACAGAGAAGGAATCAGTTACCAATTTTCTGCTACAACGATCAGTAGTTACGATTTTCACCTCACTACCGCTACCTTGAACGTAGGTCTCTCGACCATCGCCACCGTACTTCCTACAAAAATCCAACCTACGAATCTATACACAGACATTCACGAATCTCCAAAATGAAAGTTGTCTAGTAAAGTAGATCTCTTTTTATGACATCACAATGGATGAGAGAGTGATCATGTTGAGTTAATCACCAAGATTTAGATTACAACATGACAAACATCAAAAGTTGACAAACATAAAATACTTTGATGTAGCTAAAAACCAAAATTCGTAGAATGATACATAGTCCAATGTCTATTTAGATATGACAACAGCAGTGCTGCTCCTACAAAATCCATCGAGTTGCTGCTAATAATTTTACATCATAGTACGTAGGATAGCATACAGAAAAGGGAATAAGCGTTAGCATATATCTTCATTATCAGTCAGGGTGCACCAACTAGACCAACACCATCAAACAATTTTACAGTCTATACTAGATTCCAATAGCAATGTGACACAATACAATCGAAATATACCCGAACGAGGTAAACCTCTACAACAGATATTCTTATTGTAACCGTCATAAATCAAAAATTCTAACACAACGATAACCACTCAAAAGAACATAACTCGACTTCCTCCGTGATAAAGTTATACTGTACGAGCTGTACTCGCCTATAGTTTTTCTCGTCCACCCCTACGTTTTTTCGCGCTCTGCTTTATCCACCTTGCTGCATGCGGTCTAGGATGGTTGATACCGCGACATACTGGGAGCGCTGTCGGAAGCCTGCTGGACGTGCCATCTCGATTGGCATAGACTCGTTCACATTTTCTATCCAATCTGAGAGCACAGGGTGTCGCAGATTTCGTCTGGCGAGATCCAACCACAATCGCGTGATCGCCGCTACCTGCGCACTTACGTCCACACGAGGGAACATCACCTCTCCCGGCATGCGCCGCGCCTCGTCCTCCTCATCCGAACTGCTCGACCACTCCTCGCGGAGCTTCGGGAATTAGACACATGAGGATGCCACGGACTTACACTTTCTATCTCGTCTGAGAGCTGAGACGAAGTGAATTCAAAGTGCAAGAGCTGCGCTCCTCCTGGTCATGGTCATCCATCTCGTCTAACGTCTACCCCTCCCAGGTCAAGTTTGAGAAAAAGCCTACACAGAGACACAGAGGCCGCCCCATGATAGGCATTTTACATCGCATAGTTTCATAGATATATAGGTTATAGCAATTATCTCCTCTCAACATGCCGCATATAAACAGTCACAAGAACAACATCTTCCTGTTCATAATTCTTGCGTTGTCGTTCACGCTCCGCTGCGCGGTCTTCCTCGTTCATGCCTGCCTCTTCGTCGTCTGACTGTTTCTCTGCTGCAAGAAGCGCCTTCGTATCAGCACCAGCCAACGCATCGATGTGGCCCATCCTCTTGGGCGCTTCGAAGCCCCACTTCGGCAAGAAGGTCTCCGCTGGCTCTCCTATGGTAAGTCGTCGCGCCCATTCGTACCACAGCTCAACCTAGGTAAAGAAAGCAAAGAAATGGATTTAAATCATTTGTGTTGCGGTCGTGCAGGAGGTCATCGGTAGCCTGCTAAAAGAATGCTTTTGTTGCTGCACCTGCATGTCACTGAAAAGATAAAAAAAGAGGGTTAAAACTTATCAACATAACACCAAACTTAGATGAGAAGAGTAAGTACAAGTTAGTCCAGTGTGATGTGGTCAGAAAAAAACAAGTACAAGTTTCCTGGTCATTCCGTCAACGACTGAGAGTTCATTGGCAGATTTCTGGAGCATAGCATGGCTGGTCATTTCTTCCGTTGCCGCCATTCGCATGAAGCGCCTCTCGTCTACTGTTATATCTAAATTTCTTTCCCGATAGTAGCTCGCGCACTTTTGACATACTGTGCACGTGGGCGTGAAGGTTTTGTAGAAGTGCGTCCACATGCGCACGTTAAAGATTGGCGAGTGATCCCTCTGCAGCCTGTACAAACTGCCCAAATGGGTCATGTTATAGACGGGCACGACGCTCAAATCGAAGTCGCTCTTGCACAACTCGCAAATGTCCTTCTTGTGATAAGAGTGCGGGGTAAGGTGCGAAGAAACGTCCTCGAGCCAAGCGAGAAACCTGCATCAATTGGCATGCAGTAGTGAGACTATGTCTCTATTGCACCGGATGACTCCGAAACTCCAACTTGATAAGCGCGAGAAAAGTAGTGCCGAGAAGACATAGAAGGCTTGAAGCACTTTACTATTTCTAATGAAGCCAATACTGAATGACGCACTCATGTGCCCGTCATCGTTTCTACTATCTCTATCTTCAGCAAAAAATACTAAGTAGGAGTAGGATGAGTAGGAGGAGTAGGAGGGGTAGGAGGATCAGGAGGAGGAGGAGGACTGGGAGTAGGAGCAGTTGTGGGAGGACTAGGGGGAGGCGTAGGAGGAGTAGGAGTAGTAGCGGGAGGAGTAGTGGGAGGCGTAGGAGCAGGAGGAGTAGTAGAAGTGGTAGGCGCGTTCTTGAGAGTGGAAAGTGCACTGCATTTCGAGATGTTTGAGTCTCCCAAAAAAATAAGCGTCTTTTTTACCTTGCTCTCTGCAACCACTGTCGTAGGATTTCCTGGCCTATGGTTTCTGTCATATTAAACTTCCGTCTCGATACTTGTTGGGCTACGATTTCCTGAGGTGGTGGCGCATCGAACTCGAATCCGCTTTCGCTCTGTTGCGCTTGCTGTAGAGATGGCACCACGATTTCTCCATGCACCATTTTCGGAGGTACCCCGAACGGCGAGTAGTACTGAGGTTCGATTTCACCAGCAATTAGACAACAGGCGAAAAGGTACTTCTATTAAAAACAATATTGTCTTCTTGGTGAGCGACATCAATGAAAATCGCGATATAAAGAAGATGTCCTCTGGTGTACAGACGACAGCAGGCACGGTCTCACCACCACCAGTGACTGAATAATATTCTGCACAAGGACTAAAGTCTGTGCAGGAGATTGAATACAAGGCACGGTGGTCGTAGAAATTCTCCGCAAACTACACAGAATCGACTCTACGTACTCGTCATTATATTCCTGCTCATAAAAGAATCTTTGTAAAGCTCTTCAGCAGAGTTCGCCTGTACTTCAAAGTGGTTTGTTCATCCAAGAGGTCGGCAAAGACGTGCTGTAACCACAACTGATTCTCCTGCACAAATGCTGTGCGGTACCGGTCTAGACCAAGTTTTAGAGATTGGCGAAATACATTCCTCAGAACATCCGCGGCTTCTTTTCCACTAGGAAAAGAGCTGAGGACGGTAGTGCGGAATGTAATTCGGTAACCCATAAAAGTACATCAGAAGCATGTGGTGGCTTCCAATCATGCAGCACACTCCACGCTGGAGGACGAATGATCTTCTTGTTCTGGCTGGATTAGACACGGGAGGCGTCAGTGAAAAAGGAAGTCCACAACACGTCTAAGTATTACTGCTTTCCACTTCACTGACTTTTTTCACTTAGTTCAGTACATGCCTTCATCGAACAGAGTAGTATGTATTTTCGCTCCGTTCATAATTAAAATCAGATTCTTGATCCCGCAGCTCCTCATCCAGGCCTCGGATATCGACATAACCTCGCAACAGGTTTAGTTCCATGTCCGTATGCGGGACGTACCATATCTCTAGGTAGTCCGCGATTGTTGAGATGACCTGCAACGAGCGGGAATAAGCGGGTGTATGATTTGTTGATCTTGAACAACAAGATGGAAGGCTCGTGAAGAGGTAAAAGAACAAGAGTTCCTTAACAAGCTCCCACATAAAAAATGGTGGAACCACAATTCCTCCTACATGATCCCACTTACGTACTCATACTTTAATAGTAGATGAATTACAATTACGCCAAATAAGTAGTACCTTGTGGAAAACTTTGCAGAAGAGCAGAGTGAGAAGAAGGGTCAACGATGAACCGGGATCCGAGAAAGCGTTCCAGTCGTTTTGGAGGATGATCTGGAACCCAAGAATGTACGTTAACATGCCCAAAGTCGCGATAAAATTCATAAAGTAGTACTGCTCCGAACAATATGAAAACAGAAAAAGCGATGGCAATAGCGATAGCGATGGGATGGGATAGGGTGCCTCGACTTCGCGATTGCTCACATTAAACACTTGATGTTGAGGGGTTCGTTTGTTTCTTCTTACAGTCTCTGCCAGACCTCCCGTGGTACTAAACAGAAACGTATTGAACAAACCTTTTCCTTTATTTTACATCCTGTTCATTGAGTAAAATCCATTCCTTGCCGACTCATAAGAAGCAGGCCAAATCTACGGTGCGCAGTGAGGGTGCCACGGTCTCGTCTATGGTCTCCCCGAGACCCTTCCATCGGACAGGCCTAGAGGTGAATCGGTAAGCGCAGAACTCGAAGTAGTCACACAGTCTCCAACCGTGAAAGAGCTCCAGCGTGTTCATACACAGGATATAAAGAATGAAAGCGAGAGGAAGGTGTTGTAGTAGTTGGCGTGGGTGGACAGTAGACGCGATGGCTAGGTGATATATATTTGTAGGTTGAAAGATCCATCTTGACCATCTACCTGTATGTGACCGAGCTCTGAAAAGATGAAGACTTAACTGCATTTCCCGAATCACATTGATTCATCGCAGCGTCGGGTACGTGCTCAAACAATATCTCTACGACTATTTTCATTCATAACTACTGCGTGGTTGAAGAAGACCACGACGGCGTAGAAGTTGATGTATTCCCATGTCGCATCGACACGCAAGTTGTAGCGAGCCAAAATCTGCGACTCCTCGTACATGAACCACACTAAAACGATGAAGAGCGGCAGCAGGAATGTGGAAACCAGATCTGTCGAGTACCCGGTCATGAATGCGATCATGTCTTCAGGCTGCGCTCCGGCTTCGCTCTTGTTCAGGGAAACGGCCTTGCTCGGGTCCATGTTCGTATCATGAAGAAGAAATGGTCAAAATGGCATGGACAATATGCCAACAATATGCCGCCCAGTGGAACACTAACCCTAAAAAAGCCTACTTACACACTCATGAGACAATCAGATCCATGTGCCAATCACAGACATCCTGCAAATTTTGTAAGTATGTAAGCATCTTCTCAAAAAATGCCTCCAACGATCATTTCTCCAATTATCAACTGAAACCTCTTCCTCTTCTGCTCTTCATAATGATTCGTGTTCGTTGCCTCATCGTCGGAGCTGAGTGCCACGTCAAGTTGGTCCAGGACGTGATCGACATCGACGTGCCGCGCTCCACTCGTTAGCCATTTATACCCTGCGCGCGCTCGCGCAAGGCCCGCCACCAACTGCTCGTAGAAGAAGTCTTGATTCGAAGACATGTAAAGCCGGTCTATGGCCTGCAAGGCAATGCTCACGAAAAATGCCATCATGAACTGAAGAAGGTCCTCTGCGGCAAGTGTGGTCAAGTTCGAAACCGTAGAAATCACCGCGTTGATAGGCACTAAGATCAAACCTTCCTGCATAAACTGGGCGTAAACTGTTTGCTCGAGTTAGAGGCCACTGGTATTACGACATAGGTCTCAATGTTCGCGACATTGAGTGACCTGGTATCTGTTTATCCACTCTTAGTTCCTGCACCTTTCTCAAAACTGTTGTTAGTCAAGTTAAATCGTCGCCACGAAAATCAGTCGGTTTGCATCATTCACTAGGATCAATCATCCCCAAAATCAAAAAACTATCCACCTCCGAGAAGCCCGTGCCATAATCGATGAGGCGCACGAGGTAGATAATGACCTGCATGAGCCACACGTTCTTCATGAAAAATTCGGAGAAGGAGAACTCGATGAACATGGTCATGAGCAGCCCGTTTCCAAACATCATGAGAGCAGTGCAACTCCGCTTCCAAATGTAGGGGGTAAAAATAGGCAAGTTCCGCTCGTCGTCGTCGCCATCGGCTTGTTCTGAATACAAATTTCCGCCCACACGACGTGCTTTATTTAAACGTGGTTGCCGTATTACATTCTTCGTAAGAACATCCACCTTGGCCTATTTTCTACATGAAAAAAGGTCAAGAATGTTAGTTCGGGATGTAATGTGCTAACCCTTAATTTATCGTCTATTTCACTTGCCTTTTGCACTTTCCTGACGTTTGCTCCCCGCGTTCCCATCATACCTGCCACTGACTTTGTGAGCAAACTTATTGCGGCCTCCGCTTGTGGCGCGTCGTCGGCGTAAAACTTCGACACTGTTGTGGGGATGAAACACCTCAGCGAAATGATCACCAAGTAAGCGCCCATAGCGATGAGGCACACGCCGGAACGACCCGTGCGACGCTCACCGAACGTCTTCTGTGTTAATGCAGTTTCTGGATCCCACGTACTATCTCCAGCCGAGAAGGGCGTACCTGTTTTTGTCAACTTCCTGTTGTGCTGCAGCTACAACTAGTAATCTGCTGGGCATCTTGTCATTCAATCTTTCTTTTTCAAACGCGATGCAAATACAAAATTGAAATTCTTTTATAAATTCACTAAAAGTTGTTCCGCCTCAATATCTATCCTTGTTCTACGGCCATGAGCACACATAATGAATATCCACTAGTTATGAATTGCCTGGTGTGCTAGTTGCCAAGTACTCACTCTACGTGAGGACACAGTTTTGTTTTATCTGGTCGCAAAAACCTCTAGAGAAAATACCTTCATCCAAGATTCCCGTTGCACACTCATCCGGAGGCGTACCTTCCGGGCACGTGGCCCAGGGCACAATAGTGGACTCGTCGTGAGTGATAAGTCTTCCACGCACCGTCCAAATAAGGAGGATGAGTGGCGGAATCGATGGTAGCATCGCGAGAGCGAAGCCCCTGTACGCTGGGGGGAACACCGAAAAGAAGTAGCGCTTATCGAAGAGACGCGGTTTCACGCGGTTCTCCGACCAGAATCGGTGGAAGGTCCAGTTCACGAGCACCATGAAAACAGCCGTCAATCCAATAATCTGGTACGTGATAGTGTAGAAGACTCGCGAAAAGGTAAAGTTGATCAGCACATCGCGATGCGACATGGGCAACCACAGGACGTCCAACTTATACTCGAACTTGTCCTGACCTCGCTGCTGCCTCTGGCTCGGAATAATAAAATCCGTATAGTACACGTCTGCAGACATTAGACGACACTGTCTTCATAGGTCAGAAATGGGATTTTTAGCTGACTTTTGCCTCAAAATTTGTATCAACCTAGACGTCGTGCCAAAAACGTCATCTACTTCTTAAATTGAAAAGTCATCTTCACACTACAATCAACCGGTTTTTGGCATGCCTTAACTTGACCATTTGCTTTTCGGTTTTACTTTTTTGCCAATACTGCATGACGAGTAGAACCTGCTGCGGAAGTTCGCCGCCCATTCCGCCGCCCTGCTGCACAGTAACAGGTACCAAATCGTCAGGGCCAAATGGCAACATCTGCGATCGAAATCTCTCGTAATCCTCATTACTCACAGGCTCCGTCTATTAGAAGAGCCATACATAGCTATCGAAAATTTGAAAAATCCTTCGAGGACATCACCTTCAGAACTGTCTGTTAGAAGAGTCACACATAGCTATCGAAGCGTATCATGTATCTGCATATACTACTTGGTTTTCTAGGTGGATCTCCCATAATTAAGAATGTTGAACAGCACCGCACCGGTGCTGGCTTCAAACCAACGCGGATCAGACAACTTGTTGTTAGGCACCTCATCCATCAGGCACTCCAGTTGATAAAGTGAACACTTATCGCCGAAAGCCTGGGCTCCTATGTCTGTCGCCGCAATGACCTTTGGTAGCCATTAGAAACAGAAAAAAAACTAGTAGCAAAAACAGAGTTAAAATATGGTCTTGGCTGCTATTCACTCATGACATCTCTGGTGGCCATTCTCTGCCACTAGCGAGGCGAGATAGTTCTAAAAACAGTGTGTCCGGATCTCTCACACAAGAGTTAAAATGAGTAGTAAAGATTTCAACGAATCAAGCCTGGAATTACATGATTCCAATATATGATCAGGTGCCATAAGTTTCTTCCCAGCGGCATGATGTGCCCTGTTCTAGGATCGCCCAAAGTGGCGCGGTTCGTCCGAAGCCACGACAATTCGACCAGTAAGGCAAATGGCCGAAGGTAACCATTTCTCGTCCACCAAAATAGGTCTTTTTTTGCATGAAGACAAACTCATTATCCGTTGACGGCAAACGCATCTCTACATGCAACGGGATGGACATCTCTAACGCCGATGCGTCCGCGTTGGCTCGATAAGGCACAGACACGCGCTTCGACTGTAGTGAGAAGTATGTAATGCCATATGTCTGACTCGTCGGAAATAATAAATGCGACCTTCCAGGCCACAGGAATCTGATTTCGATGATCAATGCGCAAACAGTACTCAAGTAACGCACAGCCAAACATCAAACCTCTATAGAAAGTACTAAAGATTACCGGCGACCAGTTGAGGAAAGCCCATTGAATCGTTTCCGGCGTCTTCTCTTCATCCTCGACTTTAACAGTACTAAGCGGCATGTTATAGGGTAACTCAACCCTCAGTGCTTGTGCAATCTCTGCCACGAAAGCTTTGTGAGTCCCGACTGCCGCTCGCTGCGGCGACACGATTTCCACGACGCAGCTGCGCTCGAACATCAGCCGATCAGCGACGAAAAGTCCGTTCAAAATTTGGACTTCCACCTTAAAGTGAATCGCCATTTCCGCGTACAAATTCAACGTGAAGGCAGTGTTCCGCAATAAAACCGGGTCCGGGTACCTACATCATAACTTGTGGTGGAGCCGACCTACATAATAAAATAACTATCGAGATGAAGAGACCTTGGTCGTGTAATTGCTTCAACAAAACCGTTAGAGTAGAGTGATCGTGGATATCTGCGATATGGACATTGATACTTTCCTCAAGATGGACTAGTATCAGCATGATTACTGTGTCTCGTCAGTGTCGAAGGTAAACGAATTGGGCACTTCCAAGGCCCGACATCCCCGTTCGCGAGCATTCGTTGTGGCCCGGAAGGGGTACTTTCCCGCACTAGCCCTGTCTGAAACGATAAAAGCACAGTCCAGCGGGTCGATGTGAAGAGGACTGAGGGGCGGATCTGCGTCGGCCTTGTCAACGAAGACACGAATCTGCCAATCGCGCCCATACCGCATTCGCAGGGACAGATGTCGCAAGTCAAAGGTGAGCAACGCCAGCTCACGTGGCTCCAAGGAAAAGACATGGAAATAGGCTAGGTCCGGGTCTGTGATTGCGCCTGGTTGGACTATTCCTGTCCCGCCTAGCTCTGGACTGCCACGAAGTCGCCACATGTGCGGTGGCTCGTCCTCGACGTCCTGATACATGGGTCCGGTACTCAACGCCAGATCGATCGGATCCAATTTCACAACGACAATATCGAATATTTTTTAGAGGAATAGTTACCATAAGCAGGATGAAAACACGACACGACCATCATCATGGCGTCTCAAGTGGCTCTACGAGTCTACCGGTAAGATGGAGCAGATATGACAGTGTATCACACGAGTGACGGCCGTCCCCGTGACAATAGTGACAATTGAAACCATGTTTTCAAATGTAGCCCCACAATGCTTGCGCAATGCGCTCACCGTATTTACTGACGTCTAACTTGATGATTCCAGACCGTTATCGTGCCGATTGATAAAAGAAATCCGCACCTGCTTTTCTTCTCAAGACCTTACTCGTGTACGGCTACACTCATCTGCAACAAATTCATGTAATCAAAATTCACGAAACCGTATCGTAAGTGTCAATGTCACGTAAAAAGGTTACGCTTTTGCGCGCAACACAGAGTTCTAGCTGAAAGGCGCCGTCTGTTTGCGTCATCGTTCCATATGGGCATCGTGTCAGGGAGCTGAATCCGCCAGAGTTTTGGTTACTCGTCTCCCGCTTAAGCGTTTCATGCACGTACTCTAGATGAGACCGAGGTAAATCGTCAAACGTGTCCCTGAGTCCGCCGCGGATTTCGACTGGCCGCGAAGCCGTAATATGCAAGTCGGTGGAAACTATGAAGCAGGGAAGGAACTGTGATAGTGAAGTCTACTTCTTACATCGCACTATGCATTGTCTGTATTTCTTCGGAGGTTGGATTGATGTTTATCAGAATGTTGTTCAAACAGAGGAACGAAAAACAAGTGCAACCAAATTTTAAGCAGAAAAATGAAAGTGAATGGAATCACTTTTGATTCACTTTGACGGCGCCATAAAAATCGACCAATCCAGGCAAGCTGGGTCTCCATCCTCGAGGCAGCTGGTCTGAGGATAGCCGTTGCTGAAACAGCGAAGGTACTCCGTCTCATCGTGTTCACAGAGGCACTGCAGTTGTGACTGCATCATGATTTGCGTCAGCTCTCCCTCCACTGGCTGCATAAAGACGTTTTTTAGACTTTTACCTTCGGAAACAAGCGGCGTACTGGCTGGTGTCGTGCTTCCGTCCGGGTTTTGCCCCAGGGGTCGCTGAACCCGCAGATACGTGTAATCGTCGCGGCACTGGGCGAGCGCCGTTGAATCCAACGTCTGGCAGTAGTCTTCCTGAGGGCAGCCGCTGCCCGCAGGGCTGTTGTCCTTTGTACACGTCGGATGATAGACGCGATCACATTCCTTCGGGGCATAAACAGAATCGGACAGCACTGTCTGCGTCCTGACGAAATTTTAGAAGAAAGCCCATTCTTGTAATCGCGAGAGAAAACAGCTAGATGACTTATTGCCGTACAATATCTACCCGCCGCATAATTGTTCTGCCCACTTCTATCAATTATCGTTAGATACAAGTACTCGGAAGTACTTTTATAGACCATGTTGTAGTTCAAATTCTTAAATTTCAGTTCCCTCAATGCAAGTCCCGAGTCGCTGGTGGTAGTTTACGCACTTGTTCGAAAATGCCGAAAGACTCACTGCCGGTACGTCAAACATCTTGCTGGCGTGAAAGCGAATGTTGTTCATGCAGTTGAGTGCATTCTGCGAGTCCCCGCTTTCCTCGCAGCTCAACACTGTGTTCAAATCGAAGGCGCCCTCCATGTCCGCAATTCGGCAAACACGTGTTCCCGTGTCCGGGTTACAGTCGGCCACGGTCAGAATGGCTTCGCCCATCACGTGGATGAGTGCCCGAACAACGCACTCATTGCTGAAAATAGAATACCACTTGGAAATTTCCCGCTCGATCTCAACCGTTTCCATTGTAATACCCGCTTTCGCGTAGCTCTGAATTTGAGCCTGCACTTTCAGCGCCTGGGAAACGAAGGCCCGGCGGCCGCAATACTGCGCAATTTTCTGTGCCTGGTAAAAATCGGCGCGACCCACATGCACTGAGCCAGACATCATCGGTCGCGACAGATCCTTCATGTAGCCGGTTGCCTCCGGACAGAAGAAGCCAACGGGGCAACGGAACTTGAATCGGTTACGGAAACTAGTACCGGGACCGCAGTAGAACCCGCGCACCGAGGGTTGCTCGAAAGCGGTCACCGGCGTTGTACCGATACGACAGAAGAACCCGTTGAAACAACGGTTGCTCTCCGTCGATAAAGCAGGAGTCATGGCGTCGCCGCAAATACGTCCTTCGGGACAGGCCGTCGACTCTGAGATGTTACCGGTGTTCGGCGGACACACGCGGCCCGCCGGACAGGGATCGCAGCTCGTGATATCCGGCGTCGCTCGCCACAAGCTCCACATACCCGCACCGCACGGGTTACACGAGATCGACCCCGCGACCATGGTACTGATCAAGGGCTCACGAAATTGACCGTTGTAGCACACAAACGGCGTTGCCGTACCAAACTCGGGGCATGAATAACCAGGTGGACAAGGTTCGCACTTCGGACTATTGCGCGTCGGCGCGAACTGACCGGGAAAGCACGTAGAACCAACCACACGACCTGGCTCCGCCACGAATTGACCCTCCGGAGCTGGTTGCGGCGTCTTACTTCCCGCACTACAGAACATTCCTTGAGGACAAGGCGCGGTCCCCGCCGCTGAGGCAGCTCTTGCATCACAATATCGCCCTGCCGGACACTGCTGTGGTGCATTCGCATGGAGAGGGTTCGGACAAGTAATCTGTGGAATACTAAACGGAATAGGCCTGCCGTCTTTCCAGTCCTCAAAGGGGACTCCAGGCTCCGGAATCTTGAAATTACTGAGACAGCCCTTGCTGCCAGCGTCCTTCCACGCCAACACAAGCTCTACGACCTCGTCGGAAGCTTCCAACAGGCTGAGTTCCTGTAGCATACGCCCAAAGCGGTCGCCATCCGACAGCGCGCGCGTCTCTGCGCCATCTACGTAGAATTTCTCCGCGGACACCGATGGAGGCATGTCCACATTTTAGAGTCACGAACAAAACTAGTAGCTCGTCTATTCATACATAGCTCTCCTCACTCCAGCGAGCATGGCATCCCAAAGCTCCCAAAGACGGTTTCCTAACTAAGATATCAATTAAATAAACTACTAACCCCTTGTACAGCAGAAGAAGGGAATAAATTTCTATTTTCCTAACTAAAGAAAGATAAAGGAGTTTTTTCTCCTTGTCTTCTTCGGAGAACTCTTTACGAACAAAGTGAATTTGGTGAAGCAAATTGTTCCATTTGGTTGATACTTATTTACCTCCAGTTCGTAAATGTAGGTGTCGTCATGCGATCCTCGGTGTCGTCGTTCTGGCCGCGCTGGTGGAGGAACGTATCCGGCTGCAGGGTCGCGAACTTCTCCATGCAGCCCACGTGCAAACTGGCCACTCGGTGGGAAAGGCGCTGGAACGTGAGGATGCTGGGTTCCCGCGAACCCCTTTAGGCGTGGGTACATCAGCTGTCGACCGGTGGCGGTGCCAAAACGAGAGTACAGACCTGTCAAGTTGCGCTCGTGATCCGGCACCGGCCTGAAAAAGTCGTCATCGTCGTCTGCGGTAGAAGGGGTTCCCGATGGCAAAGCCTGTTGTTGGGCCGTCGTTGACCCGGTTGGAAAGAGTCGCCGCGTTGTTCCGTTGTGCACGGCAAGAAGGCCACGGCGCTGAGCTGCGAGTCGTGCGCGAAGTGCCCGAAGATTCGACTTCGATCGCAGGCCTTCGCGATCGCCATCGAAGTTATACACATAGTCGTGATCTTCCACTGCGCCGGCTGAGGACGCCGCAGACGCGAATTCTTCAGCGTCCGCCAAACCCAAAACAGGCATGCCACCCAGCGTCGGGTCCATCAAATCATCTTGCCCGTAGTACTCTCCAGCGTAGAGGCGTCGTGCGGCAGTCGAGTCGATGTTGATGCTCTTCGAAGCTCGCGTGTAGTTCACGACCGTTAGACCACCGGTCATGAATCGCGGACACGTGCCCGCTGCGCAGTAACGGCCTGGCTCGCAAGGAATCGGTCGCTGGAAGATCCACAGTGACTGGATCTGATACATCAACTTCTTTCGCATCGGCTCTAGCACCATCTCACCAACCGTGCGCCACCATGCCTCCGTGCGCTCGAACAACTCGATGCCGTCGAACTAAAGTAATTTCGATTTTTCAAATATCCTAGTAGAGTAAAATCTTCTTGCGGAAGTCTGAGCAACCACTTTACTTAGGTAGCAAGACAACTTACAATAACCAATAGAAGGAAAAAACGTAAAAAAACAAACGTCTATTTCACCTCGAGAAGGAAGTTCGGTTTTCCCTCCATCGAAAGATCTGCGTGGTAGGCATTGAACGCATCCATCCACTCCAAGAAGCGCGTCAACGCATTCACAGCCAACTCATCTTCCGCGAAAGATGGGATAATTACGTCCGTCCAGTGATCGCGCACCTTCGTACCCGTCCAGCAGCAGGCACCCTTCGATCCGCGCTCGTACTCAAAAGACCAATCGTCCCTCTCAATCGGGCGCACAGACCAACCACTGTGCTTGAAGAAGTCGGGTTCGCTGTAATCTTTTGCTTTTTCATACATGATCTCAAAGGTCTCCCTCATTCGCGGAGACCGGACGCCGAGATCGATGTAGCCAACGTGGCAGATGAAAGAGGGCAGCTCACTCTACTTGGCGAAATTCTGAATTTCGCGTCACGACAGTCACGCAAGGTTCCAGCGACTAACGACTGAAGGTGCAATAACCGACTACAAATCAATCATGGGAAAACAAATCATCCTAGTACTGCTACTATCATTATTAAATTCCAGATGAATGAGAGAGACTCTGAGCTGAAGGTATAGGTAAGTATTTACCTTTTGTTTTTCAGCCATACAGAATTGTCCGATGCTCGACGTGCAAACGCCCTCGCGGCCAGCAACCGTGTTCACGTCGTAGGTGCGGTGATCGTACAGAACCGGTTCGCACAGCGCTGGTTCAATCCTCGCAGCCGTACCTTCGTCGCACATCACGCCCGCCGGGCAAGGATGGTTCGCCATACTCAGGCCCCGCTGATCGCAAATCTGTCCACACGGACACAACATTGGCTCCCGCATTCTAGTACTTGGGCAAATTCCGCCCTCAGTGCAAAGCGTGCAATTGCTTTGTCCCGGGTACGGATTAAAAGTTCCCTTCGGGCACTCCTTCGGCTCGTAGGCGCCGGGCAATCGTCCGCACGTAAGTTAGGGCGCGAAATAGTGTCGGATGTCTTCATTCTTCTCACAAAGCTCCTATAGAGGCGTGTCTCACACTCACTGCAGCAGAACAGTTCCTATACGACCCTGCTAAATCCGCCAGAAGCGAGTGAATGCGAATAAAATGGGAAAAAACGTGCTTACTAATTTCTTCTGTCAACATAAATGTATCGATCAGGACAGACGACACCCGAGTGTCGCGGCGTCGGACAGTACTTTCCAAGCGGACAGGCTCCGGCATCACCATGTGGCGTTCCGCTACCCGATGGACAAAAGAAACCCTGATAACAGGGCTGTGGTGTCGAGTAGTTACCGGCACCGGAAACGGCTGGCTGCAATGCAGAAGTACCTTCGTAGCAATGCAATCCTGCAGCACAGAGCTGCGGCTTTTGTGGAACCACTTCAGGATCGTACATGATGTTCGGAACATTCATCTTAAGGCTTGTTTGCACAACGATTTCGCCGGTCTCGTTGTTGAAAAAACTTTCCGTCAGTGGATAGCGGAGCGAAAGTTAGAGGAGGTCGTACTATTCAATTTCAGAAATAGGAGGAACAGCGGAGGCGCTGGCAACTATTGTAACAAAAAAAATAGTCCTCGTGGTCCTCTGCAAAGGTCATAGTTTGCACGACACACTATTAACTGTATGTAGCATGCAGAAATACTCCCTGCGTTGTCTTTGATTTAAATTCGCAATAGTGAAAAAACTCCATAAATGAGATGATGATCCGCCGTCGCAACGCCGCCCAAGCAGATGTGGCCGCGTGGGCATCGACGGTAAGGCATCATCAGCCCGATTTCGTCGCACATCCAGCCATTCGGACAACGCAGTGGCGTCACTTGGCGTCCGTTAGGACAGTAAAAGCCCTTCGGACATTCTCGGCACTGATGGGAGCCCTCGTAGCTCTGATACTGCCCTGGGCGGCAGGGCATCGGCTCCGCGTTGCCGACATGCTCACAGTTATGCCCAACTGGACACGGAACGACCCGGTAACCGTAGTTCAAAGAGTCCTTGTGTCTGCAGTAGCTGCCCGCTGGGCATACACCCAAGAACTTGAAGGGCAACACCGATCGGGAGTAGTCGTTTCCGTTGAGTGTCACGCGCACACGCGCGAAACCTACACTCGCGTAGCTACGCGCCGCAAGCATGTTCGGAACCTCACACAATATCTGCGTGGTACTGATAAAAATTGCTTTGCTCTCTACCCACTCGAAGGAACAGCGCAGGAGTCGCGTGTCGTGGTCTGGGAAAACGTAACTGGTGTTTACGAAGTGTTGGCCCACCACAGACACAAAACCGCCCTCTTCGGCGCCTCCATAATGCATACCCTCGGAAGGACGAATCTGCTTCAGTATAAGGTCCGGATGGAATACGAAGTGTTTGAGGATGGTGTCGTAACGCGTGGTCTCCTCGTCCCAGTTATCGACGCCATCAGGGCTGTAGCTTTGCGCGTTGTTGCTCACATAAACAGGGAGCCGTGTGTAGTCCTCCTGTCCCGCAGCAAATGTCAAGACCGGCGTCTCCACGTGAATTTCGGTTGAGGACACCCAGAAGGCCTTCCGCACAGGAAACTTACCGTTTTCTGCCGTGAGACTCGTTTCGCCGCCGTTTGCAAGGTAACTCGCCACTGCCTCCTCCGCCGTAATCGCCAAGGGTTTCGTAACTCCTCCAAAACGCACTTTCAGGTAGTCCGTGTTGATGAAATTGCGCCCCTCAATCTTGAGGAACACCGACTGCCCAGATGGACCCAGAGGCGGCGTTATACGGTCAATCACCGGCTCCTCGTAGTAGACAAAGGCCTGACTCGCTTCGGCAAATTCTTGTAAGTTGAACGTGATCTTCACGGTCACGTCACTGGCATCCTGCTGCGCAGGTGTGACGCACATGAAGTGCTTCGAATCAATACGCACACCTTTCGTGCGCACAGTTCCGAAGATACAGCGGATCATGTTGTCCGCTCCAGTCGGGATATGCTGCGCCTCCACTACAACTCGCGTATTGCCGAGAATGGGGCCCAAGTAGGGTACCATGTAGAAAGTTTGCTTAGTACGGAAAAACTCAAAGTGTGCGTCCGAAGATTTCACAAAGTTTTGTCCGTTATTCCCAACGCGCACTGTCACAATACCGGCTTGATGCTCCGGCGTCTTGCACAAAATCAAGTTCTCATTCACATAGCGAGAGGCCGAAACAGGCGCATCGCCAAACTTGCATGTCAAGTTAGGATCCTCGATGAAGTGCGAACCTTCCAGTTGCACAATGGTCCCGCCCTCAGTGGTTCCGAAATCCGGAACCACTTTTGAGACGGACGGAGTCAAATAGTAGTGGAAGCGGACTTTGGTGCCGTTCAGAGTTGCGTTCGCAAACAGCACCTCCAAATCCACCGTTACAGGCGGCTCGACCCCCGACCACCCGCCTACGGCAGGAGACTCGCACGTGGCATGGAAAAGGTCCACCAATTTGATTGCCACCTTAGTCGGTCCAAACCGACACTCCAAAAAGCGGCTATTCAGCAATGGCGCATCGGCGGTGAGCGAGACCGTGGTGCCACCAAACTCGGGGCCAGAAAGCGGAAAAGCTTCGATAATGCGGAACTCCGGGGCCCGGTAGTAGAACAGGTTTTGGTGTAAGTTTGGCCAAGAGCGCGTCGTGAAATTGTGGTTCTGCACAAAGCTCTCGATAACCAGGTCAAACGTCACGTAGTGTCCCGGCTTCTCCTCAGGTTGCAGAGTAGGTGGCGTGTTGCACGTGATTGTGTCAAAGGAGTGCACCGTCGCTGGCATGCGCTGAAGCTGATTAAACTCGCAGACCACATTCCAGGTGGTGTTGCTCATTGCAGCTGGATCGTTGTCTCCGCCTTCCAGCACTTCCGTGGCCGCAGACTTGTCGTAAGGATTGAACGGCAAATAGTATTTGAAATAGCGGCCACTGACCGTGATCATGGTTCCACCCTGAAATATGCCTTCTGGAGGAAACAAAGAGTCAATGCGCGGTAGGCGCGAATAGGTGACCACTGCATCTGACGCGAAAGCTTCTGTTGCGCTTCCGAGCCGACTCAAGCGCACGTAGACCTTCTCTTGCACCACGCCTTCGCGCATGTACCACTGAGGAGCCTCGCATACAACCTCACGATGACTCACGAACTTGATGATCGGCACGACAATCACGCGATCTTCCTCCGGAATGCTTTCCGCTAATGGATCGCCGCCGAAAATGCAGTAGTTCACAAAGCTCCCCAGATTAACGCCCCGAATAATGAGCTGCTCGCCACCGCTGTCGAACGTGATCGGCGGGATCACAGACTCGACCGTGAATTCCATCAGGTATTCGAAAGCGACCGCCGGACTCACACCCGACAAGAAGTCCACGCCGTTCAATGCCACGTAAACCACAGTTTCTAACTTGTCCAACGAAGTTGAATTCGTGGACGCGGTGATCATATCCGAAGCGAAAGTCGGCGTCAAACAGACGATCTCCGTATCCGAGATAACCTCTGCTTGCGTGGAGGAGGGCCCGCGACCGCGGTTCTTGCCGAAGCGGCACAAGACGTTGTCCGCCGAACGGAAACCAGTGCCCGTGATCAGCACCAACGTTCCGCCACCCGCCGAACCCGTCGGCGGGTCGATCCCCGTCACCGTCCATGGCGGCATGTAGGTAAACGAGGTCTGGGGGTCTTTGTCGCAAGTCCCATCCGCCTGGAGCAGTCCGATGGGCACAATCGTCGGCGAGCTGTACCATGGAGGCGTGATGCAGACGAAGACGCGGTTGCTCGCGTCAGCAGGAACCGCGGTCACGAGAATGTTCTCGCCAAAGCAGCATGCACTCGGGATGTAAGCAGAATCATAGTAGTCAGGCAGCGTCAGCCGCATCGGCGTGCCGCCTTGTTGCGGACCAAAGTCCGGCACGATGCTCAGAGCATCCGCTGTCGGAACGAAGAAGAAGCTCACGGGATTCGGATCCCCCGTGAACCAGTCCTCACCGCCGTTCACGCTAAGATACACATCCACCTTGATGGCCTCCATCGTATAGTAAATGCCTGGTGTCACGCACTGCACCTCAGTAGGAGAAACCCAGCGAGCTGCTGTGATGTACTGCTCAAACCGGCAACGAAGCGCGTTACCGTCAAACAATTTAGGAATGTTGCGCACATGTAAAGTTAGTAACGAGCCGCCTTTGTTCGGGCCAGATGGCGGCGAAACGAAATCCAAATAGGGCTGCTGGAAATAGGTAAACTGGAACCAACACGGGTCCGTAAGCTCGTCGACCTGCAGAGGTATGAATGTGGGCGGTGAGAAAAACTCAAATCTGTATAACGAACAAACCTCATTGATTTACTTCTTCACCACCAAGGGTCTTTCTGTAGACGTGTTAACACAGACACGTTCTCACAAAAACGAAAAACTGAATCGGTCGTACATTATCAAATATCTTGACTTCACTCTGAGTGCTGCTTGTTCCTTGTTCATAACATAGGTGCCGGCCGTTTCCAGAATCCGCACACATACTGGATGCGCTCCTTGTGTGGACTGCTCTTTGCAGAAGCCCCAGCCCGTTCCACCAGCCACCGGACCGCTATCGCATTGCGGATTGACAGTCTGACACCACGGCCTTGTCGATCGCTCATTATCCAGGAAGATGTTGCCCGTCCCGCCGTACAAACTCGCGTACGCCGTACTATTGGCTCCAATGACAATGTCCGGCGTGACACAGCAGAAATTGTTACAATAAAAGTACTGCCCATTTGGCAGTTGCTGCGTCCAATATTTGCTGCAAGCACAAGGCGTCTCGGCGTCTGTAATGCGAGGAAGGTCGGCTGCACTCGGAGTCTCACACTCCACGTGATAGGCTTTCATACCCGACGGCGCGACTGCGCCAGTCGCATTGCTTGTGTTGCTTGCGTTATTTGCAACCACAGCTGCGTTATTTGTAACCACAGAAGTGCCACTTCCCGAGCTCGTGCTCGACGCGTTGCTTCCGTTCACTCCTCCACTGAGCAGATTAGATGACGTGTTCGTCACAACAGCACTGCTTGTTGGGCGATGCATTTGCAGCGTGTCCTCCGCCACGGCGACTACCTGTGCTTTCACACGCTGATTGCCAAATACGCACTGCAAATCTGCAACCGCTAAAGGCATAGGCCTGCTGGCAACCAATATGCGAACTTTCGTTCCACCTGCCAGCGAGCCAATTTCTGGTGAAATGTGCGCCACCTCAAAGCGCGGGACGTACGTGAACAGCACGTTAGGTGAGGAGATACGTAAGTAGGCTGGATTGCCCACTAAAATCGACAACGACACGGTGTCAGACTGAAAGTACGGCGGATTCGGGCATCGAATCATGGTCGAGTTACTGAACGTCGCGAAGGTCACGCCCGCCTTACCAAAGTCGCACCGCACTGCCACGTCCCTGCTCGAATCCAGTAGCAATGACGGCAAATTCTGACCGAAGATCGAGATGACGTTGCCGCCAATGTCGAAGCCGTAGCGTGGATGCAAACTCTCGATCCTCGGGTTCGACAAAAACACTTGTCGCTCCTCTACTTGTCCTTTTGCCGGTGCGGGTACCGGTGCCGAAAAAGGCGTTATGGGTTGCAGATAACGAATCTCACATGCGCTTCGGTTAAGTGCCCCGGATGTGAGCACTATGGACTGGCTCTTGAACGCATTTCCAAGTCCGCTGGAGATGACAGCTGAAATATTGGTCGTGTTCGTCACGTTCTCATCGTCATCCTCGAACCCAAACAGCCCCGAGGTGTAGTTACTTGCGTTTGTCGCGTTAGCAGACGACGACGTCATGTTGGAGGTGTTTACCACCACCGTGCTGTCGTTGGAAGAGGTGAGAATCCTTCGGAGCAAAGTTGTGGCATTCTCTGTGCCGTTTGAGCACTGCTCCATGGCTGTCAGCTCTTGCAGGAAGCTCTGTGTGCGGTTCTCCTCACACCATGGCAGTCCAGTGCGCGTGGCGTTCAGAAGCGAGCCCGACAACACTGCTGGCGTCATCAAAACAGGTTCCTGCGTTCTTCCGGCATCGTGCTCCATTCCCACGGTCAAATTGACACGCGGGACGAGGTACTCCACATAGAGGACAGTGCTAAAGGACTGCGGCTGTACCAGGCGCACTTGCAACGACTTGTCGTCCACCTCGTGGAACACTTCGGGGACTACGCAAGCCTGTTCCGTATCTGTCAAAACGTACGTCGGGACGACCTCGATTGGATACAACTGTGGCGTGACGCGGTGAGAGAACTCACATAGTAAGTGTGGCCAGTCCAAAAACTTTTGCCCTTTAAATAGAACAGCGGTCCTGGACAATCCCTCTGCCAGTCGGAAGTTTGCTGGAATCTCCTTGGCTAGCAACGGGAGCGACCGGAAGCTCACCAGATACGCAACCGAAGGCGGCGTCAAGACGCGCAAAGGCAAAGTGTTCGTCGGTTTGCTGCCCTGAGCAAGAGAATCTCCCGTCATCACAAACAGCTCGATTCGCGTCTCCGACGGCTCGTTTGAGGGCGGCAAGGACAAAGCAGGCGTCTCGCACGTAATGTACGAAATGTTGTAGAATCGCGCGGGCGTCTGGTACGTCTCGTTGGCGCCGTAGATGGCTTCGCGCGCATCGTGGTCATACGCAACCTCTGCGGGATCCACAACTCCACAGTCGCAGTCACTGTCGGTAAAGTTGAACTCGCTTCGCGAAAATTGTGTCTGCTCGCTTGTGCATGCATCACCAGTAGCATTGGCTGCCTTCGTCTCCACATCCACAGCCACAAGTGCTGTTGCGTTTCTGGTGTCACTGCTCGCACTATCGGGAAAACGGAAGTGTGCGTTTTTCAAACGCATTGAGGCGCACTCCGGATCCGTACTCACAGTTCCCGTGACTGTGTCGACACAGCGACTACAGCAAGCAGCCTTGTTGGGGGCATTGGCACGCACTTGGAAGTTCTTCTGCGGACGCACCTTGCGAATCGCAAAGACACACACCATGCTGTCAGCATTGCGGAAGCCCATGCCCTTAACATGGAGCAACTGCGGCCCAGGATCCATCACAATACTTGGCGTGACTTCGTAGAGCACGATCGCCTGAATGTACCGCACGAGCAGCCCTTCGTTGCCAACAGGGTAAACAAACGGAATTTTGTTACGGATCTTCGCATCTCGGGAAAGCTCGACGCTTAAATCCCTTGGCCCCACGCGGTCGGAAACGTCGTATTGCACCTTGTAGGGACTCAAATTGCTGTTGTGTGCTTCCGGGTCGCCCTGTCGGAAGAAGCCCGTCAAGTACACTTGCGTTTCGCCGTTCACGTTCTTCTTGGGTGCTACAC